AAACCCCGATAGAAATACCCTCAGAGAAGTCGTGAAAAATGTACTTTGAGTTTATACAAACATATTTCCTTGCTAACTAGAAAAAAATATTCCTTCTTTTTTGTTCTCTTAAATATAACTTGAACACAATTTTTGTCTGCCTTTCTGAGGTGAAAACCCGGTAGAAATACCCACAGAGAAGCAGTGAAAAATGTACTTTTAGTTTTTACAAACATATTTCCATGATAACTAGAAGAAAATATTCCTGCTTTCTTGTTTTATTAGATATAACTTGTACACCATTTTTGTCTGCCTTTCTGTTGTAAAAACCCGGTAGAAATATTCTCAGAGAAGCTGTGAAAAATGTACTTTTAGTTTGTACAAACATATTTCCATGATAACTAGAAGAAAATATTCCTGCTTTCTTGTTTTTTTTATATTTAACTTGTACACCATTTTTGTCTGCCTTTCTGAGGTGAAAACCTGGTAGAAATACCCTTAGAGAAGCAGTGAAAAATGTACTTTTAGTTTGTACAAATAGATTTCCATGATAACTAGAAGAAAATATTCCTTCTTTCTTGTTTTTTTTATATTTAACTTGTACACCATTTTTGTCTGCCTTTCTGAGGTGAAAACCTGGTAGAAATACCCTTAGAGAAGCAGTGAAAAATGTACTTTTAGTTTGTACAAATAGATTTCCATGATAACTAGAAGAAAATATTCCTGCTTTCTTGTTTTCTTAGATATAACTTGTACACCATTTTTGTCTGCCTTTCTGAGGTGAAAATCCGGTCGAAATACACACAGAGAAGCAGTGAAAAATGTACTTTTAGTTTGTACAAACATATTTCCATGATAACTAGAAGAAAATATTCTTGCTTTCTTGTTCTCTTAGATAGAACTTTCACACCATTTTTGTCTGCGTTTCTGAGGAGAAAACCCGGTAGAAATACCCTCAGAGAAGCAGTGAAAAATGTACTTTTAGTTTGTACAAATAGATTTCCGTAATAACTAGAAGAAAATATTCCTGCTTTCTTGTTTTTTTTATATTTAACTTGTACACCATTTTTGTCTGCCTTTCTGAGGTGAAAAATCGGTAGAAATACCCACAGAGAAGCAGTGAAAAATGTTCTTTTTGATTGTATAAACATATTTCCACGATAACTAGAAGCAAATATTCCTGCCTTCTTGTTTTCTTTGATCTAACTTGTACACCATTTTTGTCTGCCTTTCTGAGGTGAAAACCCGGTAGAAATACCCTCAAAGAAGCAGTGAAAAATGTACTTTTAGTTTGTACAAACATATTTCCACAATAACTAGAAGAAAATATTCCTTCTTTCTTGTTCTCTTAAATGTAACTTGAACACAATTTTTGTCTGCCTTTCTGAGGTGAAAACCCGGGAGAAATACCCTCAAAGAAGAAGTGAAAAATGTACTTTAATTTGTACAAACATATTTCCATGATAACTAGAAGAAAATATTCTTGCTTTCTTGTTTTTTTAGATATAACTTTTATACCACTTTTGTCTGCCTTTCTGTTGTGAAAACCCGGTAGAAATACCCACAGAGAAGCAGTGAATAATGTACTTTTAGTTTGTACAAACATATTTCCACGATAACTAGAAGAAAATATTCTTTCTTTATTGTTTTCTTAGATTTAACTTGTACACAATTTTTGTCTGCCTTTCTGAGGTGAAAACCCGGTAGAAATACCTTCAGAGAAGCAGTGAAAAATGTACTTTTAGTTTGTACAAATAGATTTCCACGATAACTAGAAGAAAATATTCCTGCTTTATTGTTTTCTTAGATATAACTTGTACTCCATTTTTGTCTGCCTTTCTGAGGTGAAAATTCGGTAGAAATACCCACAGAAAAGCAGAGAAAAATGTACTTTTAGATTGAACAAACATATTTCCATGATAACTAGAAGAAAATATTCCTGCTTTATTGTTTTCTTAGATATAACTTGTACTCCATTTTTGTCTGCCTTTCTGAGGTGAAAAATCGGTAGAAATACCCACAGAGAAGCAGTGAAGAATGTATTTTTTGTTTGTACAAAAATATTTCCATGATAACTAGAAGAAAATATTCTTGCTTTCATTTTCTCTTAGATATAACTTGTACACCATTTTTGTCTGCCTTTCTGAGTTGAAAAATCGGTAGAAATACCCCTAGAGAAGCAGTGAAAAATATACTTTCGCTTTGACAAAGCTTTTTCTTTCAAAACGACATAAAGTAATTGATTGGTTATTTAGTTTGTAATATTTCTTACATTTTTTCAGGTTCTTGAAGAAAAAAAAACAAAAATTTGATCTGAAGTTATTTCTACAATAATGCAGCACAACTAATCAAATATGTCAAAACAGGTGACTAATACTAAATTTTATCAACGAGTATTTCAAGGATTGAGGATGCACATGTTGAAAGTTATGTCAACATCGAAATCGAAAAGATAAAGGAAGCAGATATATTAAATAGAGCTAGTTAGAAGATGTTATAAATACTGAAGATTGTTTTTTATTTGATCGTCTAAACGTTAATGACAGGGAATTAATATTCCGCCTAAGAGAAAAGTTCATTATATTAATATTTGTATCCTTTTTTTCATTCGTTATTTTTTTCCATTAAAATTTTACAATTTTTTCTCCTTTTCTGAAGTGAAAACCCGTTAGAAATACCCTCAGAGAAGCAGTGAGAAATGTACTTTTAGTTGGTACAAAAATATTTTCATGATAACTAGAAGAAAATATTCTTGTTTTCTTGTTCTCTTAGATATAACTTTCACACCATTTTTGTGTGCCTTTCTGAGGTGAAAACCCGGTAGAAATACCCTCAGAGAAGCAGTGAAATATGTACTTTTAGTTTGTACAAACATATTTCCATGATAACTAGAAGAAGATATTCCTGCTTTCTTCTTCTCTTAGACATAACTTGTACACTATTTTTGTCTGCGTTTCTGAGGTGAAAACCCGGTGAAAGTATCCTCAGAGAAGCAGTGAAAAATATACTATAACCATAAAAATGTTCGCAAAAAAATCAATTTTTGTTAGGCAGATGATTTTTTTTAAATTGTTGCAGATAATACACCCAAAAATGTAGAAAAAAATTGACACCTAGATCTGAGTAGAGGAAGACCTGTATAACCACCAAAAAGTCTACCACAATTATAAAAAAGTTTTAAAAAAAGTTCAATTTTTCTTAGACAGACGTTTTGACAAGTTGTAAATTCAGATGTTCATTAAATGAACATTTTGCTTTCTCTTTACGATCAGCAAAAAAATTTGCTTCCTCGTGGAGAAAGTATTAACATTGAAATCAACATACAGAAATAATAAAATAATATATACATTTGAGTACCTATAGATTTGAGTTAAATTTAAAGAATTGATGGATGTTAAAAAATCAATAATTCACATTTTAGTTGAAATTTCTAAAAGTTAATATTGATTAACATACAATTTATAATTATTTACAATTATATCGATTCGTTTCAATACAAGGAAAACAGTTATTTTATTTTTAAACTTTAATTTAAATAACCACAAAATTTTATAGCCAAAATGTGAATTTTTGATTTTTTAACTGCTTTCTTGTTCTCTTAGATAGTACTTGTACACAATTTTTGTGTTCCTTTCTGAGATAAAACCCCCGTAGAAATACCATCAGAGAACCAGTGAAATTATAATTTTACTTTGTACAAACATATTTCCATGATAACTAGAAGAAAATATTCCTGCTTTCTTGTTTTCTTAGATATAACTTGTACACAATTTTTGTCTGCCTTTCTGAGGTGAAAACTTGGTAGAAATACCTTCAGAGAAGCAGTGAAAAATGTACTTTTAGTTTTAAGTGTCTAACCAGAAAATGCGAGCACTCAGAAACCATGACTTCTGGTTTCTGAGTGCTTGTTTAGCTATTTTATCTTTCGATTATTTTACAATTCGCCTAAATACAAATTCGTCCAATTTCATAATATGACAAATCAAAATTCGATTATAATACAATTCTTTTAAATGAACATTAGGTTGTGTTGAAGGAACTTCTACAACAACTTGCATCATTACTTGTATCTGCACTTGCTTTGCATTTGATCTTATATGTGAGCGCGCACATCAATTACCAGATATAGAATATAAAATTAATTAATGAATTACTAATTAATTAAATGTTATTAATTAGTAATAGTAATTAATTAATTAATTTAATGTATAATAGGATTACTAATTAATTACATTTAATTAATTAGTAATTCATTAATTAATTTATTTTCGATATCTGAAAATTGATGCACACATGCAGTAGCAAATGCAAAGCAAGTACAGATACAAGTACCGATGCAAGTTGTTGTAGAAGCTCCTTTTTTTCGTCAAAAATACTTTTCGTCCAATTTAATGTTTTTGCAAATTAACTTTAGCTCTTTTTGATATTCGCCGTTTGTATATTCGCCATAATGCACTTTCGACTTTTTAACTTTGGGGAAAAAGATTTTATTTCAGATTGTCGACTAAATCAAAAATAGACCTTCTTCTTATTCCTCAATCAAATAAATAAGAATCTTAAAGAAAATTTTATTACTATTTATTTAAATAATTTATTAATATTTTGATATACAATTTTTGAGTATGCATAACAACTATTTTTCTGAATTTTTCAATATACGTATTAATGATTAAAAAACTAATCAACATTTTAATTTAATTTTTTTTCAAGACGATTATTGCATTAAAGACAAATTTGTTTTATTTTTGTGTTTAGATTTTTTTCTGATTTGAGTCAACTGGAATCGATAATAATTTGTTTTAAAGTCTTGTGACAAACAAAAAAAGCTAATTATTTATAAATCAAATTTGTCTTTTTATACATATTAATGTTTCTTTTCAATTACTATAAAATGTCATTATCATTTATTAAATTTTTTAATTTAATATAGTATAGTTATTATTAATTTAACATAATCTTTTATAGACAAAAAATATTTTGATTTTTTTAACATTCTATTACAAATAAGTAAATAATTACAATTTTTCTTTTTTTTATACATAAATATTTTTTATTTCTTATTTTCTTAATATATATATATATATATATATTTTTTTAATTAATAAATAATTAATTAAATTTTTTTCAGAATATACGTAAGGATTTAAAAAAAAGCTTACAATTGTTTAGGTTTTTCTGTTCCATTTTTAATTTTCTCAGGGAAATTTTCACCATCATTGACATCATTATCATCATCAGTATAGATAATTCTTCGTCGTTTCCTTAATGGAGTCAAATGAGATGGGGAATTTTCACCAACATTAACATCATTATCATCATCATCATTTTCATTATATATAATTCTTCGTCGTTTCCTTAATGCATACAAATGAGATCTGCGAGTATTCTGTAAAAAAAGAATACAGTAATTATTTTATTCAAATTAAAACAATAATTAAATTATTCAACGTACAATAGTTTTCGTTTTTTCTTCTTTGCTTTCGCCTGACTCAAATTTTAATTTTCGCGCGACTTTATTTTTAACGTTTCGATCATTTACTGCACTTAAAACATCCTTCTCTGTTTCATTAGTAGTTACAACTTTTTCCGGTGATTTCTGTAAGTACATACAATATATTTTAATCATTAATAGAAACAAAAAACTAAAATTAATGTTTCTTTTGTCTTTTGTTGTAAAATAAACTTTTATTTGGGATAATTTTTTTTAGACCTAAATTTTGACTTTCAGTATAAAAAGAAAAAAAATGAAATAAAGGTAAAAAAGAGAATTGATCATAGATCGTTTACTAAGAAATATTTTTTTTCAAACGTATGTATTGAATAATCGTAATTTTTAAAGAATTTTTAAACTCACCCGACATTTACTGGGACTACCAACCATTGAAGTTACAAATTTTTCCTTAGGATTGCCTGATTTAAAAACAGTATCTCCGTCTTTCGCTATAACTCGTTCATCGTCTTTGGAAAAAAAAAATCATTTTTATAATTACCATTTTATGATTTTTTAAATGAAATAAATTAAAATTAAAAGAAAAAAAAATAGAAAAAGATAGATTTTAAAGAAAAAAAAATTAAATTATTGTAAATTCATCCTTTACAAAATATTAATTTAAAATAAAATAATTGATCCAGAAAAAAAATAAATATTTTTATTAATTAAAATTAAAAAAATGAATGAATTAATAATAATAATAATAATAATAATAATAAACATTTTTACCTCCTTTTAGTTTCAACCAAGTTGCACAGAATTCATCAATATTTACTGGACAACCGGTTCTGCATTGAGGCAAAAGTTCTTTAGGCACAACTAAAACAAAATAATTACTAATAATTAATAAATTATAAGTTAAAAAAAAATAAAAATTCTAATTATTTTTTTTCCTTACCTTTTTTTTTAATATTTATCTCTCCAACTAATTTATAAAATTGATAATCTGCAGTCTCGATAACATTAGATGAAATTCTTTTTATAACTTGACTCGTGGTGAATTTCTTTTTCATTAATTGGCCAGCCGTTCTAAAAGTTTTCTAAATTTTAATATTAACTAATAATATAATTTATTATATCTCTAATTGATAAATGAATATAGTCATTTAATAATAATTAATAAAAATTTTACTTTAACAAAGTTCCCTCGAAGGTGAGATAACATTTTTTCCCACCAAATGTGACAAGTGGATTCCAATTTTTTAAGAGTTTTGGATTCTCCTGTGAACCAAATGAATCTTGATTCCAATTTTCTCCAATTTTCTCCTCTGAATTTTGATCAATTATTTGTGAATTCGTTTCTTTACTACATTGATTTACTTTTTGTTCACTGCTTGAAAAATGATTAAGAGATTTTCTGAAATTAGAGAAATTTACTATTTCTGTCTTAATAATTCTTGGCTTTTGTTGTAATTTATGTTTATTTAAATCATTTGCTGGCAAATTTTGTTGTTGTACAGCATTAATGCATCGATTTTCCTTGATTTTTGTTTTAGAAAGATGTTCATTATCTGATGAAATTTTATTAATTTCATCATTGACACTTGAATGCACACCGGCATATATTTCACATTCTGAATTTGTTTCTTTCATTTCGTTGTTTTCAGAATTTTTATCAAATTTTAAATTTATCGGTTTCTCATTGTTAATTTTTGATTTTTTCATCAAGTTCTCATTAATTTTATTTTCACTATTTCTTTGTTCAATTTTATCGATTGTAATTTGTCTCATTAAATTTTTATTAATTTCGTTGGAATCATTTTTTTCATTACTATCGACTTTTCTCTTTGAATTAGATGGTTGATCATATTTTAATTTACTTTCATCTAATTCGTCAATTTTTACAGAAATAATATTATTTAAATATTCAATTGTTTTACTAACACATTGAACATATTGTTTGGGACATTTATCATGTAATAAATTTTGTGTGATAATTGTAAGTTTATCTTGGAAAATAGTATCTTTTAATTCTAGAGCATAATTTAATGCCGTGTACAAATTACCAGAATATGAACGATTGTCAGTGACATTAAATTGATTTTGATTTTCATGTAAATTTTTATTTTCTTTTTCGCTAAATTGTTGGGAATCTCTATTTATTTGAATTGATTGATTTTTTTTCATATTTATATTATTTCGATGATTTTCGACAATTTTTTTATTTCTCTCGTGTTGAAAATCACAATTATAATCAGATGATTGTTGTGGTGTTGATTTCTCCATAAAATTTAATTCTTGAAATTTCTTTTCTGTTTTTTGCATTTGTTTATTATCTGTTATTTCACTATTGTCATTGATATAATTAAAGTTCATTGGCCAGTGAAAATTTTCTTTGCTTCCTTGAGCAATGTAATTTTTCCATATTGCATGAACGTTACGCCAATCGTCAGGAAAACCGTTATAGAATTTTTGATAAATATATTTTGGTAATTCTGAAAAGAAATATATATTTTTTTTAAATGTTTCCTCAAAATTACATTTTTTTTTTTTTTTTTTTGAATTACTAAAATGAAAAATAAAAAAAATCACCATTCTTTTCGTCGATAATACATCCATGAAGATGATAAATGTGTTGATATTTTGATTTAAGTTGTTTTGATAACAACATTTCTGCAACTGGTTTACTCCGAGACCATATTTCACTAAAATAATAAATTAATTAAAAAAAAAAAAATTTAATTTTCCAATATTAAATAATAAAAATTTATTTACTTATTGAGTAATCCTTTAATCAATAATTCTCCCCGATCATTGAGAAAGACTCTCCATTGATAAAAATGTCGTTCGACAATTTTCTCTTTTTCCATATCTGAATCGAAGGAAAAATGTTACGAAAAATTTTTATATATGAATTACAATCTATGAGAATTTGTTTTTCTCGAGAAAAATAATTATTTTCGTTAGTTGATTATCGATGAAATTTAACTCGTTCTTGTTGAGAATCAGCGGATGCAAATCTTTTATTTTGAATCGCATAAAAAACTAGGTGGTGGCATTAATTGCCTTATCATTTGTATTTGTTTCAGAAAACTTTTTTTTACACGTCTTGACGTTGCTTTTGATACATGCGATGATATGTAATTTAAATCTGATAGACTTTCATTTATACTGAAACAATTGAACCATCGAATTTGTATATTTTCATTTGTTTTCAAACCTTTTCCTAAATTCTTAAATCGTTCTTTCTTTTATAAATCGCCAAAATCAATCTAAGAAATAGAATTTCTTAATTTTCTGTTCATTTATGAAATAAAAAAAAATATTTAAAAATTGCATATATAAATGTAAATTTATTTCCATGGTAACGTAAACAAACGTTAAGGGCACACTCACACCTTCTGGCTGCCTGCCTGCCCTCACTAAACTCTATGGAACTCTATGGAATGCTTTCTGCCATTGAAAGTCGCGAACCGAGAGAGAGGTCTGATTTTTGTATTCCCCTCTTTGTCGGTACAGGTCCATTAGAAAATATTTAACAGTACACTGAGAGACCTTTTGCACCGCATCAGAACTACGTGTGTGACTGCAGCGCCACTATAGGTTTTGGTGCGCTGCATTCTAAATTTTGTATCGTGACTGCCCAAAAATGAAAATGAACCTTTCGGCCGTCAATTTTTTGGACAGCTACGCTCCAAAAATTGTACGGCTGCAGACCAAAAACGTAGTTTTATAGCTGACCGCTAGAATGCTCCGCAGCCGTCTGTCGAAAGTCTGTTACGGTGCAAAAGGTCTCTCAGTGTATGTGTACGTGAACATGACATAACACAGTTAAGGCCAACCCAGAATAGAAACGTAACCGGAATCGTAATCGCAACCGGAATAATGAGTTGAAGAAGAACAAACAATATGTCTACCCTTCTCTAACTCATACTTCCGGTTGCGTTTGCGATTACGATTCCGGTTACGTTTCTATTCTGCTCAGGCCTTTAACAATAAACTTTTGGAACGTATTGTACTACGCTTGCGCAGTTTAGCAAGAGAAGGAGAGGGATACAAGAATCAGACCTCTCTCTCGGTTCGCGACCATCAATGTCAGACATCTGACATAATTCCAGATATATAGAGTTCAGTGAATAGTTGTCCATGCAACAAGATTTTCATTGGTCAAAGTGGTCACGTATTTGACAACCTTTTAACCAATTAAAATCATGTTGATACCCTATGAAAATACACCTTAATGTTTTGATGCGTTTATTAATTATTTGCGTGTGTGTGTAAACCGGTGTTGATATTGATGAATTAAAAACTTTTTTAGTATATATATATATATATATATTTATAAACAAACATTTTCTATGTAAATTACATATAAGAATGTATTAAAAAAACATAGTGATCAAAAGTGAATTTTAAAATCAACGATATTTTTAATTAAAATCAAAAAAATGAACCCTTCCGAACCAAACAGTGCTGAAACGTTAAGGTATTAGTTCTGTGCACAACACGTATATACACGAAAAACGCGTTTTCAATTTGTATACCACAATGTTGCTGTGTGGCATGCTGCATTTTTAAGTTTTTTTTTTTTTATTTTTAATACTTACATAAACTTTATGTTTAGAATTGTTGACTTTTTTTGAAAGCAAATTTACGGTCACTATTCGTGTTTTATTTTTTTTTACACGCAGTTGAAAGATTTTTTTTTATTCAACACTTTTCGTTAAACTTTTGTTTATTTTTGACGTTTTCTTTTTTTTTATTCCGCTTAATTTTCTTACAACAATAAAATATATTGTAGTTCGAAAATGAAGGATGTTATTGATGTTCTCGCCATGCAGAGAGAGAAAAGAAATAGCCTGCAAAAAAGTATTATCATCGAATATAGCGGTGCAAATGATACTTTTACTGTTTCAAGATTCATCTTTGAATGCGGTATGTATTTTCTAGGTTATGTGACTTCGCATTTTATTGCATTAAAATTAGTTAAATAATTTTTAATAAATGTAGGTAGTTTAAAATATTTTTATTTGATATTTGTTTGTTTGTTTTTTTACTATTAGGGATAATTTTTTTTCTTTTTGTACTTAACAAATAACAATATTGCAGGGTATAAATTAGAAGCTCATCCATTGACAATAGCTACGGCTGCAATTTTATATCATAGATTTATAAGAGAAGCTTCTGCAAATGGTTATGACAATTATGTGAGTATTTTGTTATGTTTGATTGTTAATTTTATTTTCAATATTATAAAAATATTTTAATTTAACATAAATTTAATTTATTTTTCATTTCAATTTTAATTGAAAGATTAGAATTCTCTATTTTATTGCTTATTTTCAATATTTCATTTTTAATGCTTAAATCATATATAAAATAAATTAGAACTTTATAATTTTGTTAAAGAAAATTTTTTTTATTGTCTAAAATTTGTTAGTACTAATTAATAATTGTTATCAATTTAATGTGAATTTAATTTTCATATAATGTTTTTAAGTTTAAATTCATAAATTTTTCTTTTTATCTCTCAACTTTTTAATCTTTAAAATATAATCTTCACATTAATTTTCTTTAATTTTAGTTAATTGCATCAACATGTCTATATCTTGCCGGAAAGGTAAAAGACGATGCATTAAAAATTCGAGATGTAATGAATGTGGCTTACAATACTCTTCATAGAGGTTCACAACCACTTGAACTTGGTGATCAGTATTGGAGTATGAGGGACGCAATTGTTCAAGCTGAACTTCTTATTATGCGCATGTTAAAATTTCAAGTTAGCCCTGAGCATCCACATAGAGTAAGTTAACCTGAGGGAAATAAAATTTCTCTTTTGTCTGAAGCAAAATGAATTTATAAATTTCTTACAAACTAAGATTTAAAAATAAATATTGAATTTGTGCAATTTTTTTTTTTAGTACTTACTGCATTATTTAAGATCTTTGCAAGCATGGTTCGGCGAGGAAGAATGGTCCAAATATCCTGTGGCTAAAACTAGTATGTCATTGTTACAAGATTTTCATCATTCACCATCTGTACTTGATTATCCACCGAATCTCATTGCCATTGCTTGCATTAATCTTTCATTACAAATTTATGGTGTTGTCGTTCCATTGATGGATGAATGCGATCAACAGCCATGGTTTAATGTAAGATATATATTTTATTATCATTTCTATTATTTTCGTACATATATAATGCTTATTTTAAAAAAAAATTGAAACAGAATAATTTACTTTTTTTTCATACAACTTTGACAAGATGATTATGATTTTAAATTCTTTTTTTTTTTTGAAAAATCGGAAAAAAACCATATAAATTTAAAAGTATAATATTCTAATTTTTTTTATCACATCAGCATTGCGTAGTATTTTTTAAAATAATTTTTGTTAACAGGTTTTCTGTAAGGATTTAACAAGGGACAAACTTTGGGAAATTATGGAAAAAATAATGGCTGCTTATGATGAGGAACCGGAAACAAGGGACAACTAGCAAAAGCATTTAGACCATTCTAATAAGAATGGTAAATAATAAATTTCGAAATCAACTTTCATCTCTCTTTTAATTCAATTTTTATCATAACGTTTTCTACTTTTTCTCTTTATTATTAAATTTCAAAGATATAATGTTAAGTGTAATTAATATAAAATTTATAAGGATTAAGGAACATTCCTTGACGGTTTGAGAGTCATGTAAAATATTATTTATAGTAATAATAGTAATAAAAAAAAATGGTCATATTAAAAATAATTACTTAAATAGTACGTCTAAAAGTTTTTATTTGTTTTTAAATATACACACAACTGAAGTAGGAAAATAGATGATTTAAGATCATCGTACAGAATTTATAATAAAATTGGTTATTGATAAACCATTTCTTATAATTTTTGTTTATTTTAACAAAATTATTATATATAGATTAAATGCGAAATTTCCTTTCAGGCTTTTAACTCTCATTTCTTTTTAAATGATTATATAGGAGTTAAAAACATTAAATATTGAGGAAAGTTTGCATCTATTTTATTTTATTTTATTTTTTTGTTAAAGTATTTACAAAGTTATGTTTGGTCCAGGAAATCGAGTCACTTAGACGACTATAACATTTGTTAACTTTCATCACTGAGCAATAAATTACAAAATGCATTGGAAAAAGGCAACTGACTCGATTTTTTGCAACCCAGTAAAAAGAGTATAAACGCTTTCAAAATTCTGTTTTCTAACTAACGAAACTTGCAATTGTTCAGTACAGAGCTCAAATATATACATTCAATATTACATATATATTTATTATTTTTGTATTTAGAGTCCGTTATTATTACAAAAAAAAAAAAATAGATAAGAAAATTCTCTAAACTTATAAAAAAAATAAACTTAAATATTTATATGTTATAACAAAAATAGAAAAGAACAGATGTCAAGTGAAAAATTTGAGATGATTTTTCAAAATCAGAAAGATTATCCAAAGTGCATTGATTAGTTATAAAATTATATTACATGTTTTTAAATAATTAGAATTAAATTAAATTTTATTTATTTCTTAAAACTTAAACTATATATTATTCATTATAATTCTTTTAGAATCTTTAAAAGAAGAATCGAGTCAAATGATTTTTAAGAAAAAAATGTTTTAAAAAGTTTTTTTTTTTTAATTCTTATATAGTTTTAAAAATAGAATTTTACATAATTTGACGAATTCAAACATATTTGTGAGCAACAAACAATTTTTGTGGGTTTTTATTAAAAAAAAAAAATAATAAATTTGTTTTATTACTTTTCAATTATTTGATCTCACTATTTCACTAGGTAAAGTATATAAAAGCCAACACTTATTAATAATTAATATACAGACTTTAAGGTACACGCCTGTTAATACGTATATAAATGTAATCTTTGATCAAATTTCAACAAGATGAATATTTATTATTTTTATTAAATTTTTTTTATATATCTATTTTTTTATACATCACATTTAATATGTAAATATTTTGCGAAGATTTTCAAATCTTTTCTTTTAAACGATTTTTTCAAATTTCGATGATTATTATACTTTTTTTTTTGTTTAATAAAATTCGTTATTTACGCAAAATATTTTCATCGAAAAAGCAAATATTTTGTTCTCAATTTCCAGATAGAAAGGGAATTTTTGTTTTTTCGACATTTAGGTAAAATTTTTTTTTAGAATATTTTTACTCAGAAAAAATGTTTTTTATTTTATTTAAAATTCTTGAAATTTTTTTTTTTGACTATAAACACGAATAGAAAAATAAAAAATTAATTACATTACACACGTGTAAAACTTATTTTAATATTAGAAAGTGAAATATTTACAAATTTAAAAAAAAAAATGTTTCTTTGGAGATATTTTCATTTTAAGTCATAAATGAAAAAAAATTAACAATAGACATTTTTATCTGAGTATTTTAAAAATCATCGAAAAAAATTAATTACATATATATTTCCGCCCTTAGATGGAAAGAGGCCATAGTTTACATATATAACTTTTACATATAACATTCGATTGTATAATTGGTTGTTTATTCGGCAAATTGTTGAAGATAATCTTCTATTAAATTAATTTCATCACTAATGTTGAAATTATTCATTGGACGAATATAGCAAATTCTATCTGTAGAAAGTCTTTTATCGTCTTTATAAATATTTTCTTGAATATTCGCACTTACGTCGTTATTATTTTCTTCTTTTTTAATCGATAAGAAATTATTTGTTTTTAATCTTGATGATGTGAAAATTTCTTCCTCTGAATTTGAAAGAATATTTTTTATTGTTTTTTCTAAGAAATTCTTCTCACGATTTGGTACGTATTTCAAATTTTGTGTGCGATTTTTCTTAAATTTCGAAAAAATCATATTTTATGCTGACATTGCTTCTTTGGCTTTCATAAAATATGTTATCATATCGATTGGCAACGGGAATACAATGGTTGAATTTTTCTCCGCTGAGATTGTGTTTAGAGTCTGTAAATATTTAAATAATAATAATAAATATACAGTATGATATATTACCAGAGATGGGTAAAAGTGTATAATACTGTAGAAAACCAGGTTTTCGACATTGTAGCCGCATCAATGGCAACATAACCTATTTTTGTTATTTACTTTCTGGTTTATTGTTGGTAAATAAGTATTAATTAATAAATAAAATATTTAAATATTGGTCAATTAAGAACTTTCAGTTGAGTTAAATAATATATTATCTTATTTGCAATAAATTCGTAACAATTTTTAACATTTTAAATGTGCTTCCGTTCTCAATTTAGAATAGAAATACTAATATAATTTAAATTTTATGAAAGCATCGATAATTAATTTTTGACAATATCAGAACTTTTGAAAATTGGAAATTCGAAACAAACAGATTAAAGGTGCTTGACCAAAATACTGGAGGTATAAAAGCACCTTTAGGGCGCACTCACACCTTTTGGCTGCCTGCAGGTTACCATGGCAACGCATGAGAGTAAGTGCGACAGAAAATTTAAAAATTTGAATATTCAAATTTTCTGTCTCACTCACACTCATGCGTTGCCATGGTAACCTGCAGGCAGGCAGCCAAAAAAGGTGTGAGTGCGCCATTAGAGTTATGTTTCTCAAAATTCGCCTTATGTATAATACACACGTAGAAAACTCATCTATAATGCGTGTATATTACACGTAAAATACCTTGTATTATACTCGAGGTTTTCTACGTACCCATCTCTGTATATTACAATGAAATTTAAGGAAATATTTAATTTAAATGAATAATTTGGTAATTCAAATTGTACACAGGGATGTGTTAGGGCGCACTCACACCTTTTGGCTGCCTGCCTGCCTGCAGGAGTTGTCATGGCAACGTGTAGGAGTAACAGAGAGAGAAAATTCAAATTTGAATTTACTATCTCTGTTACTCCTTCACGTTGCCATGACAACTCCTGCAGGCAGGCAGGCAGCCAAAAGGTGTGAGTGCGCCCTTACCAAATTATAAAGTAGAAAGTCCAAAATATTGCATTTCATATACGCAACATTTGGGACGTTTCCAAATGAATAATTATGAATTTAGTAACACATCCCTGGGTACAACCTTTGAGTTTCATCACCCTGTGCAAAATGTTGATCCAATTTGATCGTTTGATATCATAGAGATAATATAAATAGAGTAGACAAGGTATAGGCGGCTGCGTAAGAGGGAAGTGTCCTGACATAAACAGAATGGGTTGGAAAGAGAAGAAAGATTTAACACCAGTATCTGTCCTTCAATAAGCACCAGCGCAAGAGAGACACCTACTGGTGCTAAAATCGCGTTCTCTTTCTATCAAACGGACGCCTCTATACAGACCATCTCCACTCTATTTATATTATCTCTATGTTTGATATAGTTATAGATTTATTTGACAATCTGATTATCGTATTAGAGAAAAAGTATTTACTATCAAAATATTTAATTTAATAAAAGTTTATTCAACAATGGATGATTTCTTTTTTATTAAAATGAAGTACGTAAGTGAAAAAAAAAAAAATTTGTCCATGCGTTGTATGAAAAAATAAGGTATAGAGCAAAATGAGAAAACTATTTTCTATATAAATTTATAAGAAATGATATTTTTTTCATATTGTGTTTTCAATTACATAACTATAGCCAGAATTAAACATATGAAATTACAACTTAATTTTTTTATGTTATGTTAAGTACTCAGGAAAGACTATATATAACCGTAATTATTTTAATTCAATTTGGAAATAAAATAAGTGTGTCACAGCTTTATATTAGTTCAACATAATATTCTATTGGAACAAATTGTTGTCAGAAGGGGGAAAAAAGAAAAAAATATTAATGGAGTATACCCGCCACAATAACCTTACGATACAAGAGACCAATTACCAAAACTAAACTAAAGGCATTTTTGAAACATCATACACTATCAATGATCAATGATTTTTAAATAACTTTATAAACTTAAAAAATATAAATACTACAATTTTTACCTTTTTATTTTCTGAAAATTATGATATAAAATTCGAAAAGCGAAATAAGACCTTAACGAAGGCGAAATTAATATCTTTAAATTAAAATATTTCCTAAAAAAAAAAAAATTTTGAAAAATAAATATTTTAAAAACTTTACATACCTGAAGGTAACGAAGTTGAAGTGCTGCAGGTGAATCTCCAATAACTTCTGAAGCTTCTCGAAGAGCTCTGCTCGCTTTTTGTTCTCCTTCAGCGGCAATGACCTAATTAACATTGAACAAAAAATTAGAAATGAAAATTTCAAATTACAATCGCATAATAAATATTTTAAATTATATATATATATATATATATATAATTATGATTCAACGTACTTTTGCTCGAGCCTCTCGTGCGGCTTCAGCTTCTGCAGCCATAGCTCTTTGAAGTTGAACCGGCAGACGAACATCCTTACTAGATTATAAAGATAAAAATTTAACTAATTATTATCAACAATTATTTTATCATTCAATATTTTAATAAATCTCGTTTTAAAAATTGTTGCACATATGAAAAAAAAGACTTACATTTCAACTCGTTCGACTTTAATTCCCCAAGTATCAGTGGCTTCATCTAATGAACTCTGCAATATAAAAGCAAGTTTATTATTATAATACAGTACAGTAAATTTTAATAAAATTAAAATAAATGGTCCTTAAAAGTGACTCTTAAATTTTGAATAAATTACATAATAAAATAAATTTACATGTAAAGAAAAATGTAATAAAAATTCTGTTAAATATATAATTTTAATATAAAATTTTTAAATTATATTCTTAAATTGTGTCAAGGAGAATATTTACTTTATATATGATCAATAATATTTTTTTTTTTCATGTAGAAAAAGTATTGAATTTTAAAAAAGCGTCACTTACATTTTTGCGAATATATTTACAAAAAAAAAAAAAAAAAAAAAAAAAAAAAAGCAGAAACTATGAATTTTTTATACGAAATTATTATGAATTCTTATTTGAAAACTCGATCGATCAAATATTTCTATATTTTTTTGCGTTTTCAATTTTTTTTTTTTTTTTTTAAATCTTCACTTGCAACTTTTCTTTATATATTTTTTTTAATAAAATTATTTATATTAATTTTACATGTGAAAAACTTTTTCGAAAATTTGTTTTAGAAGTTTAAACACAGTCTAAAATTAGTTCACATTATTTTTGAACTATTTAAACTTTGCAAACATATATATTTTCAAAAAAGTTTTCCTCCTGTAAAATTAACCTAAATAATTTTACTACGTTTTGCAATTGGATAGCAGAGAAATTCTCTTTAAACTTTTTTTTTTTTGAACACACATGATAAAAAAAAGTACATAAATGTATTAAAAAGAATATTGAAAGTAAAAAAAAATAATTAAAACTACATGCTTTGAAAAAGAGCACAGAAACAATTTTCTAAGTTAATTATTCTTTACAGTTGATTAACAATATTTACAAAGGATATTAATAATAAGATATAATAATGTTACCTGCATGGTTCCAGAAAGAGTTTCTCGTTCGCTCAATATTTCATGTAGAGGTCGTGTACCCATTGTGTTTCGCAAAGTGGTTTGAGCGAGAAGTCTTGTACTATGATGAGCATTTTCAACATTTGCGATCGAAATTGTCGCATTATGCACTCTATAGTATACAACAGCATCTACCGAAACAGTGACACTGTCTTTTGTTAGAACCTATATTTAAAAAAAAAAAAAAAACAAAGATTTATACCTTATTATCAATATTACCTAATTTTCAATTAATATGCAAATAAAACATACAAACTTCTAGAAATGAAAATTTAAAAAATCGAAAACAAAAAATTTAACTAATTTTAATACATAGTTTAATGTAATTAAACATTTTTTGTTTATTCTACTAAAATAAAATATCAGATAATTAAAATATAAATAATTATGTAAAGTAAATATGCAAATAGAAGTATATTCATATTTATGAAAATTTCGAAAAGACTAGAGATCCAGAGAAAGCAAATTAAATTAAATATTCAGTTGTGTACCTCTTGTGGTGGAACATCGTATGTTCGAGTTCTGAGGTCAACTCTCGCATAAGCATCGATACAGGGTAAAATAAAGAAAATACCTAAAATGAAAAACAATTTTATTTAATATAAACAAGAAAAAAAAAATTATAATTTTTCAACCTAGCAAAATAATATGAAAAAAAAGATTATTTAACGAAGCTAAAGTACGCAACGTTTATGATAAACGATTTTTAAAGAAATAATTTTTTAAAATGAGAAATTCTATAATTCTTTGTCTAAAAAATATTTCTTGTAGTTTTTATTAATCAACAAATAATAAAAAAAATATTTTTTAAGCAAAATATTGTAGAAATTTTCATTTTAAAAAATTATTGCTTTAAAAATCGTTTATCATAAACGTTGCGTATTTCAGCTTCGTATTATTTAAATTTCTATATTATTATTACCAGGGCCTTTTGCTCCTCCTGATAAAAGTCGTCCAAGTCGAAATATAACAGCTCTCTCATATTCTTGTACGACCTGAGAATCAAAAAATAATTTCGAAATTAAAAAATGAATTATTTGTAAATTATAATAAATCTAAAATTTTAAGTCTAAATCTCACCTTAAAGCAAACGAAAAGGGAAAATGGCATCGTAAGAATAACTAACAACCATGATAGTCCCACTAAGACCTTTCCAAAAACTGTTGAATCTTCTTTAGTCGTATGTTCTGTTAAAAAAAGAATCAAAATTTTTGAAAATTATGTTTCCTTAATTTTAATTAATTAAGTGCCTAGGTATAGTTTTTATCTATTTGTATATAGATATTCACATTATTTTTACTATTTCAATTTAAAAGTATTAGAATATAGAAATCTGACTCAATTTCGTTTACAGATATTTAAATATTAATTTAAAAACTTTATATTCTTTTTATTCTATCACAAGTGAAAAAAATCAACTGCAAGTGAAATCCAATCCAACTCAGGAAATAAATTATTAAAATAAATTCAACAAGAAAACCTCCTCAATCACAAACTTTATTTTCTATATACATCTAACTAGCGAGTTTTAGATTCTAATTGAAAAACTTTCCACATTGTTTTAATACGAGATCTTAATCATAATTTATAAATTATATGACTAGTAAAAAAAATATATATGAAAATATAAAGTTAATTGTAGGTAATTCTTCGGAATATTATACTTGTCAGGTTATTATTAATAATATGAAATTTGTTAGGTTTTAATAGTTGGCTATTTTTTCTATTCCACACAAATTAGGAGGTAGTGTAAAACCTTGGCCTTGATTTGGCACTATTAGTTATGGGTCATCCATAAAAATTGTTTGTATGATAATTAAGAGCTCATTAAGGCCTAATTGCCACCCACGAATGTCAACTCAAATTCAACCCCCTAATTTTTGTGGAATATTAATAAGCTTAAAATTTCTAATTGATTAAACCAAGAGAAGAAAATTGATTTTTTTTCGGATCTAAGGTATCACTCCTCTTTAAAAAAAAAAACCCTCAATTATTATACAATTATAAACTTAATTTTCAATTTTAATATTTTTTAGCCTTTGTAATAGAGCGTCAATGTAAGAACAATCCTCCTTTATACGTTTTTAAGTATAGGAGTGGTTTTGAGGGTAAATTGCTGTGTAAATATTTGAAGAGGGTGGTAGAAGTAAATTTTAATTTTTGATAGATATTTTGATTATATAGAAGACGGTTTTTGGATTTTTGTCTATGCTTAAAAGATAGTTTTTTGATTTAAGGGTTGCACTTCGTAATTTTTTTTGTAGGATTCCAGAGCCCTAAATGAGCTTAAAGCAGAAGCGAGGAAGAACCTACTCCAAAGAAGATGAACGTACAGGTCTTCCTAGAAAGGCATATCTGAAAGATATACTAATCCAAAGGCACAGCAAAATAGGATCGAGACTACGAGAGGATCAACAATGGTGATCAAAGTCGGAGTAAGGAAACCGTATGCCAAAGTAGTAAGTATATAATCTCCGCAAAGAAGTCAATCCAGACATCAGATAAGGTGAAGTAGGTAAATCGAAAAGTCATACTTGATATCCGCGACTTGGATTTCTTTACCCACACGAAGAAAAAATAAAGCCATTATAAATTGTAACCCAAGTAGAAACTTTATTAGTATCTCCAATAGTAGCATTCAAGTTAGGATTTTAAGCAAACATAACTGTGGAACTTGGTTGCAATTTCCGAAACTCCGGTAGTTACAACCTTAGTATCCAGTAAGTTGAATATTACTACTAGAGTCACTCGGGTATTTTCTACTTGTGATCACAAGTTATATAACTTTATTTTTCTCTCCGTGCAGAAAGTATTGAAACAAATTTCTCGAAAAGTCAGGAAGCAAGAAGGTGATGATTTTTGAACCTAATCGTAATCTGACCATAAACAGGCTAGTGGAATTGGTTTTGTCTCGAATGGTATCGGTATCGTCAGTGTGTTTCGGATATAACCCCACATAGTGACAGATCAGCTACTGAGAAGCCGATCCTAAGTTCGCAGATTGTAAGAAAAGCCCAAACTGCTTCTTATGAAAAGAAAAGTTTAACGGAGAATGTGCTCCAACAACGTTGCAAAAAGTGGCATTTGCAAAATCTTTAGGTTAGCTAACCTAGATGTAAAGGTATATATAGTCGCACAAGCGAGATCCTAGGGACCTTCACCTACGAAGTTTAAAACCTGACAGCAGTTCCGTAGGAAAAAGAAATGCTCACGAAAATTCATTAGAAAATATAAATTTTATTTCTAAATTTTTATCGATGCCCTTTCAATTGAAACAAGATTCTATTATTAATTAAATCGTTATCATTTTTATCTTAATGTTTTAAATTAATTTTCATATAAAAAATAAATGATGAAGATTTTTTTTAATAATTTGAGTGATATAGTTTCAGTACATGTTCGGAGAAAAATATAAAGAACAAGATTTTATATACGCGTAACCCATATATATATATATATATATATATATATATACAGTATACTATATATAAAGTTCCTATTCTTGTTATATGACTTATGATGCCTGGTGACCTTTCATATTTTTAAAATGAAAAGAAAATATTCCCTTTTGACTTATAAAATTACGTCAAAAAACATACTTTGTAAAAAGTCATGACAGTGTAATATAAAATTTATAAAATCAGATATTATTTCTAAAATATGTTTTCTCAGATACGAGGATCGATCTATTGATTGCAGTCATATATACATGTCTATTTCTTTTCAGTGTTCTAAAGAATTCCCTAGTTTAGATATGATGCATTGTTATCATAAATAATTAAATATTGTACTTGTACTTCCTTTTTGTGATCAATGTCATTGAAATCCCAGGTCAATAATAACTTTTCACGTGTCATTTTTTCGCAATATTTTTCTATTAATAGCCATAATCTTGTAGAAAAATTATTAAAAATATTCAATTTATAAATGATTTTTTCATCAATTATAACTGTCGTAGTAATCATTTATTTATTTATTTATTCAAAGTATACGGGCAGTGCCCATTCGTACAGTGTACTATGATACGATAATCCTAATTTAAACAAAATTAATCAGCCGCGCTAACATTATTGTTCCCATCATACACAAAATTACGCAGTTCAATTATAAACTTATTTAAAGAAATACCAAAAAAGTTAACACTCGTGCTACACTGATTTGCCTCTTTATATAATCTGTTGATAACAGAATTGTTCAAATAGTTAGTTTTATTGAAAGGAATGTGAAACAATTGTTGATGTCTTGGAGATTTTAGGGGTATATGCAAATAAAATAGACTCAGCAATTCTGCACAATTAATTATGCCGTTGATAATTTTAAACAAGAAAAGCATATCGGCGTATAAAAATCGCTGAGATAATAACTGAATATCAAATTTTAATCTTAAGTCTGTGTAGTCATGATTATGATAATCAATTGGTACACCAGTCTGTTTAGCCATAAAACGAAGAAATCTGTTCATATTAATTAATAACAAGTTATCACAGTTAATATAATTAGTGATAAAATTAATAAACTTTATTGCCCTGTATGGGTTTTACAAATAAAATGACATTTAGTGTTTTTGAATGAATTTTTCATGTTGAACACGAATCTAGGGTCAAAAACTTCCCACGATTTTGAGAAAAAATTTACCTTGACGTTCTACAAGCTTCGCTATTATCAAAAATAGAAGGCTGATCCTCGAACTCGAAGCTTATAGACTAAAATCCATAGAGCAGTGTACTAGGGAGAAAAAATTGGACATAGAACCATTGCTTGTTTTTATCGTATATTATAAAAAAAAGAATTTCTAGTTTTTAAAATTTTTTTTTACAATTTTGTAATTTAAAAAAATGAACTATTATTTTATCAATATATATATATTACACATTAGAGAATAAATTTGAGTTCTTTTATCTGCGAAATATTATAAATATAGTAAAAGGGTTTCAAAGAAATTCGAGAATGAAGATATAGGAACAGTTTCAGGTTCAGTGAATAAATGGGTGATTGGGGTAAATTGAACGGATACGAGACAAGCTTTTTACACTATACAATTTATAAAGCATAGAAATTTGTTTAATCTTTTCTTCATCACTCAAAACTTACAACAATATATATTTTATACCAAAAATTACATGTAAATTACATTATAATTTTAATTCATTTAAAATATTATTTTCTTTATATAACTTAACGAATGAAAAATGCACACAACTAATGGTATATTTACGTTAAAAATTATTATTCATTATAATATCATGAATTGATACGAAACTTCGGGAAAATATTTCTAAAAAGTTGTACTTTAATAAAAAAAAAGAAAAAAGTCGATTTTTTGAAAATGATGACTGGATATGCTCCCTTAAGTTACTATTATGTATATTACATTTTCGTTAACTCTTAATGAATCATAGAATTGAAGTGTACTCCACACAGTGGTCCTCAAGCATCGACAGGTTCGACTAAAATGGATCCAAAAATTGACTGAACAAGCTTTTAAAAGACTATTCGTAGATGTAAAAACTGGTTTTCATAAAATCCTAGCTGATCCTTTTCTCGAAAAAACTCAAAATTAAGTTTCACGAAATGTATTTTTAACATTGTATTATATACTGTTCAATAATCAACAATTATATCTTTAATGTTCTTTGGTAAACCATTTTAGTGCACAGTACGTACTCACTAAGCATTAATATATTTGACTTATAGTAAAATAAATACAAAAGCTTGTAGAATAGCTCATTAGATTACTCTTTATAGACGCTAAAACGACTTTGTCTGAAATCAAAACCAATTTTTTTCGAAATATTTTTAAACTGCGTTTTACAATAATTTTTTATATTTTAAGATTACCATTATGCTTAACTTATCATTTAAGCTTTATTTATCTATTTATATTTAAGTTGAAATTCCATTCATTCATCCATTCATATCAATGTATTTGTGCATTAGTTTAGTAACGTTTTGTAACAACTGACTGATTAACTTATTGCTTGTGCTCAAGACCAATTGCTTTTTCTCTATTTTAAAATGAGTTCACATGAGGAGAACCGGAAGAAAATATGTGCACCTTGCGGTCAGAAAATTGCTTTTAGAAAGGTTAAACCAGAAAAGTTTCTTATAAACAAAAAGTTCACTAATTTAATTAAAAAACTTATCAACAATAGTTTCAATTTAAATGATGAGAAATTTTTATTAAGCATTTGTAGAATATGCTATCTTACTTTTCTTGATTACGAAAAAAGTATCTTTAAAAGGCCAATTTAAATTAAAATTATTGTTGATAAATTTTTTAATTACATAAATTAGTTAACTTTTTGTTTATAAGAAACTTTTCTGGTTTAACCTTTCTAAAAGCAATTTTCTGACCGCAAGGTGCACATATTTTCTTCCTGTTCTCCTCATGTGAACTCATTTTAAAATAGAGAAAAAGCAATTGGTCTTGAGCACAAGCAATAAGTTAATCAGTCAGTTGTTACAAAACGTTACTAAACTAATGCACAAATACATTGATATGAATGGATGAATGAATGGAATTTCAACTTAAATATAAATAGATAAATAAAGCTTAAATGATAAGTTAAGCATAATGGTAATCTTAAAATATAAAAAATTATTGTAAAACGCAGTTTAAAAATATTTCGAAAAAAATTGGTTTTGATTTCAGACAAAGTCGTTTTAGCGTCTATAAAGAGTAATCTAATGAGCTATTCTACAAGCTTTTGTATTTATTTTACTATAAGTCAAATATATTAATGCTTAGTGAGTACGTACTGTGCACTAAAATGGTTTACCAAAGAACATTAAAGATATAATTGTTGATTATTGAACAGTATATAATACAATGTTAAAAATACATTTCGTAAAACTTAATTTTGAGTTTTTTCGAGAAAACGATCAGCTAGGATTTTAAAAAAACCAGTTTTTACATCTACGAATAGTCTTTTAAAAGCTTGTTCATTCAATTTTTGGATCCATTTTAGTTGAACCTGTCGATGCTTGAGGACCACTGTGTCCATTTTAATACTTCTACGCATTCAAATTAAATGATAGAATTTTTTACAACTTTTTTTTTTCTACAATGCAATATCAATTAAATTTTAAATAAGCGTACAATTCAATGATTTCTGAACATTCAAATTAAAAAACAAAAATCTACACTAATTCCATTGTCACTTAGAAATTCAATACCAAATTTAAATAATTTATTGACGAATTTTTAATGAGTCCAAAAAGTATATAGGTTAGTAAAAAAAAGAAAAGTACCTCCAATTGTAAGATAAAAATAATATTACGTCTTGAAATCAATTTAGACTTAACATGCTTCTCTTCACCAATACCGTTACCGAAACGTAAAGTGAAACAATATTGTACAACAAACTTATACTTTAAAATTGATCCGCATTGATAACAAGAACCTTGTTAGAAGGTATGTTTATAAAAAATTGCCCGGAAAATACAGAAAATTTAATGAAAAAAATAGGAGATAACGAGGATTGTAAAATCATAAATATTGTCACCGTGAATACTATAAGCGTTCAAAATTGTTTGAATAAACATTATATTGAACGTATTGAACTAAAAATTAATTTACAATTTTATTGAACTCATCTTGAATTGACATTATATTGCTCAAACAATAATTGAATAAGAATTATGTTGCATGAAATTTTCTAAAGACAACATACAGAACAATTTTCTTAGTTAACATTTTATTGTACTGGCGTTTGAATAAATATTTTATCGACGGGAGGCGTCGATATTTATTTTTGTTTAAATTATAAAATCTTTAATTATTAATTTTAATTTCCTAAAAATTAAATAATATACTTCAATATTATATAAGAAAAAAAACAATAAAAATAAATATTCAAATAAAATTAACCCAGTTAATTTAAAACAAAACATGAATTATTTTACATTTACTTTCGTATTTATATGTTGGCCATTGTCCAGAACAAATGCAACTGGTGTTTTCATAGGAAGATTATAAATCAAAATATTTTATATCACAATTTTCCTCTCATTGCCTGATTTGAGAAAAATGTTGAATAGTGAAATAAATCATCGTATTTTATTCATGTAACGGAAGAAATGGATCTATTTGAGAAATGAGAACAGATTTCAGGATGAATTTTTAACGGGAGTAAACTAGTTACACGATGATTAACTTTTATAACAGCTATAAATACTTAATAATATATTAGTTTAACATTATACGATCAATTTTTAACTTTTAATAATAATAATAATAATTATAAAAATAATAATTTAATTATATTTATGAAATAATTTAGAAATCAAGGACATTATGTTACTGAATATAATAAAAAGTGTTTCATTTTTTGATTTTAATGAATTTAATTATATATTTATTATTATAAATTTTCTTTAAATAAATAAATTAATATACTATAAAAATAAATAAATTTACTAATGGTAGATAAAAAATATATGGTGAAAACATATTTATTCAATTTTCTATTATTTTCAATCATCTTGATTGATTATTGATATAAATGAATAATGTTCAAGTTAGGGGGAACTCCGTAATTTCCAAAGTTCTTTAACCTAAATGTATTTGTTTTCAGAACTTCCTTATATGTTTCACATTTTAGTAAATTTCATATCAGAATTATTATTTTAATATAAATAAATAAACTAATAAATATAATTTAAATTAAAATCATATAATTTTTTTAAATTATTTATAACTTTAGTCAAGTAAAATTAAATGTCAATATACAATTTTATTATTTAATGAATATTAGTTTTGAGTTTTAAACAATCCAAATTAATTAAAACATAAATTAGCTTAAAGGAAATAAATTAAATGTTTATTTTTAGTATTATAAAAGGTTTATATATATATTAAAGACAAATTTGATTGAAGAGATAAAAAATAAATTGACTCATGTATAATAAAAATTTTATTTTTAAGTATAAAACTAGACTCCATATATTTTATTTTTCTATTATCTTTTAGGAATAATTTTTCTAATAATTCAATAAAAATAACTAACAGTAAAATAATCAATTATGGGATATACACTAATCCATTGAATTGAATTAATAATTATAAAATGACCAATAATTATGATTTATTATCAACTAAAGTGAAATTGAAGTAATTTTTATTTTTACTGACATTTGAAAAAAAAAGAAGAGTCAATGAACACTATAAAGAAAAGAATGACAACAGGTGAATATTATAAGGGATGAAGGAAATAATCACAATAAGCATTTGAAAATCGATCCATGCTTGCGCACATTTCGTCCTTCTTTTCCACACGCCCTGTGGCTTCCATGAAAGATAATGCGTATTTGTAAAACAATTTGTTAACAAACTAACACTTTCACAAAAAATGACAATATTTTACTAGAAAATCGTGTAAATCTCAATAAATTCTTTCTAATGATGAGAAAAAAAAAGAAAAAACAATGTTTATTAATTTAAATATACACTTCGTTATCAATAAAGTTTTTTAAAATAATATTATTAAAATATTCTAAAAGATAAAAGAACAAGATCATAAATTATTGATAAAAAGAAAATTATTTTGATTTTCTCATCTTTACAAAATATTTTGCTTTCAGTTAAAATTATAATTAAAGTTGAATAAATATTGAAACTGTATATAAAAAAAAATACCTATACATTATTTCAATAATATACAAAAAAAGACAATTTTAACTAATATTCGAAATTTTCAAAAAATGAAATTTAAATAGTACAAGATATAAATAAAGAAATGAATAAAATTAAATAAAATTAAATAAATAATATTAATATAATATAATAACAAAAATATAATAATATAACTTTAAAAAATAAAAAAAAAATTCAATTTTCCAAAAGTGTGTTTTTATCATGAAAATGAAAGGTATTTTCAAATCTATTAGTTTATAACTTAAGAAATTTTATCTAATGGAAATGAACAACAAGTAAACAATTTGAGCAGATAATAAAGAAGGAAAAAAATAATAAAGTAAATATATATTGAACAAAAAATTTAACTATATATTTTTTTTAAATTAAAAAACAATGTGAATATCTAGTTACCATCAATCATCTTCTTGATATAACGATAATTAGTTGACCTTGAGTTTTATAGAATGATAAACAAATCTTTTTTTTTTTTTTTAAATAAAGGACAGTGCCCTTAGTATTGTTGTTGTTAGGTCCACTACGCTTTCAACACTAGTTTGATAATCTTATCGGTGATTCAACCCCCATGAAATGCCACAATATCGCCCTGCGCAGAATAAGTCACCCCCACCTTTAAGGTCACTGAGAGATGCTTTTAATTGTATTTGTTCATATAGATGTGGGGTAGGTAAGTGCTTGAAATCATCATCTAAATTAGAGATTCTCCTTCATCTATTTCTATACATAGACAAGCTTTGATAAATTGAAAGTTGTTTATAAATATACTATATATATGTATATCTAATATAAAATTCTCCACATAACTATTTAATATGTAATATGTATAGTTAATAATTTTTTTTTTAACTTTTATACTTTTTCTCTTTAATAAGATTCTTACATCTTATATGTAAAACCCCTTCTTTTACTCTTACAGAATTTAACTCCAATATTGAACCCAAAAATTATTGCAGCTTTTTATGACGATTTGAATTAGAAGCACTAGTATTAAGATTGTTATTAAAAAAGAACTTTTTTTTTTAAATTTAAATGTAAAGAACAGTTTCTTTTTATAAGTAAAATAAAATGTCAAATTAAATAACAGCGCGCAAGCTGAATAATTTCTATTTATTGCACAATGAAACATTATTTTCTTCAAGGAAAATAAAATAAGTTTATTTTTTATTTATTCTTTTTTTTATTTTAAATTATATTGTATTAAAAGAATAGTTAAAAAAAAATCGATTCCTTTTATGGAGTTCTGAACGTATTCTTTTTTTATAAAATAACATTTTTTTACAATCGTCGTCATTGGTCAATATGAACACTAAAAAGTTTTCTTTTTCGCATTTAAAATTATATTTTCCTGTTCCCATCTAATAAAAATCTTATAATTCGTTTTCTGTTCTACTATTTTTTAGATTAGTATAGTTTTCTGCTAATTCTTATAGTGGATGACTTTCTCCTTTTTTAATTAATAGATTTTAGTAAGAATTAGTAAAATTTCACTCGTTCAGATTTAGAGAGTATAAAAAGAATAGAAATCTTGGCGCACTACTTAAATTTTATTCGATTTAATTAATCTTTGGCAAACTCTTCTTTTTTTTAACTCCTTGACTATATGAGGTACATCTATAGACGTACTTTCTATAAAAACTTAAAAAACAAAAAAAATCGGACAAGTGTGAGTTACACTCACATTAAAACCGAGGGTTTCGTATCCTTAAACCTAAAATTTAAGGGGGTTAAAGTGTGAAGGCAGGTGGAAAAATTCCAATTTTACTTAATTTTTCCTGTAATGTGAGCATAAAAACACATAATTAGACACATAGTCGCATATAACGAAAATTATCAGTTTTTCCTTGAAAACGCTATGATAAAATTTCCATCTTTTTTTATTCGAAAAATCATGCCTGTTCCCCCTTCGGGTACGGAACCCTAAAAATAACAGATATACATCATACTGACGTTATTTAAGGTATAAGGGTGATTCTCTCAAAACACAGAAAAAACCTAGTCTCATTTTTGTTGCAAATCAAAATGAGCCAATGCTAAACGACATAGACAGTGGCGCCACCAACCTGGTTCATTTTTGTTGCACATCAAAATGAGCCTTCTACATGGTTCATTCTGAGTTCAGTTTTTTTTCTGTGAAAGGACAAATTACGCTTTTAAGATATTTTGTTAAAAAATATGAAAATTAATTGAAATTATTTAAAATTCTGTCAGCCATACGTTAGGATTTAACAATTTTCAATTGGACCACTAAAGAAAATTTTAAAAAAAGGTAAAATAACTGAAATATTGAATAAAAACTGATGTTACGGAATGGAGTTTTAACACTAGTTTTCATTCAATAATTCAGTTGTTTGCCATTTTTTTGAAATTTTCTTTAGTGATCCCATAAAAATTTGTTGAATTTTATCGTATGGCTGGGAGAATGTTTATTAATTGAAATTAATGTTATTATTTTTTAACAAAAACCTTGTCCAAAAATTGTGCACAAATAATTTGTTCTTTTTGAGAGAATCACCTATAAATATTGAACGCTGAATTCGAATTTGAGGTCAAAAATTAAAAATTCGAAAACCTAAATCCAATATCTCTTTTCAAAAATGACCTATTTTGAAATTCGATTGAAACTTGTCACTGAAGTTGTTTTTGAGGTTACTAATTACGAATATGAAGTCAGTTTCATTTAAAACTCGTTACTTGGGGGTTTTATAAAGGTCGCTGATCTCGAATCTGATGTTAGTTTTTCAAAATTCAAAACGGCGGATCCAATATGGCGGACAGGAAACTAAAAATCATTCGAATTTACTTACAACTTGTTACTTAAGGGTTTGTTGGGGTCGCTATCCAGATAGCATCCAATTTTGCAAGAAGTTAACAGGAAGTTAACGACCATAAATTTGAAAGTTAACAATGTTAACTTCCCGTTAACTTTCCAGAAGTTTTAAATGTCCTCAGAGTTTAAGTTAACACTGTTAACTTGTTGGAATTTATAAAGCTAAATTTGCCGAAAGTTTGGATAAATTTTGCAAAAAATTTTCTTTTATTAATTCAAAATTAAAAAAAAACAATTTTTCAAGATGAATGTATTTTTAGTTCATTCATAGCTTATCTAAAGGGAAATGTAATTAAAAAGTATTGCGTAGCTCTAGCTGCTATAGAAAACATCTGCGCATAAACTTCTGAGAAGTTAACGGGAAGTTAACAACGTTAACTTCCAAACTTATCGACGTTAACTTTCTGCACGGAGAGAAATTTCTAGGAATATTTACCGTGCTGCCACCTGAAAGTGAGCACGATAAATATTCCTAGAAATTTCTCTCCGTGTGTTAACTTCGTGTAAAGTTCGGTGCTATCTCTGTACACTTGTAAAAAATAAATCTTATTTTAAGATAAGTCTTAAATTCAGTAGTACTAGCCATAATGTATTTAAATTCAAATTGCATGTAAATTCATTGCTTAGATTCAGCAAGGGCTGTCTTAAAAATGTTACCTCTTAAAGTAAGACCTTTTTTCGGCCTTAAAATAAGAATTTCTTTTTACAGTGTAAATACGAATCTGATGTTAGTTTTTCAAAATTCAAAATGGCGTACAGAAACATTAAAAATTATTAAAATTTACTTAAAACTTGTTACTTAGGGGTTTTTCGGGTCGCTGAATTCGAATCTGATGTTAGTTTTTCAAAATGGTGGATCCAATATGGCGGATAGGAAAATTAAAAATCAATAGAATTCACTAATATCTATCAATATTTACAATATTTCTTAGTGTAGACTGAAAAAAATTATTTTTCTTAAATAATCGGTTACTTGACTAAATTATCAAATATAAATATTTATTTAATTCAAATAAAAATTATTTGGTTTAAGTAAATATTTATTTGATAATAGTCAAGTAACTGATTATTTGAAGCAAATAAATTTTTTTTTTCAGTTTATATAAGAAAGTAATTAATATGGGTATATACTTTTAATTATAAGTTTTTCGTATAATTAACTTAGTAAATTGATAAATTATTACCCAAAGCCATAAGTCATTGATCATTATGATCATTAAGATAATTAAAGGTACTTTAATTAATGAATTTAGAAAGTAAATATCTCGGTAAATATATACTTAAAGTTCACGTGCGTCATATATATATATATGTAAAAAATAAGTTTTAGGGGTAAAATTTGAAAGAAGAACCTTTTTTTTATTTTTAGTACCTGACTTTTAATATTTATAAAATATACCTTGCTCTCGTTTTGCACTGAAAATAGGATTGAAATGTTGTATTTTTAGAATCACACAAGGAACTACATATATATTCACGGTCAGATATATATTTCAATTTGTTCTACTTAGAAATAATCGTATAAGTAATATAAACAAGAGTACTTTTTGATATCAAACTATTTCTAAATTGAGCTCCAAAATATATATGATTGAAAATATATATCCTTTAAAAAGTTATTCTATTACTATTCTATTTTCAAGGGTTTTAGACCTCCCCCCTCCTCCCCAAATATAATAATGTTGTCCCCTATAATTTATCTTCCCCTTAGATGCTTACATAAAACTTCCCTATATTGTTGATATAAAAAATCAAAAACTTTTGGAATATTTTTCTTGGTTGTTATAATAATTATATCATATACTATTATATTAACTTGTGAATAAAATGCGATCAAGCGAAATTTTGATATCAGAAATACTAAATTTAAAAAAAAAAACTTATATGGAAATTTAGTAAAGTTATATTAAAATTTGTTAAACGTGTGTATTTAATATTTGATATAACTTTACTAAATTTCATAATTTTTTTTTTAAAGTTTAGTATTTTTGATATCAAAATTTCGCTTTATCGCATTTTGTCCTACAATTGTAAAATACTTTTATAAAATTTGATATTAACTTTCCGTGTAGAAATTTTAAAAGAAATAAAAATTTCTATAGATTTGAAATTTTCAGTGATTCGATACGAATTCTATTTCTCGTTACCTATACATGTTGAAATAAAACGATTTTTTCAAAACTGACATACGTGGTAGGTATATTTTAGAATTATGAGCAATCAAATATCACATGTTGACCTTCCTTACATTATGTTTAATAATTCATCGATGACATAGTTATATATCTATATACAAAAGACTCTCTTCAGACTGTGTAAAGATAATTTTGCTAACTAATATTAGAGTGATGGCGATCGATAAAACCTTAATTTCAAGAAGATTGTTTTCTTTCTGTTTCAATATTTGGAGTCTTAGAGTAAAGAAAACCCGTCTATAATTAAAAAAAAAACTAACAAAAAATCGATACGAATTCTTAAAATGTAATAAATTATATTATCACAGTTACTTTATTAAAATTTAATTTAATTTAATTTTTTTTTGCATTCTCATCGTATATTCAAGAAAGTTAACACTATTTTTAAATACTTTTAAATAACAATTTAAATTTTTCACATTAAAGTTATTATTTTAAATTGCTTTTCTAGATGATTTATTATTAAAATAAAAAATTTAAAGTATATTTCAACATATGAGGAAAAATTGTAAAAATGTTAGCTGAACAATTCATATACATATATCAAGTTGAAAAGAAATTATTTCTATTCAAAGTCATGTTCATATCAACTTAATTATAATTTAATGATTCCATTTAAGTACGCAGGTCTTGTGTAGAAAACAAGTTGTAACTATTATGTAATTTTTAAGTATTTCGATATCAGTTTACATATCTGCAAATTACACCGTCCGAAAAAATTAAACTTTTTTTTGCACACAAAAAAAAAAGTCAAGCGTTTTCGGAAATTATTAATAGGTCCAAAAAATATGCATATTTTGCCGTTTTGTTAGATCAAATCGTTTACGATTTTTAGGGATAAAAACAACCCTTAAATGGAAGATGATAAAATACCTTTTTAAAAATTTTATTTTTTTATGACACTTTAGGAGTTTTCAGGGTCTCTATGAATACGAATCTGATGTCAGATTTGTAATCACCTAACAGGTGTTTCATTATTTTCCATTTAACGGTTGTTTTTATCTCTAAAAATCATAAATGATTTAATCATATCGGACGGTGTTATTACATACTGATATATATATATATATATCATAGATTAAAAATAAAAATTGTTTTTTGAATTTTTATTTACTAATATAAAAAATAACCTCACCTCCAATAACTCGAGTGCGAATATCATCTGGCCGTTCATTTCGATTGATTTGAAAAGTAGAACCATTTGAATTGAGCATGTTTGTCATTGGAAGGGACATTTCCGCAGGATTAATGCGGTTTGCGAATCCTGCCAGCTGAAAAATATTTAATTATAAAATAAATTAATGAATAAAAAATTTCAACTAAAGTGAATGATTAAAATTAATATTTGTAAATATAAAATAAAAAATCACGGTGAACTTAGACTAAGTTGTTTAAAACTATGCAAGATAAACCAAATATTTGGTTAATAACCATCTATTTGGTTTATTTAATATTAACCAAACTTTAATATTTTTTCATTTTATACTCAGAATTTTAAGTACTTGATTCATCTTTGCGTATATCAGAAAAACAATTAGATGAGCAAGAACTTTTGGGTTGAACTTAGTCCAAGCTCACCGTGAAATAAAATATCAATCAAAACGTAATTTTAAAAGTGTTTTAATATTTTTTATTCTGAACACTTTAACTTGGACCAATTAATAAATTTTATTATTTGAAACATTAATCATTAAAAATTTTTTCACCATAAAATTGTGTACACATATTTGGTTTATTTTTTTCGTTGAAACAAAATTATTCATAAGAAAAAATAGTAAATACAATATTGTTATTATATAATTATAGAAAAAAAATCAATTCCCATTCTTTTCGTAGTCGTATATTTTTCCCCTAAGGTTTAGAAACTATGTCTATTCTATTTTTAGAAATTATTTAGATATTATTACCACAAATAATTTTTTTTACTAAATTTCTTATATAAAATTTATTTGTATAAATAATTAATAATAATAAAAATTAGTTTATTTATTAATGTAATATAACGAAATTTTTGAATTAACATTTTCTATTTAAATTTATCAAAAACAATGATTTTCACAATGTTTATAATATACAAAAAGTATTATTTAATTTATTTTTATAAAAAAATAGAAACGAGAATAAAAAAATTTAATGTCTCCATATTATGACTTCATTTTAAAATAAAAAGAATCAATGTTTCTAGGATCGTAAATTTTTTATTTCAGTATTATTAAAAATCAGTCCTATAATGCTAGTGAAAACAATTTATTCTAAAAATTAAGATCATTTACATCTATTTTAGAATATTTTAACGCAATTTATTGTTAAATAATTAATTGTACACTCAGAGAAAATTTTTATTTGCATTTATTTGAGATAAATAAAATTTATTTGAAACAAATAAATATTAATTTATTTGACTCTGAATACAATAATATATATCTTTTCTCTAGGCGTATAAAATAAATTCTTTTCGGTGTGCGTGTTCGTAAAATTAAAAACACTAAAAAACAACACTGAATTTAAATTAAACTTTGGGAATGAAAATTCTAATCACTGTTAACGGGGAAAATTTTAACAATATAAAAATTAAAGCAAAATAAAGTATAAATTAATGCAAATAAATGTTTTAATAAAAATAAATTAAGCACTGTCAATTTAAAAATTATCGTTTTGTATGATTAAATCACAATTTCACTATTCACTTAGGGAACTTAATTTCTTTCTTAAATCAAGTTAAATAATGATAATAAAATGATATTGTCAATAATAGTAATGAAACATACTAAATTTTGTTTCAATTTATTAAAAATTTTTTTTTTTTTAAAGAATTACTAATTTATTTTTTTGAATTTTTACTAAATTAACTGTCACCTTGCTAGACCTTCCGTCGACGATATCAACAGAGTGAGTGTCGACGTTATAACAAGTTACAATTTACAACGACGCTTCGTACGTAGGCCACGGTCGTATATGTTTAACTATAGCACATAGAGGGTTGAATAAAAAATATACATTATTGTTCCATAACGTCTTCATATTTATATATTATATATATATATACTAAAGGTCAATTCAAAAAAGGAGTTCATTGAGCATTTTTCATACATAGTTTTATCAAATTTCATTAAAATATATATTTATAATAATTTTTTTACAATTTATTTCGATTCATATTTTTTAAAAAAAAATTTAATTTATATATACATTGATAATGTTCACTATTATAAAATGTTATATTAAATAGTAAATTATTAATTTTGTTAAGAATTCAAGATTTCATTTGTTATTACAAATGAAATATACTTTGTCTAATATGTTAAATAATTCTTTGGTTAATCAATATACACTCGTTATGTATCTATACTACGTTCACTTAAAAACTTTACCTTATAAAAAGTTCAATAATGCCGATTAATTACGCGGAATTTAAACTTGTTTACTATTTTTTTTTTTTTTTTTTTTTTGTGAAGATTTATTATGGGAAATGCAGATTAGGAGTAATTTGTTAATATCTTTTAATCTTTTTTAATTAATTATTATAATTATTATTTTCTTAATATTATTTCATTTTAATATTAATTCTGTAAAATAAAATAAATGGGAAATTAAAATAAAAGTCTTTGCGTTTTTGTCAGACATCTATACTTTGTCTATAAAACGGACACTCTAATGCTAAGTATGTTAATAAAGCTTAATATATTTGGTACATATATATAAAGGTTAAGAATTTGCAATTAATAAAGTTCTTAAATGCGATTGATTTAATGTTTTCCTTATTGAAAGGCATGAATTATTTGATAAATTTAATTTAATTATGAATATAATATTTCTATTGTGTATTTCGTAATTATTGCTTACATTTTAATAAAATAAAAATTACTAAGAGTCCATCTTGCATTTGGTAATGACTCAAAAATTGTACATAGGGATGTGTTATCAAATTATTAAAGTGGAACGTCCCAAATATTGCATTTCACAAACGCATTTCCACTTTATGAATTTGGTAACCCATCCCTGTTTACAAGTTTTGAGTTTCAGTACCCTGTGCAAAATGGACAGTAATCCTATAATTTTTTGTTTCTTCGGTCCTTTTCCTCAGAGAACGTTACATATGAAGTACTGTTCACAACAACATTGAGGTTAGAAAAAAGGGTTGTATTAGAAAACTAAATCGTAACTTAAAATAACTAAAGGAGCTTTTAGAAAAATTTTTATGTAGGATGTTTATATTATCTATACTCATTAAAAATTCCTTTAAAGATTCCTTACACGTATCTTATGTACAGAATTCTTTATAGGATTTTAAAAAAAAACTTGAAAAACTTTTTTTTCTAATTAAAATGACATATGCGTTCTTGAAGGTTACGTTCACGAATAATTTTGTTAATTCTGTATATAGAAGATTCTATAAAGGATCTTGCATAGTATATCTGTAAAGAATCCTTAAAAGAATTTCCTCCTAGGCAACCCACTTTGCACGCCTGTATAAACATAGTATTTGTATCAAATAATAATTATTATTATTTGAGTTAAAGATGTAAAACATAATATTTAGTATCAATGAAATAAATATTATCTATCTATATTATTTGAGCCAATTAAATAGTATTTGTTTCAAATACAGAAATTATTGGTTCCAATACAGTTTATTTAATTCAAATAAAAATTATTTATGGTTCAAATAAATATATTTATAAAATAATATTTTTTCCATAACTTAGTTATTTTTTTTAGTGCGATTCCAAGTGAGATTTTGACTTTTTCGGAGTAGGTTAACCGATTGCAATGAAACTTTGGAATTTTGTTATATATAGTAAGACTAATCTTTAACGTAAATTTCAGCCTAAAATATTTGTTAGTTTACGAGATTTGCAATAATAACAAAAAATTTTAAACTGCTATATTTTCCGTTCTAATAATCGGATTGAGGTCTACTTTTTTTTAAAATGTCAAGGAAAATGAGAGGAATAAATCTCTTTCAGAACATTTTTTTATAATTTTACAACTAAAAAAATTATTAAATAATAATTGAATAACTTTCGCGCGACTAACTAAAATTCAATCACTTAAACGCTAAAATGATCTTACCTGTATTTTCTTTAATGTTCCAAAGGATTTTTATTGTAAATGTAAGTTTAACTTAAGAAATTTTATTAATTTATTAGTATAAACAATTGAGATTTCTGCTAGTTGACGTGCAGACGACATTGCGCACGCAGCATTCTCACATAGCCAACTGACGTGATTCGTGGACTAAATTGGCTATGTGAGAATGCTGCGTGCGCAATGTCGTCTGCACGTCAACTAGCAGAAATCTCAATTGTTTATACTAATAAATTAATAAAATTTCTTAAGTTAAACTTACATTTACAATAAAAATCCTTTGGAACATTAAAGAAAATACAGGTAAGATCATTTTAGCGTTTAAGTGATTGAATTTTAGTTAGTCGCGCGAAAGTTATTCAATTATTATTTAATAATTTTTTTAGTTGTAAAATTATAAAAAAATGTTCTGAAAGAGATTTATTCCTCTCATTTTCCTTGACATTTTAAAAAAAAGTAGACCTCAATCCGATTATTAGAACGGAAAATATAGCAGTTTAAAATTTTTTGTTATTATTGCAAATCTCGTAAACTAACAAATATTTTAGGCTGAAATTTACGTTAAAGATTAGTCTTACTATATATAACAAAATTCCAAAGTTTCATTGCAATCGGTTAACCTACTCCGAAAAAGTCAAAATCTCACTTGGAATCGCACTTTAGTATTTTTATTTTCAATTATTGTTTTTTTTTATTTTCTATAAATTAGTCATTTATTTTAAGCAATTAATATAACAATGAATAAAAATAAATAAAAAATATAGTAATAATTTATTATTAAAAATTTTACTAAATTAATTATATGTGTACATATAGATACATATTTGTTGTAGAAGAGTGGTAAGGTGGGGGATGTAAATTATTCTCATCAATTATTATGCCAATAATATATTTCTGTTTACAAAGTTAGTATAATAAAAGAGCCACGATAACTATATACTTGGAAATTATTACTCAATCCAGAAATATTCGAAATATAAACGAATTGAAAAAATTTTTGAAGAAAATAATACGTTGCAAATGCGAAAAATTAAAGGTATTCCACAGATTATTAAATTTATTTGTTTAGAATGTTTAAAATTATAAATATAAAGTAATATTGTATATAATTATTTTTTCTTTTGACGCAATTCTTTTAATATAATTAATTATTTTTATATTGTAATTTGCTTGTTGTCATTAATTTTTACTATTTATTTTCATAAAAAGCTATAATGTATCTATATATATATATATATTTGTCAAATAAATTATAATATTTATAAAGTAAAATATTTCAGAAAAAGAGAAACTAAAAAAGGAAATAAAAAAATTAAAATTTCTGCATTCAGAAATGAAAAAAAAATGTGAGATTTATAAAAATGAGAAAAAAATTTTAAATGAAATTGATTACAAAAATATTTTTGATACATGTGATGATTGGACATATGATTTATACAAATATTTTGGTTTAGTTTGTACAAAAACTATTTCTAATAGGGAATGTATATTTGAATTTAAATCTTTTAAAGAGAATTCAAATGATAAAACATATTTTATTCAAATGTTACTCAAAGAGAAAGAAATCAAATTGGGATTCTGGAAAATGCCAATTTTATTAGACATAAAAGATATTTTTCTAATAAAGCCAATAAATGATTTAAATCAATTTGGAAATTGTTTGTTGTTGTATAAACATTATCTTTATTGTCAACAAAATCGTCAAAATCAATTCAAAGAGTTAAAGGTAAATTAACGTTTTTTTTTATCCTATATGTGAAACATATATTTTCATATTTTAAATAATATCAAAAAAGATCACTCCGAGTTAAAAAAAAATTTTTTTTATAATTTTGAAAATTAGAATGCTTTTTTAATTTTCTTTTAAATTGCAGATTTATGTCGATAAATTAAACAGTTGTTATCTCCAATCAAATTCGGAAATTTACACTTACGTTGAGTTACAAATTTTTCATTTACAAGAACTGGAATCTAATAATATTGTAAATATTTCAATTTATATAATTTACGAGTTAAATGAAATTAGACCTTCTAAAATCAAAATAGAACCAATTTATGAAGAAGTTTTTCCTTTCGAAATGAAACAGAAATTAATAAAATTGTTTAAAGATTTCAAACATCTTGAATTGAGATTAGCCTATGAGAAAATAATTAATGAAAAAAATGGAGATATTTTTCAGTGGAATATTGACATCGAATATGTAAGTAAAATATTTTTTTACTATCAAAATTTATATGGTAATAAATATAAATTAAATTATATTATATATTTTCAGTTCGATGAAAATGTTCAAGACGAAGAAATAAGTGTTCAAAACCAAAATGTTGCACAGAACGAAGAAAACGCTCAAAACGAAGAAAATGTTCAAAACAAAGATAATGTTCAAAATGAAGAAATCGTTCAAAATCAAGATGAAGAAAATAAATTCCAAGATGTTAATAATAATAATAATAATATTAATAATAATAATAATAATAATAACAGTAATAGCGAAAATTTTCAAAAAAAGAAAATTTCTAAAAAACAGAAGAATTTGGCAAAAGTAAATCAAAAGGCAAAGGAGAGTGTTAAAAAAGAGAGAAAGAATAAAAAATTAATTAATGTAGTTCAAAAAAAGAAAGGAAAGCAAACTACTCTAACTGAGACAAAATTAAAGACAAAAAATTCCAGTAAATTCAATAAAATTTTTAATTTGGCAAATTTCGCTTTAAATCAAGACACAAACAAATCATTAAATAATAATTCATTAACCAAAAATTCCCAAGATTCAATTAATAGTACACCAATTCCCACTTCAAGTCAATATAATTTTGAAGATAGTGATATTAGCGAAATAAATGAAAATAATAAATCACCACTGAAAAAAACAAGACTTAGTTATTCAAGTGATTCGGAATTTGATGAAGTGTTTGAAGAACCAGATGAAAATTTATTAAATGAATTAGAACAAATTTCAAATGTCTTTGACAGTGTTTCAAAAAGGAAAAAACGAAACATAAAGAGAAGTGGAAAAAAGTGATAAAAACTCAAAATCAAATTTATAATTTATTTGTAATATATTTTTTTTTTGTTTTTGAAAAATTATTTATTTATATCGTTTTCAATTATAAAAAATATTTTAAAAATCAATTTGGAATAATCGACGAATTCTTAATAAATAGTTCACCATTTCTCTCAAATATTGGACAAAGTGAAAGAATACATATCTTTTTATGGGTTTTTCTCCTTGTTTTGTTAGTTCAATAAATATTTGTTCAAATGTTGGCTGATTCAATGAAAAATCATTAATTGACGAATATTTCGCAGATAAATCACGTAATAAAGTTAAAACATTGTTGTAATCAATGTGTTTGGGAATTTCAAAAGTTAAAGTATTCTGAAAAAAAATTCAATATTAATAATAATAATAGTAACAAAAAATAAATAAATATCATATATAATAATTAATAAAAAAAAATATAATACATGTAATTAAAATAAGTAAAAAAAGAAAGAAACCTCGAGACTAGTTTCTTTTAGGATAATACCAGGAAAACTTTCAATAATAATATATTTGATAAATTTTGTTTCTTCGTTTAATTCTTGATTTAAATTATTTAACGTCACAAATAAAATAACATTTCCATACATATTTTTTAAATCTTCAAAATTTCCAATAATAATGAATTTTCCTTCACGAAGAATACTAACTCGAAGACACAAAGCCTCAACATCTTCGATACTATAATTAATATAATATTTGAATTTAATATTTGAAAAAAAGAATGTTATCAACTTTTCTATTTTACAAATTCAAATAATATTTGATCAATAAAAGTAAAAATAATTTATAAAAGAAATTCAAGTTTCTGAATTTTTGGTAATTTATGTAATAGAGATTAAAATTTTTTTGTTAGTGTCTTTTTTAATTAAAATTTTTATTATTGTTTTCAGATATATACGTTTACCTGTGGGTTGTGATTAATAATGATCTTCCCATTTCTCGAGATTGATTTAAAACATCAAAAAGGACATTTTTTGATAAAGCATCGATTCCAATAGTGGGACTGTCCAAATATAAAATCGGTAAGTCACCAATTAAACATTGTAGAATGCAAATTTTTTTTTGTATTCCCCAAGAACATTTGTATATTTGTACATTTTCAAAGTCCAAAAGATCTGTGTAAAAAAAAATTTGTGTAAAATTTACAAAATTCAATATTATGTCAAGAATTCTTATTAGAGAATCTTAATTCATTAATTTTCACTTAAAAAGTCGTTGTGGACTCTTTTTAGAAAAATTTGATAATTTCTATAGAAATAATATTTTTGATACTTGATTTTTAAATTTGGAAAATATGATTATATTTTTTTTTATATTAAATATAAAAATGTTTTTCTACATATTTCTATATAATAAACTAAGATGGATATATAAAAGCAAATTAAATAAATTTATCAAATAAATGCGAAAAATATATTGTGTACAAATATCAAAAATAAATTTCTACGAATTATCATATTTTTCTGAAAAAAAATGTGTCACAACGACTTTGAATGAAATACAATAATGGATTGACCCAAGAACATTTTTTTTTTAAATGCCCTAGATACCGAAAACGTCCATCCATTTGTCAACTTCTCTTTGGATATTTTTATAAGGAATTCCACGTATTATTGCGAAAAATGTTAAATTTTGTCTGCCAGTTAGATACTCATTTAATCCCCCATATTGAGGACAATATCCTACTAATCCTGAGAACTAAAATATTTTCTTAAATTAAAAAAAGAATACTAAAATATCTAAAAATGTTTTTTTTTAAATACTGTAAAAGTATTTTAAAAAATCATTAAAATTTTATTTTTAAACAATTCTTAATATTTTTTAAAAATATATTATTTTATTAAATATAAGTACTTGGTCAAAATTATTGTCCAGATAATATTTCTGAATAATAGCATTTCCTTTTGTAATATTCGTTTCGCCTGTGAGTATTTTTAAAATTGTTGACTTTCCAGTAGAATTCATGCCCAATAAACCGAAACATTCTTTTTGATTTACCTATGCAATATAAAAGTAAAATAAAAAATACTTATTTTTTTACCGAAAAATTAAAAAACAAATAATTTTCTTTTTTTTAAAAAATAATTTACAGTAAAATCTACTCCTTGTATCACCATTTGCTTTCCATATTGTTTAGTTAAATTTTGTACTAGAATAGAAACTTCCGATCTTAATTGCCCAGTTTCTTCAAATTCTATTTAAGGAAATATTATTTTACCTAATTTTATTTTTATATAAAAATATATAAAATTTTTGAGTAGAAAAAATAATTAAATATATTATTATTTTTAATATTAATTACTTCATTTATTCTATTAAAAAAATGTTACCCTTCATTAATTCTGCACATTTTTGTTTTTCTTCTAAAATTTGTTTTTCCATTGATTCAATCGATTCATCTATTAATTCAGGATTTTTTTTCTTTTTCAAAATTGCAATAGAGTTTGTTATTTTTTTAAAATGCATTTTCCATTTACGAAAATTTTGGTTTTCAAATATTTGCAGAAATATTGAGAAAAATAACCCTTGAAATAAGAGTGAACTCAAATTTTCTAATATTGAGTGACAATATTTATCTGATTTTTTTGATTTCATTAAATTGAAAAATTTAAAACAATATTTTCCTGATTCATCACAATTCTCTAAATTAATATTAATTTTTTGTTTGTACATTTTTCAAATATTTTATTAAAAGTTAAAAAAAAAGCAATTTTTAATTTAATTTTAAGACCCAACATATTAGAAGAATAAAATTTCTTTTTTTTTTATTAATATTCGATGAGCCTTTATAAAATTAAAATTGACAATTTTATTAGACTAAAAATAATGTTAATGATAATTATCATAAACTTCATTTTTAGTCAATTTATCGGTCAGTGCCTGTTATAATGTACCTTTTATTATATGTCTTTAATACTTAGACATTCATATATTGCTTTATTATCATTGCAATTAACAATTCTTTCTTCTATATCTATAAATAATAAAATAATTTAACTCACGACAACAATGATCTTCAAATCGATAGTCAGTATCACAAGCGTTATATTTTTCACATTGATAATTGTGTATAAATAAAGTAATATATTTTCTAATTGCACAACCAAATGGATAAGGTGGAATTAAATGCAATATTAAAAAAAATATAAATTTTTCAGTTTTATTTAAAAACTGTGTCAAAAATGGTAATAAAATCGAAACATTTTGCAAAAACACTGAAACATAATAATAATAATAAAAAAATACAGTCAATAAATATTAATGTTTTACAGTAAATTAATTTTATATAGATTATTAATTTTTTTTACTTACACACGAGAACACTAATAAAACAGACAATAAAATAAACACTTTTTAATTTTATTGGTAAAAGTTGTAAACAATAATTTAGAGGAATCGCTGCCACTCCATAAAATAGGAAAATTATCAATAACTCAACTGTGTAATTAAATTATTGATTTTAAATGACAAATCATTATTATTGTAAATAGAAAATTAAAAAAAAAATTTTTTTTTTTACCAAAAGCCACTGATGAGAATCTAATTTTTCTATAATAAAAAAAATAGCAGACAAATGATACAATAATTAATGACAACATAAATAATATTAAATCAAAAATATAATTTGGAATCCAATAAATAAATGTATTCATTCCAGATGTATTTAATTGTAATTGTTTTGAGATTGAAATTTTTTCTCTCATTCCTAAATCAATACTGGGTAGAATTAATAATAGATTGATTATAATTGCTGCATTTATCCAATTTTTGATAATTTGAGAATGTGTCACATGATACTGCCACTAAATCATAATTATAATATTTTAATTTTAATATAATATTTATAACATTTAAAATAGTAGAAATAAATATTGTTTTCAATTTTGAGTAAATTAAAATTTTCTTTAGTTTTTTATTAAATTTTTAAATAAATATTAATTACTTGTTTTGGATTAACTAGGGCATGACTTTTTAGAATTATTTTACAATTATTACAACCATATTCTTGTAAAAGTGAATTATAGAAAAGATTTAAGGCAATTGGACTGCTATGAATTGTATAAGAGGAATAAAATAATTTAACATTTCCAGATTTTAAAATTTCAACTGCCAAAAAGTAGCGATCTTGAAACTGTCGTCAAAATAATAATTGAGTTTAATATTTAATACAATAATAATGGTTTATCACAATTAATAATAAATTATAATATTTAACTTCTTCAAGTAAAATAATTATTTTTCCATTAGTAAAATGACGTGTGTCAAATATTATATATGACGTCAATTGATTCTCCAAATAAATATATTGAAAAATCATTTAACATGGTGGCTTTTACGTCAAATGTCCACTTAAGAAAAAAAATTTCCAATTCATCCCTAATTTTTTTTTTTTATGAATTGTTGACTACGTCAGTAATTTATTAAACAAAATGTTTTTGAACTTAAAAAAAAATGATAAAAAGAAAAATTTTTATTTTTAATTTTATTTTCAAAAAGCTGAAATTTTTTTCTAACATCTATTTTTTTTTTGAAGAAAATTTATTTTAATTAGAAAAAATCAGAAAATATTAGATTTTTAATTTCGTTCCACGTGTTTAAAATTGAAACAAAAATTAATTTATTATTTAATAATTTCAGTGTGGTGATTTAATTTAGGCAGAAATGATAAAAAAAAAAAAATCCAGAATTCTCATAGAATTATTATTATTTGACTATTTGCATAATCAAATTTTGAAATTTTTTTCACATTCGTGTAACGTTTTTCATTTATTTTTATCATCAAAAAAGCTGTAAGTTTATTTTTTCAGAAAATTGATTTTAAACAGATAAATTCATGGAAATATTAGATTTTTAATTTCATTCCACGTGTTTGAAATTGAAACTAAAATTAATGTTTGATCCAATTTCAGTATGCGATGATTTAATTTAAACAGAAATGATAAAGAAAAATTTTCCAAAATTCTTTTAAGATTTTTTTCATTAACTTTCTATTGGCGTGGTCAATTTTGAAATTTTTATTTTGACACAGATTTTTGAAAATTTTTAATTTTTTTTCACATTTGAATATTTATTTTATTTTTACCATCAAAAAAAGCTAAAATTTTGATTTTCACAGAAAATTGATTTTAATTAGATAAATTAAGGAAATATTAGATTGTTAATTATGTTCGACGCGTTTGAAATTGAAACGAAAATTAATTTATGATTCGATATCAGTATAGTGATAAATCAATTGCGTGCGGTATGACGTCATTGTATATCCATGTGGGTTTAAATTTTATTTTCCATAATAATATTGAACCAAATTATATATTCTTGTATTTTTATTTTTAGAAAAGTTTTATACCTGAATTGAGTGCAATTTAAAATTGGACATTACTCTCGTTGTTGAAATATTTCTTGAAATGTGATAATTTTTCATTTTACCATAAGACCGAGCAACTTTTGTCATTGAGATGAGAAATTTTTTAGAAATATTGCCTCTTGCGGCATGAAAAAGTAAAAAGAAATTTGATTCTGTATATTGTGAAATATTCATATAAATTTTCCTAAACAATTGCAATAGTTTGCTAATTAAAAAAAAACAGTTTTATTCATATAATTTTATTTATATGATTTTTATAAAAGCTTACCTATTTTCAAAATTTTCTTTTCCCAGATTCGATATTGTCATAGTTATTGTAAAAGTAATTGTCGTTAGAATAATCTAAAAAATTATTTATAATTATAAATTAAAATTTGAATTACCAAGAAATTTTAAGGAGAAAATTTTTGTTTTCAATAAAAAAAATTTTTTTTTAATTTATAAATTCTTAGGAAAAAATTTCTTTTTCAAATATTTAAATATTTGTAATTTACGCAAAAGAGGTACAATTTCCAGGACCAAGCAATATGCAATAATTTTTTATATAAAATAGCAATAATTTGATGTTTTGTGAGTTCTCGTCCTTCGAGTCTTTTCCAAGATTCACTAGAATTTAATAAATCTCGTCTTCTTCGTTGAACCATAAGCTCATAATTATTGTCAATAAAAAATGCTCCTCGATCTTTAAATTGACTAATTAATCCTATTCTGAAATTAAAAATTAATTTACTTTTTTTTTAAAAAATAAGATAATAAATAAGAAACTATATATATTTGCGACGAATTTTGCAATCGCAGTGAATTGAAAAAGAATTATTAATTGTAAACATTTTCTGAACTCTGATTATTCTCTTTGGAAAAATGTTCACAGTAAATATTTGAAAAATAGAAATATAATTAAATAATAATTAAATTGAGTAATTTCACTTTAGAAATTGTCCCTCGATGCCAGCTGCTTTCATGGAAACTGAATTAATATTTAATCTTGCTTTATGAAGTTCTAAATAATCAAGCAATCTCGTGACTTTTGATCTTCTGGGAATATTATATTTAACAACTCTACCCATTATGTCTTTTTGAGTAACTTGTTCTGATGAGAATTCTTGCAATTCGTCACGAAGAAGATTTAAATCACATTCTTCTTGATAAACCATACTCAAAACATAACCAATTCCTATTGTATATAGAAATTATTTTTATAATGTTGAAAAAACAAAATTTTTAATATTTTACGGAATTTTTGTACCATAATATCGATTTAAAAACATTTTTGATCCATAACATTCGACTTTTCCATGTACAAAAATTGCTATTCTATCGGCAATATTATCAGCAGCTTCCATTTTATTTGTTGACATTATCACTGTAATTTTTCCCTTTAATTCCTTGAATTAAAGAATTATAAATTTTAATTTTTAAATTTTAATCTCAAAAAAAAAGGCTTTGTACAATCTGTAAATTTTATTTTTACTAAATGATTTATTTACAAAGAAAAAAAAAAAAAAAATGAAATAAAAAATTATGTCATTTAGAATATTGTAAGGGTCTTTATAAAAAACAGAAAAAATTGTTTACTAACCGCTAATAAATTAAAAATCATTTTCTCATTTACAGGATCAAATCCATTAGTTGGTTCATCCAAAATTAGAATCTTTGATTTTTTTGAATAATAATAATTAAATGAAATATTTTATTATTAGGTATTTTATTATTTTTTTTTTAATTACCTTAATATCACCAATTAATGCCATAGCAATGCAGACTCGTCTTTGAACATTAAAATTCAAATTTCTCACTTGACAATTTCTTTCTTTCTCAATATTAAGTTTTTTTAAAAGTTTACGTGATTCTTTTAACGAATTTTTGTAAGATAAACCTTTCACCTTTATTTATTAGTGGATAAAAAAATTAAATAAAAAAAATTCAATTAAAAATAAATAATAATAATAATTAATAAATTAAAAATGACATGAAAAGTCAATAAAATTGAACAAAAAGAATAATTGTAAACAAAACAAAAATACCATTCCAAATAAGTAGATGTGTTGTAGAACAGTTAAAGAATCAACTAAAATATTTTCCTGTCCACAAAATCCAATTTGACTGTAAAAATTTTTTTTAGAATCTTCTTTCTCTATTAAAACATATCCTTCGGATGGTTTATATAATCCTAGTTGATTAACGATTTTTGAAAATAAAAAATTAAATCAATTTTAATGTGAACAAAAAAAAATAATTGAAATATTTTTTTATAATTTATAAGTTTTGGTTTAATTGGTAAATAATATACCGACTAAAAGTTTCAAGAGGGTACTTTTTCCCGCTCCATTGTGACCTAAAATTACGTTAAATTCATTTTTATAAAAATTAATTGTCATATTATTCACTCCTGTGATTCGAGTTCCAAAGGAATTGAATTTTTTCGTAATACTCCTCACTCTAATTACTGGCTGTATTTAAAAAAAAATTCGTGCCATTTGAAATTATTACAATTATTAAAAATAAAAATTAAAAAAAAAATTAAATTTAACAAACTATTTTTTATCAAAATTATAAATTAAATTTGTATTCTCTTGCAGACCTTCAAAAATGTAGCCACAGATTCAACAGCACTCCAATTGGTACTTCCTTTATAACTAAAATGATTAACTTCAACTTTTCGTACTTTTTTCTAAACAAAAAAGAATAATCCAAATTTTTTTAAAAATCAAAACAAAAATTTTCATTTTTTTTTCTAATTTAACATTCTTTTAATTGCAGATAATCTCGTTACGTCACTTACTTGACAAAGATAGAAGAAAGATTTTTTACGTCCAAATTTCCCTGGAGTAACATTATCTAAATAGATTGATATGACAAGCCAGAAAATTATATGAAGAAACCAAGACACAAGAACTAAAGTCAATGACACTGTTGTTTTTCCAGAAAATATTTCATCATTCTGATCAATGGTTTTTAAATCTTCTCTAAAGTTCAGGTGATTATTTACATTATCTATCTTTGATTTATCAATTTCAGAGTTTTGCAAATTTTCTATAAAAAAACAATTTTTATGAATTTTTAAAAATTTTTTCTCAAAAAATTAATTTTTGAAATTTTAATATTAAATTTTTATTATAGAATTTTAGTGAAACTTGCCAATATCAATTTTTGAAGTCAAAGCAGTGATTCCGTAAAGTAAACCATTGTGAGGTAAAAGAAGTGACAATATTTTAATTTCAAATGATTGATTTTTGAAAAATTGGTCAAATTCCATTGTTATTCGAGCCATGAATATCCAACAGAGTAAACAAGTAAGCACAGCTTTCGTCGCTAAAATATAACAGAAAATCAACTTAAAATTTTGAAATACATATTTATTGATAACATTGAAAGAATAATTCTTTCACAAGATTTTTCAATTAAATATAGTCTGTCAATTGAGAAATCTCCAGTTTTTTCTTTAAAAAATTTTTCCCAAAAAAAGATTTTTATAATTAAATTAAAAATATCCTAATATTTAACTTTTAAATAAAACTTTTTAAATATTTAACTTTAGATTTATTCAAGTTAACAAAAAAGAAGAAAAATTAAAAATTTTGAAGTACAAAATTTTTTATATTTTTTCCTCTATGGATAATAATTTTTCAAAAGGCTTACTATTCGTGAAGAATGTTCCAATTGCAAACATAAAAGTTGACATCAGTAGAATGTGAAAAATTAAAAATATTCCTATTTCTATTGGATTATTGTATTTAGAATAAATCGGATAAAGAAGAAATGTACAAATTATTGTCACGGGTACCGCAGTTATACAGAGATAAATTAACCATCCAAAATATAGAAAATAATTGTTAATATCGGAAATTCTCAGTAGATCCTAAAAAAAGAAAGAAATTTATATCTCAATTTGACAAATTTTTAATCATCATTTTTTTTTTTTAAAAAGAAAGAGATTTTTTCAATTACTGTAAAACCATTTTCTTTCTCTTGAATCAATGTTGTTAAAGTTGATAGAGGCAGAAATATAAAAGCAATAATTGACATATAGTAAATTATACTGACATTAGATCTATTTATTGGTGAAAATGTTGAATTATTGTTTTTATAAAGTGGAAATCGTTCTATTACCATCTAAAAGAAAAATTAATTAATATAAATATCATAATAATTATTTTTTAATATATCTTAAATAAATATATATATTTTTTTAAATAAATTTTATTTTGTTCAAAACAAATTCTATTTGAATCAAATAAAATTTAATTTGTTTCAAAAATTTTATTTCAAAAAAAAATTGTTATTTAACTCTGAGACAAACATAGTTATATTTTTATTTGATTCAAATACAAATTATATATTTAATTCTAATAAAAAATTTTTCTGTGTGTATTTATATAAAAAGGATAAAAAAATTTTTGTTTTTTAATTGAAAAAATTATCATTTCTTACACCGATATCTTTAATTTCTGAATTTTTCCATAGTTTTAGAAATTCAAACTCTATTGCTGATTGTAAACTAAGAAATCCACTTTGTAGATAAGGATCTTTGAAAAAAATGTAATTTTAATTTCACATTTAAAATTGATCATTTTTTTTATTATTATTATTTTTTTTTTGTTATTACCTACGTCCATAGGATATTCATCTTTCATATCAATTATCTGAATTTTTCCAATTTCTGAAGAACGAATCGTGTACTCCAAAAGTTTTGGCAGTTGATTATCAGTTGATTGAAATATTATCCAAAAAATATTGCTTGTTCTATTTTTTGTAATGTGTCGTGTAATCAATTTTTTTTCATTAATTTCGGAAGAAACTATGAAATTTTGTAAAAATTCGTAAATATTTTTTTTTTTTTTATTTAATCAAGTTCAAAAAAAATGTCCCAAAAATTCTTTTTCATAAAAGGATGAATTATAAAGATATTGAAAATTAAATTTAAGAAAATATGAGAATTTTTATAACCTGGAATTTCCAATTTTTGAGAAACTTTTGACATTAATTTATCAGTAAAACTATTTTTTGGAGTATACCAACAGTCTGCATTTTTAGGAAAATAATTATCAATCATTTTTTGAGTGTGATGTTTTACAGTCTGTGAAAAGAAAGAAATGTCCTTTTTAATTTTTTTTTTTTTTCATATCAGTAAAATTTTATTGGAATTTTTATTACTTACGCGATTGTTAATGGCTAGAGGATCGGAAATGAGTTGAATTTGTAATGTCAAAGTGATCGGAATAATTAGTTCAAGTATTGTAAAAAATACAGTGTTTCTTCGCATTAGAAAAGCTTTCCAAAAAAGAAGATGACACCGGGAGAAAAATCTCATTTTCTCTGAATGTAGAATATTTTCATTTTTTAAAGCATTAAATTAATTTGCATCCTAGAAATGTAAATTTATAGATTTTTTATTTAATAATTCGATAAAGTGATAACTAAATCATCGGGAAAATTGTTATATAATATTTAAAAGTGATTTCACTTTTTTTGTATTTTAATACATTTAAAAAATTTTTAAATTTCTATTTGAAAAAATGAATTGAAATTTACAATTTATAAAAAATAACTTACATAGTCGTTTTCTCTTCTAAGAATAACCTATACGTTGTCAAAACCATCAATTGTTAAATCAATAAATCAATTGTTTTAAAGTTGACGTCAGAGTTAAGACTTAGAAATTTTCCTTTCTTTTTTGTATTTACAAAAAAAAAAAAAAATTCCTTTAAGTTATTATATTATACAGCACAAGGTTTTCAGAATTAAATTCCAAGGAAATTTATTCTCAATATTAAAAATGGTGCATTAAATTAGAATAGAATAAAATTAATTTATTAGAATATAATTGTAAATTAATAGATAGAATAAATAGAATAATTTTTTTTTTTTTAAATTTTTTTTCACTTTATTTTATTTTTATTATTGATCGTTTTTTGTTATTGAATTTTTTTTCGGAAGTGAAGAACAAAAAAAATTTAGGTATTCAATAAACTGCACATTTATTGTTTTATTTAAATTGTAAATTCATAAATGATATTTTAATTTGAGAGAAGAAAAAAAAACTTCAATCTGTTAATGAACTGACTGAAATGTCAGAAAAATATACGTAAATGTAGAGCAAAATATATAGATATTAATAAAATGACTGAAACGTCACAAGAAGATAAATGTAAATACGAAACAAAATGTAGTAGGTAATATCAATGATTTTTTAAATTACTTTCTATAAATTAATTTGATATTTATTTTATAATCTTCTTAAAATGTTTAGTAATTATTACAAGTGTTTGATTTTTAATTAATATGGAAATTTTTTTTTTCAGAATTGCAAACTTTTGGAGAAAAGTAACGAGATATTTTTCTCCAAAACTACCAATTGAATTATTTATATTATCAATAAGAATTACATTTGCAATGTTAGCCGCAACATTTAGATTCATTATTCCTCCATCGATGAAGAATTTATTAGGCGAGACAGTGTTGGTAATAAATGCTAAAAAATTTGAAAGATTTATTGTTTTTAATACATTAATTATTATTAACATTAATAAATTATTAATATTATTTAATTTACAAGTTATTAATAATAATAATTTATTAATTTAATAATTATTTTTCTTTATAGATTTCAGGAGCTGGTCATGGAATTGGAAGAGAATTGGCTCTTCAATTGGCTGCTTTAGGTTGTATAGTTGTCTGTTGGGACAATGATGTTGAAGCTAATAAATTAACATTGAGTAAAATTTTAACAAATGGAGGCGAGGTAACTAATACATTAATAGAATTTTTTTTTTTTTTTATTAAAAAATTATTTTTTTTAATTTTTAATTTTTAAATTTCAATAAAAATTTATTATATAGTAAGAAAAAAGTGATTGAAAATTAAAATCTTTGTAATTAATTTTACATTACTTTATTTATAGGCATATGCTTTTGTGGTTGACGTATCAAAAAGATTAGAAGTTCGTGAAACATTGAGAATTATGAGAAAAAGTGGAATTTCCGATATTTCTATTTTAATTAATAATGCTGCAATTTTATTGCATCGGCCATTTCTTGAACATTATTCTGACGATATTGAAAAAATATTCAATGTTAATGTTTTATCGAATTTTTGGGTAAGACTTTTTTTTACCCTAAAATAACTAATAATGATAGTTATTCTTTTTTATTATATTTCTATAAGCGAATCTGTTAGGATCTTATTATGGATAATAATAAAAAAAATTGATTTTGTTAATAAAAAATTTTTCAAAATGTTTTTTTTTTTTTGTTGCAAAAATGAAAATTTATTTAATTATTGAATTCTTAACAGACAATACAATCTTGTTTACCCAGTATGTTGCAAAATGGAAAAGGTCATATTGTTTCTCTTTGTAGTATGTGTGGACTTTATGGCTTTTTAAATAAAGTCCCGTATTATTCTTCGAAATACGCAATAAAAGGTATATTTATTTACATTTATATATGTGTGTAAGTAATATCCATTTTCTTTTTACTTTTGAATAAATTTTCTTTTTTTTTTAAGAAAAAATTGATGATATATTTTCTTCTTATATTATATTATTAAAAATATTTGCTTTGTAATATAGTATAATAAATTTATCCCTTTGGTAAAAGAATAAAAGAAAAATGGCATAACCTTGACTTGGATAGATTAATTTATTTTTCACTCATGTTCATATTCTTTGTTTATTTAAAAAAATATTTTTAAAAACATTTTTCTTTTTTTTTACTTTTTATAATTTTATTTTTATTTGAATTATTGATTTTAATTTTATTTTTTAAATGATATAAATTTTAATATTAAATTATTAAAACTTTTATATATATATATAGGTTTAATGGAAGGATTAAAGGAAGAAATAAAAATGGACGCGAGAAAACCGAAAATTCATTTTACTACAATTTATCCTTTTTACGTCATCGATAATGGATTACCCAAAGACTCTAAATACAGGTATACTTAAACTATTTATTACATATGTGTATATATATATGTAGGTATTTAATTGAAGAAAAAATAAAATTAAAAATAGAAGAAGTTTCCAAACATAATATTAACTATGTCCATTTCTATATTTAATTATGATGAATTAATAATTAACTTTCACTTAATTTTTTTCTATTCTCTACTTTTTTTTCAACTTCTAAATAAATTAATTTCTAAATACAAATTATTTTACAAAAGGTTTCCTTATCTTTTTGGCGCTGTTTCTCCAGAATTTGCAGCTCAGGAAATTATTAAAGCTATTAGAAGAAACTATAACGAATATTCAATACCCAGAAGTCTTGTTTATTTGGATACTATTAACAGGTATTATTAAATTAGAATTATAGGTTAATTATTTTTTTTTAATTAAAAAAAAAAGTTTTAATATATTTTCAAATAAGATTCCAAAAAAAGTACTTTCAAAAACTTGCAAATTTCAGAGTCATTCCCCTTTCTGTGAAGAATTTAATTATGGATTTTCTGACAAATATTCGATAGAGATTATAATAATTAATTTCAAGTTTATTAATAATAATTTTTAGTTATAAATATATTAAACTTGTGCTTATATTGATAATAATAATAATAATAATACATTCTGAATAGCATTAAAAATATAATATTTTTAATAATTAAAATTTTTATTATGTGTTTTTTTAAGAATTTTATTTCGTAATTGAATGGAAACAGTAAAAACTATATTATGATTAATGAGTCTTATTTCTCTTAAGTTGTATATAGTCTAGAAAAAGGCATATAGATAGAGAAAAAATTTTAAATCAATTATAAATTTAATGTGTATAGTAAAATTAGATTCAAGGATTATAAAAAAAGTCTGATTTCTCAATAATAATGCTTTAAATTAGAGATTAATTTTTTTGTTCCTAATTTTTTTTTTTTTTTTTTTTTTTTACAACAGTATATTCAAAATATAAAATTATATTTTTTTTCATTTCTATATAATAACATATCTTGGTAATAATTTTAAGAATATTGTGTGTTTCTTTTTATCAGTAAAATTTAAAAAAATAAAATAATATTATTAATGTTCTTAAATTATTATTAATTAATATTTTTAGAAAATTAATGTAAACAATTTTACAGGTGAAAATTTAATATAAATATGTAATTTAAAAAAAAATGTTTAGAAACTATATGAGAAAATTTATGCAGGGAATTATTTTCGTTACTACAATATATAATTACAATTAGATTAATCGACCATATACGTAACTATTTTAAAATAATAATTATTTTGATACGGTTTATTGGTCAGTAATATAAAGTATATAATTATTCTAAAATTCCTTATACTGATATTTAAAATAATACAATAAAATAATATAATTTTCAAAAAAAAAAAAATTTTGAGAATTTTTTTTTAAATATTTTTTATTGCGATATTGAATTTGCGATAAATATTACTCCACGGAAATTACACTCGAAATCTTCAAGTTATGGAATTATATAGGTATTAAAAAAAATTATAAGATCATAAAAATTAAAAAAAAAAATTACATTCCAAAAATAATAAATATTTTTCTAAATTAGAAAAATTACAAAAAATATTTATTTTCGAGAAAATAAGAAAATTACTACAAAAATTACTAAATTTTATGTAATTTTTTTTTATGAATTAATGGTACTTTGTACGAATGGGCGTTGCCCGTATATTTTCAAATAAATAAATAAAATTGTTTTTTTATGTTTTATACAAAAATTTTCTAAATTCTTATCAATTTTTTAAACTCTGAAAAAATAAAAGTTTAGAATTTCTGGTTTCTATGAAATTAAAATTGTTTATTATTATTTTTAAATATTTGTATTTCAAAGTGTAAAAGGGTTTAAAAGAAATAATTATTTTCAAGAGTATCAATTATAAAATCAGGAAATACGTAACGGTTAATAATTATAATATTCGCTTTAATCTAGAGGGAAATTTTGCTTGACCCCCTGAAAAAATATAATGTGCGTCGCGTGTGTTTGCAAATAGCAACAAAAGAGAAAACTTTATATACACACTAGTTAATCAAGTTTTCAGAATTTTCACTTGACACACTATATTATTTTTTATTTGTCAATTTCTATATCTAAACTTTTGATATTTAAATTGAACTGTCTTATGTCATATTCAAATTATATTCAGAACATTTCTATCTTGTTTAAATTAATTTTATTATGTAAGACAGTAATTTAAAAATTGTTCAAATAGTTCCAGTTTAATGACATATAAATATTAATAAATATAATCAATTTCAAATATTGAACATGAAATTTGATTTATTTTGAATTTCACATATATAAACTAATATTAATAATTTTTTTTTCTTTATTTTCAATCTCGTTAAAATATCATGTTTTAATTAAATTTTCTCCGGAAAATAGTAATTAGCGAAGATGAATTTATTATGGAAATTGGGTCAATCGTTTGTTGACGGAAATTTAATAGACATATATCATCTTGACAAATATATAGTAGGTGATTGTAAAATTTATTCTCTGAAATTGAAAACCGGTTTTTTTTTTCACTGAAAATAATGTATATAATAAAAATTGAAGTACGAAATTTATATTCATTAAAGACTGAAACTCTTAAAAATTGTAATTTTTTTAAAAATTTAAATTTTGAATTTAAGTTGTATAAGGTTTTGAAAATTATATAAAAATTAAATTTTTTTTATATCAAAGATGAATAAATAGTCACTTTTTCAAAATATCCTATTTTTAGAAAAAAAATGCATCCCTTTACATTTTATGTCATTTTTGTGAAAATGTAATGGATAAAAAAATTTAAATTTGAAAATATTTAGTATATTACAATACTTCCTCCAAATGAGAGAGCAAGAAAATTAACTATATATGACTTGAAACATTTTTGCATTGTCACAGTGTGATTGTAAAAATTTATTTTCTGGAAATTAAAAACCGTTTTTTTCACTGAATATATGGAATAATCATTCAAATGAAAATAAATAAAAATGTCAAATAAATAATAATTTAAAAATTTTCGTCCGAAATATTTAAATTATTTTCCAAATTTTGAGTAAAATTGTATATTATTTTTTAAAAAATTAACTTTCTTTTTAATTAATTTGTTTATGTTATTTTTATTTTAGTAAATTTTTTAAGTATATTTTTAATTATTAAATCAAAAATTGATTATTTAATTAATGGACAAAACATTTTTAAATATTATACTTATACCTAAATGGAGAATAAATGAAAAATCAATTTACATTAAAAAAAAAAAAGAAGTGAACAAGAATGTTCACTTGCTCGTGTCCGTTATATGCTGTTACATAGATCGTAAATGGTATCATTAAATCATTACATCATTCATAAATGCATAAATATATAAAAAAAAAGTGCAAATTAGCTCGATTTGACTAATTAATAATTGCACCATACTTAACTTTTTGGTAGTATGATTTATGATAATTTTTTTTTACAATTTATTAAAAAAAAAAAAAAAAAGGAACCATCTTCTAGTGTAATAAATAATTATTATTTTACAAATTTTCCAAATTTATTATAACAAATAAATGAAAATAAACTATGTAATATTTATTTGGACTTTATATTATAAACAATTAAATTGTTATAAATAAAGGGAAATTGATGGGGAAAATTATATTGTAAAACTTAGAAAGTTTAAAATGAAGAAATTAATCTAATCTATGAAAAATAAATAAAATAGCACTCTAAGCAGACAATTAATAAGATAAAAATAGAAAAAATAAATTAATTAAAAATAGAATATAAAATTGAAAAAAAAACTGTTTATACATTTCTTGTACATTATTTCCGGAATGTTAAAAAAGAGAATATGGTCAAAGTGTGAGGAAATGTGCGGTAAGAAATAAATAAATAAATAAATGATTTATGACAATTGTTGCATTTTGTAATAGACGCAGGTGCAATATTTCCTTACATATAATATAAGCGTTTTGAGGCATCATAAAATTTCAAAAAATGAATAAGAATTTTAAAAATTATTACCGCGAGTATATTATAACTAAAAATCATTGTTCTAAATGGAAATATTTCTTAAGAAATAACTTTTCAAGTTAATTTTTTTAATTTAATAATTTAGGGATCTAAGCTGCGCTATTGAGTTAAGATCCCTTTCACCGAGATGCATCACAATATATATATATATATAATAATGCGTAAAACAAAGTTAAATTCAAAATATTTTTAGAATCTCATCAAATATTTATTTTTTTTCTTTATTTTTATATATACAAAATATATATACAGAGAAATTTATTTTAAAAAAATAAAAAAAAAACAAGTAAAATATTGGTATTTATAACAAAATAATAAATATTTAAATAAAAGGATATTTTTCATTGTCCAATATTGATGAGTAATTTTTTTTACTTAAAAAAAAAAATATTAAAATTTAAAAAAAATGAAATCACATTATTTTATTTGCAATTAAATATAGTGATGCGTATTAAATAAGTTTGTTGGGATTTCTCGAGACATTTATGTCTGAATCATATATATATAATGAATTACTCAATGTGATGCTGCCTTCGTTCTTCAGTCAAGTTCAAACATTCTAGTTGGGAGGGAAAGAAAGAAAACCCAAGTTCCTGCGTGATGTATATAGTATTACTATTATCGTTCTTGTCATAGGTAGATGGGCTCCAAAAAATTAATTTTCACTAATTAAAAAAAAATTATTTTCTATTTTTTATTAATTCACCAATATAGTTTCAATAATAATTTTTTGTGCTAATGTGAAAAGTATAATTTTTATTTATAATTTTTTTTTTTGTGAGTGACTTCAATAACTTTTTGGAAAAATTAAAGGAATAATACAAAAAAAAAGGTAATAGGACTTTTTAAAAATAGATAATTCTTTATTTCATTATTATATTAGGTTTAAGAAATTTTTAATCATTTTTAAAAAATTTGCGATACAATTAATGAATAATTAATAATAATAATAATAATAATAATAATAATAATAATAATAATAATTAATAATAATAATAATAATAATAACAATTAATAATAATAATAATAATAATAACAATTAATAATAATAATTAATAAGAATAATAATAATTAATAATAATTAATTATTCTTTAAAAATCGAATCATAAAAAATAAGAATTTGACAAATAAAATCATTATATCATCATTAAAGAAAATATTCTGTTAAAGAACGATATTAAAAATTTTTTTTATGTTTATAATTATTTATATAAAATTTCCAATTAATTTTTCAATTATTTTATATTTAAAATAAATTAATTTAGGAAATAAATAAAGGTTATTTCAAAAATAAAAAAAATTATAAAAATTAAAAAAAAAATTATAAATAAATAAAAAATAATATTTCAAATTTAATAAAAGAGAAATCAAATGAGTGAAAATAAAAAAGTAGAAAAAAATTGCAGAAAATAAAAAAAATAAAGAGTTTAATAAAATTGAAAATTGAATAAAAACGGTTCCTTTGTGATAAATGAAAATTATTAAACTATATATATATAAATTAAATAATATATACATAAATGAGTAAAATGAAAATATGTTTTAATGAGGTTGAACTATTATTAACTCTACTCTTAAGTAAATATTTCTAATCTTCAAACATTTACTCCGCAGGATATATATTCATTATTATTTGCACTGGCACACGTTTTCAGTGAAATTTATATATGACGAAATTATTATTTTCTCCAATTGTTTTGTTGTGCAATTTTTCTAGATGATTTTAAATTACTTTTGTTTTCTGTTCTGTTCGCAAATAAAGAAATTTACTTTAATTTATATATCACATTATTTTCCTGATCATAAAACGAATAATGAATAAACTTGCCACTTCCGGTAATTCTTTTTTCTTTTAAATAACTACTATTTATTTTCACAATATCTTTTATTATTTTTTTATAATATAAAAATAGAAAGTCACATGGAAATTTTTTTTAAAGTATAATTTTAACAGTATATTGAAAATTGAGATTTTTTTTTTAAATAAGAAATGAAGTAAATTGAATTATCATATATATAAAAAAATTTTCAAACGCTTTCAATGTATGTAATGTAAATATAAATTTTGAAGGTCTAATTATTTTAATTGAATTTCTCTTAATACTTTGGACAAACACAATTCAAAAGAGTAAAAATCATAAAAAAAAAATAACTGTGTTCTTTGTCATTTGAAAAAAAGTGAAAGAAGAGAAAGGTATGAATTTTTTAAAATTACTCGCTTGAATTTTAATATAAAATATTTTCTTTGGATTTTTATTTCTTATTTATCATTTTTATTGCTTTTTAAAAGTTTTCTTATTATTTGATTATTATATATATTACTATAATATAATTATATATATTTTTTTATTTTTATTACTTAACAGAAAAATTGAAATTTGTAACATAAAATAAAATAAGAAAAAACTTAAGATTTTTATGGTTAATTTTGAAGAATAAAAAAAATGTAAGGGACATTTTTTAATATGTATTTTCAAGGACAAGAACATATGAGCGAAATATTAATTATATTTTTTTTATTGTTCATATATATATGAAAAAAACAATTATTAAATGACTAAATTGTTTTTACCATCTTCAAGAAAATATAAAAACAAAACAATTTATTTTGATAAAATAGAGAACGTTAATAATTAATAAAAATCATTAAAATATTTTAGAAAATGTGTCCTTAAACTAATATATATAAAAAGTAAAAATATTATCCTTGACATAATTGGGACAAGTTCATATAGTAGATTTTAAAAGTACATAAACTCAAATTATTCTAAACTGACGAAATAAAAAACCAAGGTTGAGGATAAATTTGAAAAAAAATATATTTCCTTGATGAAGTGCAATTAAATTAAAGAATTCTTATAATTTTTGCTTCTAATAATTTCATTTATATTCAAGAAAAAATATTAATCATTATTATTCTTTGAAATTGATTATAAATCTTATTACATACTTATTTATAATTTTTATTATTTAATAAGTCGAAATTTCTGAACATCATATCATCATTAAATTATTATTATTATTATTATTATTATTATTATTATTATTATTATTATTATTATTATTATTAAATTATTATTATTTTTTTAATTAGGTATAAGTTATTATAATAATTTACTGTTTTTTATAAACATTATTGTTTATTAAAAAAAAATGTTGAGTTTATAATATACTATTGTAATAAAATTTTTGATAAATAATTGGTGAAAGCAAAAAATTCATATTCATGTAAAATTATTTTTGACGATATTTTTAATTAAGTGAAGTTAATATTTTCAATTTCATTTGCAATTTCTGGTGTCGACAGTTATGTCATTTACATTTGCCAGATGTTAAACATTACGTCAATGGCAATTATTTATTTCCCAAAGTGCAAAATATGCAATATTGTTTGTATAGAAATTTAATTATTATAATGAATAAGTCGAAACAATGAGGATTTTCTACATATTCATTGTATGTGTATTATAGTTATACTTTACATAAAAAAGGTATTTCTAATAATTTATATTTAATTTAATTTTATTATTTTTATTAGTATTATTAGTTTTTTTTTTTTTTTTTTTTTACAAAGCAATAAGTTTAGGAATGGAAAAAAAATGCATTTATGTACTTTGGTGTGGGATTCGATGACCACTCCCTGTTGTCACTAAAACCACCACTTCTATATTCTTGTTTTATCTTTTCTACTCCACTTTTAACAAATTTTTAAAAAATTGATCCGATTTACTTGAAATTTATTACTTAGGCATTTTTTGGAGTACCTAATTTCAAATGCAGCATCAGATTTTCAAAATTCAAATTTTTTTTTATCTAATATGGAGGAGAAAATTTATCAGATTTGTTTGAAAATTAATCAGATTTGTTTGAAAATTATAATAATAAATAATAAATAAATTTATATATGATACATACATTTTTTTCAGTATGTAGAAAGAAAAAAAAAATTGTAATCCAAATAGACTAATTGAGATGTCATAAATATAAACAGTGCTGGAAGTATCTATTTTCCAGTAGTATACTTATGTAGGACAGATATATAATTTTCTTCTCAAGATTTCATAATAAATTATTTTTAAATATCAATTATTATTATTATTTTTATTTTATTATTTGATTTTATTGAAAATTGTAAATTATAAGTCGCATTAATGATTGAAAGAAAATATATTATTATTATATATATATATATATTGTAATTATATAATTTATCCATTTGAAATACAGGAAATAAGTTAAAACCTGGTGAACTGTATCAAGTCTATTAAAAAGTCGAAAAATCAAGTTTAAATAAAACCTAACTAGTATATTCTTTTGTGACAAAATTACATCACACATTATTCGTTCAATAATTAGAAAAGTAATGCCTACCAGTAATTTTTATTTTTTTTTTTTTAAGAATAATTTATTATACACTATGTCGTTAAACGTAAAACAGTTTCACACTTTATTTCTTCACTTTTTCCATATGCATATTTATTATCAGGAATTATAATAATAATTTTAGAAATATTTCATAAAATAAAGTAGTAAATTATAGAATGTTTTCTATTTTTTTTTTCTTTTCATAAATTATGTTCACATTTTGTAAAAACAAATTTTTGTTTAAAAAAAATTATATATAGTAATAATAATAATAAATATAATAATAAAAATAATAGTAAAATAATTTGTTAACTCTGATGGACGCGCGGTTGAATGATGAATTATTAGATGTTCTCATATAAAAGGAGAAAGAAACACGATGACCTTCCTTTGATGCGGTAGATTTTAATTCGTGTGTGAAAATTAATTATATGTACACGCAGGTACACTTGAAATTTTTACGATTCAAAAAGAATAATAGGGGCGCATGACCTATTATGACGTCAACAGACGAGATATAAAAATATCTCCTTTGTTTCAAATTATAATTACCATAAAAAGAAGTAAAAATATTATTTTTATAATTTACTATTATAAAAATATTTTGTCATAAAATATTTTAAATAGTAAAAAAATTGTTATTGTTTGTTTGTTTGTTTTTTAATAATAAATTGTTATGTTTGCTTAGATAATGAAAATAATAAAATGTCATCAATAATAATATAAAAAAATAAACGAAATGAAAAATGCCCTATTTTGGTCATGATTTTTTCATTTTTAAAAGTCATTAAAAGAATAAGTTAATGAGAAACAAATAATTTACATTTCTCAATAAGATAGAATTTATTATTTACACAAAAATATTTTATGTAATACAAAATTTTTTTATTTATATTTTTTTCTATTTTTATAATTATTGTTTTATTATTTTCAAATTTTTATTTAAATAAAATAATTTCAATCAATTTTTATATTATAAAAATTTGTAAATTTTTAAAAAGAATTTAATGAATTATAATTTATTTACAAAAAAATTTTTATTACTCATACAGTGACAATATAAAAGTAGACAAATTGCTTTTTATAAAAAATGACAAAAGAAAATAAACGTTGCAAAAGTCAGAAATAACTTCAGTTCATTTTCCGGTATCATATCATTAGTGTATTTAAGACTTTCCTTCGTGCTACTGTTCAATTTCATCTGACTCCTGCTTTTCAGTTGATTAGAATTTTTAATATTTCATTAATTACTATTTAGATGAGTTTTTATATTTAATTAATTTTGTTTAAAAATTGGTGAAAGTGAAAGTGATTTAAAAATATTTAATTTATTAATTAATTCGTTGCATTCACTGAAGTTTGACAAAAAAGAAATAATAAAATTAGTTATTAAAAAAGAGTTAAAAAATAAAACTTTTTTAACATTTCAAAAAACCCGCAAAACTTTATAATAATTTAATTATTAACTTGTGTAATATAATTTTTTTTATAAGAAAAATTCAAAATTTGAATTAGAAAACAATTTTAACTAATTATTATTATTATTATTCATTTTATTATTAATTTTAACTAATTTGATTTAACTAATTCACAACTATAATAAATTAATTTAAATTTAGAGGGTAATACCTATTGACGGATAAATAAATAAATAAACTAACTATAAATAATAATAAATTAATCATTATATAATAATTTCGATTTAAATATTTTTCAGTAACGATGATTTCCATGCGGGAAGAATCTCTGATTTCAAATTCACGAATTGGAGGACCAACGTCCGCAACTTGGTGGTATCTCAGTGCTGAATTTATCATTGCTCTCTCGATATCTGGACTTTTGACAATTCTTGGAATCATTAAAACATTTCTTCCAAAACCACCGAAAGATTTAACTGGTGAAATTGTTGTGGTATTCAAAAGATTTATTTTCAAGTTATATAAATGATTAAAAATAAAAATTTACAAAAAATTTTTATCATTGTTATTAAAAAATTAAATTAGAATTTTAACAAAATTTATTAATTTTTTTATTTACGTATATATTTGTTTATTTGCAGCTAAATAAAATGCAGCTATATTTATTTTATGTTTTATTTTTGAATAAGTTTTTTTTTTTTTAAATAATACTTCATTTATTTTTTCATAGATAACAGGTGTTACTTCAGCCCTAGGAAGAAATTTAGCTGAGGAATTTGCAAAAAACGGTTGCCAACTGATCTGTATCGATCACAATTTAAAAGACGCAAAAGAAATTGCATCTGATCTAAGAATAAAATATCCAACAGTGGAGAAAGTTGGTCCAGAATATCGTATAAAGGATAATTATCATGTAAAAATGGAAAAATGTACAAATTTTGCATATGAATGTAATTTGGGAAATAGAAGTGAAATTAATAATGTTGTTAAAAAAGTCAAGGACGATTTTGGAGGTATAAATATTTTAATTACCTGTAATGGAGATTCATCTCAGGATATATTTGACACTATCACTCAAACTTTAATGAGTCATTATTGGGTTTGTAATAATTATTATTTTAAAGTTTTTTCCCACTGAAAAACAGAATAATCTAAAAATTTTATTTAAATTAAACAATAAAAATTTCAAACATCTATTTTTTTTTTATTAATACACTAAAAAAAATTGATTTTAACAAACTTTTATTATTAATGTAATTGAATTGAATTTATGTGATAAATAAATTTTTATATTTTAGACCTTTATTAAATTAACGATTTAATTTAGTTATTTTTTTGCTAAAAAAATAAACTCAAAACATATTTTATCGTCAATTTGATTTTAAAATTTATAATTTTAATTTTTAATATTTTTAGACAGTAATGGCTTTTATTCCATTGATGTTAAATAAAGGAAGGGCACATATTGTTGGAGTGATGCCATTTTCATCAACTGAAGATGCTTTTATGGGTTCAAAAGCAGCAATTGCTGGTTAGAAAAAAAAAAATAATTCTCATAAAAGAAAAAAAAATAAATACAAATTAATATTTTTTTGTTCCAATTTTTCAGGTTTGATGGAAAGTTTAGGTTCTGTTTGCAAAGAAAATAAACAACTTACTTTCATTACTGTGGCCCCAAAATGCCAATCAAGGTGATTAAAAAATGTATTGTTTTTTGAAAGAAAAAAAAAGAAATTTTTTAAAATTTAATTTCCATTTCTCATTTATCTAAAATATGATTTTTGTCACAGATTTGTTAAACAAAGTGAGCAAAAAATTGCTTCAGACGTTGTTGAAGCTGTCAGAAGAGATCAATTATTTTTAACAAGAAATTGGTGTTCAGAAACATTTTATACAATCAGGTAATTTTATTTAAATATTTTAACTCTAATAATTAATTTGTTTTTTGTCTTTTAATTCTAATTGTTTAAAATATAATTTTTGTTTCAGTTGTAAATTATACAGAGGAATAACATTCATTACTCAATGGTTGGACACTTGACTATTTTATTATAAATAAAAAGTTGAAAATTAATTTTAAACTATGTATTACCAGGCAATATTGTCAAGCCATATAGATTTTTCAAGCCAAATGAGGTAGAGATGAGATTTTCAAAATAGACTGTCCTTTATTATTATAAATAATAATATTTCTTAAATATAGTTTAGCTGGATCTATTTATAAAAAAAAAACAATTTTTGTTTTTTCTATATTACAGATAAATTTTTATATTCCATATATTTTTCAACAGTATTAATACTAATGTCCTTTTAATTTTAATTAACTGTACAAGTAAAAAAAATTAAATTAAAAAATTTTTAAAAACAATTAAAAATGAAAAGTGTGCAATTTTGCCCCAATCTTCAAATTATTTTCCTATTGCTCTTTATATTTTTCTTTTATTTTAAATTTTGATAATATTAAATATAATTAAAAGAAAATTCATGTTAGACGTAAAAAAGACATATGAAGTCTACATTTATTTTCAATTATTAAAATATAAATATGCATTCAATCATCAGATAATAAAATAAGAACATCATAATGACCAACATCGGACTCTCCACTAAAAAGAAGTCGTGCTGTTGAATAATTTCGATTCAGTCGATTGTGAAAAATTATTTTCAAAATTCCCCCACCAACGATTTCACGATAAATTGATAAATTCATTCGATATAATTTTGTCAATACTGTACATTCCAATTCAGAAGCAAATGTTCCATCAGCAATCATATAATCGAAATAATCCTGTCTACTTGAAATATTCCATTCCGCAATGACAAATGGTCCATATTCATTCCAATTTTGATGAATGTGTTCTACCACCTTGTAATTGGTTTCAATGATTGGTTTTTGTTTTTTAAATAATATTATATTTGAGAAAAAAATTATTCGAAAAAATAATAATTGAATAAAAAATTTATAGGAAATTCTCTATGTTTAATTAAATATTTGATTTAATTTAAATAATATACAAACCACTGTACGCAGTTGTTTATGATTATTTTCAGTATCCCATAAAATGAAACTCATTGCCCTAAACATACAGTTGCCATCGCCATAAACTTTGTGCACGCGTAACGTGCCTTCCGATGATTTTAATAGAGCCGTATCTTAAAAATTTTTTGGAAAATTCTTTTAAAAAAAATTCTCACTTTTCCCCTCATTTTTCTTATGGTATATAATAGTGAAATAATATTTTAAAATTGAAATTTAATTAAACAAATTGTTTAAAATGTAGTTAAATAATTTTTTAATTCAAACATATTAATAATTAATTAATAATTTTTATTTTCATTTTTTAAATTCTTAATTATTTATTAAAAAAATAATTAATTAAACTATAGATATTTTTTTTTTTACAGTGGAAAAAAAATTTTAAACATACCTGTTTTATAAATTTTTGATTTTGTTTTTTTATTATATGTCAATCGTTTTTTGGAATTTTTTATGCCTTTTTTACGTCTAATATTTTTTGTTTTTTTACGTGGAACTGAGGTTTTTTGTATCACTTTAGATTTTATTAATTTTGATTTCGTAATGTTTTTAATATTTTTATTATCACCCACTTCAAAAAGATGAGAGCATTCATGTAATATAGGTGAGAAATTGTCATTTTTTATCGATAAAGAACATTGAGTATACTCTTCTATAAATTAAAATGTATATTGAAAATAAATTTTTTTTTTTTTTTTAAATAAAAACCTTTTTTATTTTTAAAGTTGAAAATATTTTTTTAACAAAATATACATATATACGATATAAATTGTTTAAAATTATTAAATAACATAAATAAATTATACCTTCTTTCGAAATCTCTTTGCATGTTCGAAAACACCATGTAAAAGTAAAACAGAAGTTTTTCAATTTGTGTGTGAGAAAAATTTATTATTTATATTTAATTAAATTTTTTTTTAATTTAACACAATTTACTTTAATTGTTTTCTGTAAAAAAAATAGTTTATATTTTTATATTAACACTAAAATAGTTTTTTAAATTAAATAATTGCATTTATCAGGTTCTAGTTAATTTATTCACTTTGACGTTTGACGTTTTAATGGTGTGAATTTAGGGATGAAAAATATTATTTAATTTTCTTCTGCTTTTTTTCTTAAGTTAAAAATTAACTAAAAATGAAAATAAACAAAAAAATTAATATCAAACTAATAAATAATTTATCAATATAATACTCATTTAATTAGATATTAGTAGTTAATTAAAAAAAATTTCATATTTAATCTTTTTTTTGTGCTGGAATAATTTAATTTTATTTCAATTCTTATTCAATGTCTGTAAAATATAAGAATTTTATTTAAATTTTTGTTCATTTTATTTATACCTACTCTTTAATAAAACAAACTAATAATTCTGAAGGAATATAGAAAAAAAATAAAAGCTGCTCCAATTTTTTTAAATTCAAATTTTCGCGTAATAATCACGTGACACATCTGGACAGTGCTACCATTTAAGTCCATTTTTCAAAATATATTATATAATTCTCTCTATAATTTCAATTTGACTTTTATATAATTGAGTAACAATAATTACTTTATGAAATAACTTTCAATGTTTTCTTTTAAAGAAATTTATTCTTTATATAGTAAATATAAATTTTGAAAAAAAATAAGTTAGAAAATTTGTATTTATTGGTGGCAGTACTATTTATCATAATGCTCCTAGCTTCACAACATGAATTCAGAGCCCCGCTCCCCCCAACAAAAAAAGTGAACATAACCTAAAATTTGTGACATACGTATTTATTATATACTTTTATTTATAAAATGTGTGTATCGTACCAATTTTATTATTAATAAATGACGTAAGAAATTTTTCAAAAATAGTTTTAATTAAATTATATTCACTAAAAGTTAAAATGTAAACTATATAGAAAAAAAGTGAAAAATTTCAGCATTTGACGTTTTGATAAGAAAAAGAAGAGAAGACGAGAGATATATATTTATCATCTTAATGTCAATCAACGTCATTTAATTTTCTCGAATAAAAAATGCAAAAAATTCCATCTAGAAATACCGTTACACGTTTTTATGTTGAATTTAAACATTTGATTTTCTAAATAAAATTCAGTGAAAACATAATTACAATTTTCTATTTTTAAATAAATCTTTGATCCAACATATATTCACATTTTGACATTTGATGTATTATATATTGTAAGTGTCTCAAGTTTGGAGAAATCAATTATTTATTTTTGCATAATAATAAGCAGTGATGTTTGATTTATCACATTCGTCCTCTGATGAGGCTCAGGTCGACTCCGGACATGTCGAAAGTGATAAACGTAAATCCAATCGTAGGGGACGAAGATCGAACAGTAATTTTGCCGAGACAAATCGACCATCAGGTTATTAATTGATTCATAATTAGAAAATATTCTATTTTTATAAAAAAAAAAACATTTGAATTTTGCAAATAAATGACAATTTTTTAAATCTAGAAATAAAAATAGAATTCTTCTTCTTCATTTAGGTTCCGATGGCACACGACGTGAAGAGAATCCTTTTAGTTTTAAACATTTTTTAAAAAATGATTCACAAACAAATTATCAATATGCTGGTGCAAGACCAAAAGTATATACAGTTCATTCATCGAATAATAATTCTGTTGGCCACGAGAGAGAAGCTGGACTTTATCCGTGCAATCCCACTGAATTACCCGATTTTGTTCAAGATCATTTAGTAATTGAACAATGTTATGTGGATCACGATAGAATTACATCACCCGCTACTGATGTGGATAATTTACCTGATTTTGCATTAAACAGTATGGAGAGGCGACAAAATCATCGTCATTCAAATGATATAAAAAAGCACATTAATGATTGTGGAGAGAAAAATTTTTCCTTCGATCTTGCCGATAATTTAGAGAGAAGAAGTAGAAATAATATTTCAACAAATTCTTTACATCCAGATCCTTTGGATTTGCCAAATTTTAATAGCAGTGAAAATGCCAGTGGATCTGATTCCAGAAGTAAGAGTTTGGAAATTGGAAAAATTATAAAATTAAAAAAAAATTAAAATTAATTAATTAAAATTTACTTTCAAAATTTTTAAAAATTTATAAAAAAAAATTGAAGTTAATTTTAATGAGATTATGAATAATAATTTAATCATTAAATTTTAGATTTTCCACTTGATCTACAAATACCACCAGATGAATCGAATGATGTTCTTGTGAATGGTCAATCTAATGGAGTTTCAAATATTGTTAAATCGTTACCAGACTTTTTAAACGATGGTCCCATTCGAAATACTGGTGCAGTTTCTAACGATAGGCTTGATTCGTATGCAAATGATTCTACAGAACTCAGGGTATTTATCATTATTTGTTTTCTCAATAAATTGAATTTAAACTTTTTTATTTTATTTTAATAATATTCTATATAAATTTTTATTGTAATTTAAATAAAGTACAAACATTGAAGCGCTTAAATATCCCATAAAATTCATTACTTAAAATTTCTTTTTACCCAACTTTTTACTTAAAAGAATTCTAATTTAATCGATTCTTAATTTATCAGATTTCTCATTCAACAGAATTTTAAATTATTTGAATTTTTATTATTATTATTATTACTATTATTAAGAAAATAAAGTATCTAGGTGAAATTTAGAAATAAACTTAGAAAATAATATAAAAATTTATTTAATTGCTTTTTTTGTTTCAGTTAACTTTGGAAAATGAGAGATTAAATCGTGAATTAGAAATTGCACGAAGACAAGCTAGTGAAAGGGCATCGAGGTATTTTAAAAAAAAAAAGATCATTTATATTGAATTGAATTCAAATTTTTATTCTAAAAATATTAATATAATTTATTTACAGAATAAAAGTGTTGGAAAACCAATTACTGTCAAGAAGACAAGAAGATCATGAAGAGACAGTGAATCTTGAAAAGGCTATGGAAAAAGTGGAAGATAATTTAAAACGCAGTACAGTAAGTACATTATATGTAAATTTTCTTCTTTTATTACATTTTACTACTTCATTTTAAAAAAAGAATGAAAAAACCGTTACTGATGAATTTTAATAATATAACAGAATTCATTTTTTTTTCTCTTACAGAAGCGAGCAGTTCTTGCAGAGAGTATGTTAGTAGTTGTAAAGAAAGAAATCGTAGATTTGACTGTACGTATATTTTACGACTTTTCTCTTTTTACAAATAATTGATACATTTTTTTTTATTATTTATAGAATATTACAGGGATTATTATTCTTTTTTTTAAATCATCTAAAATTATGATTTTTCTTCTTTTTTTCACAATGAATGAGTTTATGTAAAAATAATAATTATTTTTTAACAAAGTTTGTTATTATTACTTATTCAAAAGAGTTTAATTTAGATGATAATTGAAACAAAAAAAAAAAAAAACGTTAAATATTTTTTTTTTAAATTTCTGTGTGAATATTAAAAATTTTGCAACTTTCTACTATGTATATTTTTAAAAAATTTTATTAATATTTTTTAGTTCAATATAGATAATACATTAATTGTTTTAGAATGAAATTTCACTGCTGCGTGCAGAAAATCGAGAATTACGAGCAGCCATTGAAGGTGGATGTAGTAATTGTAATAGTTCTTGTGCTGATGGAAGAATAAAACGATTGGCTAGTGAATTACGTACTGCAGCCTCTACAGCAGAAGTTTCTCTAAGGTTTTTAAATTTTTTGGTTTATTTAAAAACATTTTTAATTGGAAAAATTCAACTATCAATTAATTTGTAAACTACCCACTAAATACTATTTTTGATTAAATTATTTTTAGTTTACTCAATTTTTTTTACTAAATTTGTAATTAAAAATAAATTTAACTATATTATTTATGAGATTAATAAAATAAATTTAATTTTTTAGGAAATTTGTCCTATAATTATAAAATTAATAGAAAACGAAAATAAAAAAAAAAAATTTTTATCAAAAATAAATCTATTTCAGACAACTGATGTCCGGTGTTGGAAATTTAAGAGTATTAGCATCGGCATTAGAAAATGTTAATAGGATAGAGGATAGAACCAAAGATTTCTTGCCAGATTCTGATGACGACAACGCAACTGGACCAGCGTTGTAAAAAGAAATCTAATTTAAGTTGCGTATGACAAAAAAAAATTGTGACAACCTAGTTTCTTTTATTTGATTTTAAAATCTTTTTATTCCATCATTGTAATAATCTATGATCATTCTTTAAAGAAAAAGATCATCGAAACAAATTGAAATCTATTTTAATAATTTTATTTTTAACAATATTTTTTTTGTACATATTAACATAGAATTGTTTCTTGCACTTGTATAAAATCGTAGGCAATTTTTTAATACCGATTATATTTAAAACAAAATATTTAATTTCAAATTCGGTTATTGACATTTATGAGAAATATGAAATCTTTCTGGAGAATGATGTGAAAATTAATCTTTCAAGAATATTATCACAAATAATTTTTGTATATCTCTATTTAAATTTCTATATATTCTATATATATATATATGTATGTATGTATGTATGTATGTATGTATGTATGTATTTCAAGTTTCCAATAATATTAAAAGTGAAACGAAATTTTGCAAATTTTTTTTGTTTTAATAATAATAATTCATCAATAAAATTGATGAAATAAATTCAGTGAATATTTCGATATACAATATAAATATATATGAAAAACATAAATTGAAAATTAAATTTAAAAAAAAAATGAAAGAAAAAGTTTCGGTCATTTATATATAATATAAATTTAAGATTTGATTATTTATATTCACATACAGTTGACAGTGTAAGTGTTTTGTATTAGTAGCATAACTCTGTGATCAATAAAAATTGGTAAATAAATGCGATTGCTGTCAATATATTTAAATAAATTTTTAATTAATAATAATGGAGATAAACACACTTTGTACTTTGTCATGGAAAAATATTTATATATTTAAAACTTATTTATCATTTATTTCAATGAAAAAAAAAAAATAATAATTAGGTACATGAATCTTTAATTTTACAAAAAATTACACACCATAAATTATGTACATTTAAACTTTATACTTAATTTTAATATATTAAAATTTGTAAATTATACTTTATACACTGTTTAATCGACACTCGTGACAAATCTTCAATTATATATTTCACATTTTTATTTGATAATTTTTCTTCGAATTTTATTTTTTAGTTTAATAAAATTTAAATAAAAAAATAAAATTCAATACATATTCAGAGTAATTTTTTTTTTACTTATATTTTAGATTTTAGAAAATTGTTTACATAATTTTTAACTAATTTAAAGTGTCTTTTAATAACAAAAAAAAAACTTTTTGATTCAAGTTTCAAGAATTAATTTAACTATTTTTTTTTATGATGCGCAGTATTTAGTAGTGGAAAATTAAACGAAAATTAATTAATCTTTATTTTATCTATTGTCTATACATAAATAAATATTTTATAAAAATCACATATATTTGAGCAAAAAACGTTGACTAAGGGGAGATTAAAATTATGCAAAATAGATTAAAATAAATTGGAAAATCAAAGTTTAATGATTTTAATAATAAAATTTAAAAAAAATAAATAATTTGTATTAATCCAATTCTTCTAACATTGAAAGTATATCAGTCTGAGTTTCCATATGATTCGTTTGAATACTCAACCAAGATCGACAATCATGATTTGAATCATCACAGCCACTTGATTCACAGGTAAAATTTCTCGTTTGTGTTTCTGTCGACACTGTCGTATCAACAAAATGTGACCAAGCTGTTTGCGTTTGAATATTCGATAAACCCAAATCAGATGGTAAAATTTCATCACAAGTTTGCGTACACGAATTATTATAAAGTTGAAGTGGTTCAATATTAAAGCTTTCCGTTGTTTGTGTCTCATTACTAAATGTTCGTGACAATGAATCTGAATCGAATAATGATTGACAATATGCCTGTTCTGTTTGTGTTTCAATACTACTGAATCTATCAGTAAAATCCTCAGCGAGAATTGAATCAACTTGTGTAATTTTATTTGTCTCTGAAAATGAATATTCATTGACAATATTTGCATTATCCTCGCAAAATGTATCATTTAAATGGGCAAATGGACTTTTTTCAGGACTAGTTTGTGTACCCGATGTACTTTTATCTTCCCATAATTCTGGAAGAGCAACATCATGACGTAGCGGTAGAGGACTACTGGGAAAAAGATTGTCATCAGTTAATCTTACGTCTTTTTTAATAATTACACCGGTCGATTTCACTTTAAGTTTGTCATGTTTTTTAATTTGAGATGAAATTTTAATTATTTTCTTCATTGTATTTGATGTTGTTTGTGTTTCTTTGGAATTTTGAAATGTTTCTCTTCTTTGTATTTCATTTGTTTGGGTTTCCTGTGTTATTTCACTTTTTTGTTTTTCATCTAATTCATTTATTGTATCAGTTTGAACGGCAATATTTTGTGTGAGTTTGGGAATTATTGTGACTGCTATTAAAATACCTTTGGTTACCATTTTACCATTTTCTTTTTGAACAACTATAGTTGAATTTGTCAATTGTTTACTTCGTAATTGAGGATTACAAACTGAAGTGATTTCTGTTTTGTTCTTTTTTTTTGATGGCCTATGAAAAATTGTTAATTAATTAATTTACATTAAAAAATAATACAAATGAAAAAAGTCAATATTTTTAATTTTTATTAAATTTTTAAATTTAAAATCAACGAATTGAAATTATCTTTAAATATTGAAGATAATATTTGAAAACAATATCAATTATTTGATTAAATAATATTTTGAAGATATTAAAAAAAAATTTTTATTCAATTTTTGCAATGTGATTTCAATTATTTGACTGAATTAATTATCTTTAAAATTTTTAACAAATTTACAAAAAGTTTTGTAATATCAAATCATACGGGACAAGAGTCCTGAAAATATCTATACTTATTTCTTTTAAATGTTTTTGAAATTGAAAGAAAAATAAGCAAAGAGGACAAAAATAATAATTTTAATAAAAAAGATTTTACCTATTTTTCTTGTATTTTTGATCGACTTCGTGTGAATTACGTTTAGCATGAGTAAGAAGTGCTTCATAGGAATTGTAAAATTTTTCGCAAACTTTACATTCAAAACGTATTCCACAAACTTTAACATGTGCCTCTTTTGCAGCTTCAGTTGAAAAACTCTTAGGACACAAAATACAAGGATACTTTCTCTCAGCATGAATTTTTAAGTAGTGCTGTAAACATTTTGTAAAATTTAAATATTATCAATAAAAAATTTGTTAAAAAATAATAAAAATTTTGCAACACAAAAAATTATAAACATGCAAATACAAAAACAAAAATGAGTCAACAAAAAATTCTGTTTATCAATAATTGAGTAAAAACAAATAGATTACGAAAATTCAAAATTCTCACCTGCTTTAAATATCTTTTTTGTGTGAAAAATCTATTACAATTAATAGCATAAATACAATTATTAATAGGACAATGATATTGAACATTTTTTTCATTTTCTTCACTTGCTTTTAATTTGTAATTTTTATCTTTATGAACTTTTAAATTATGCATACGATAACGGGCAATATTTTTGAAATGCATATGACATCCCTCACAGCGAATATCATTTAAAACAATACTTAAATCCTCCTCAGAAGGACACACTTTTTTCACTGAATTTTCTGTTATTTGTTCCATTGCCATATAGCATATTATTAAACCATAACCAACCTTTATTTTAAAAGAACTCGAAATTTACAACTTTCATTATATACAACTAATTAAATATTTAATGAGTCCGTGTTTAAAATTATAATTTAAAACATTCGAAAACTAAACATGTCAACATCAGTGTGCATGCGTAAAAATTTCAGAAAAACTGGAAAAATTACTGTTCCAACTGATAAAGACAAGAGTCAAAAAGTTTTTCCCCCAAGAGTGCATACAGAAATAAGTGACACCACAACAGTATTGGCTTCTGGTATGTTATTTCAATTGTTTTTTATTAATTTAATATAATTAATATATTTAATAGCAAAAGATCTATTTATTAAATTATGTTTCTTCCCGAATAAATAGACATTATTTATATATGTGTTAAATAATGTCCCTTATGTTATATCGGGAATTTTTGACAATTTGATGGTTATGTTCGAATTTTTTTTTTCTATGAAAAAAATAGCAAAATATATTTTGAAAAGTGTTTCTAATGATAAATGTATGTAACTGCTATTCTTTTTTGTATAATTTTTTCATATATGCAAATTATAATTTTTTTTTTTTTGATATTCGCGAATTTTGTAATACGTATAACTAACCTAACTTTCCTTAACCTTCTCAGCAAGGCGCCAATTTCAAATTTATTATTTTAAATTTAAGAGAAATTTTTTTGTTTATAATTTTCAAATTAAATTTTCCATTGTGAGAAATTTTTATTGATTTTTATACTAGTTTAAAATATTTTGGGACGCATGATTTGCACCCAAAATCCATTACATTAAATTGTCAAAGCATCGAGATTTATTACATTGACTCTCCAATACATGGATTCTTCAAAACGTCGACTGACCAAAACATCGACTTGTAAAATTATCGACTCCTCAAAACATCGAATTTCCAACTGGTCGAATTTCAAAATGATCCATTTTTTGCAACGTCGATTCTTCAATGCATACATTTACCATCACATATCCTTATTAAAACATCGAATTGTTAATTCATTGAATTTCCAAAACATGGAATTTTCATAGCTTTGAATTACCAAAGCATCGACTTGTTATAACGTCGATTTGTCAAAAAATGAATTTTTTAATGCATCGATTTACAAAAACACTGATATTAGAAAACGTCGACTCGCAAAAGCATCGACTTTTGTTTACATTGAATTTTTAATACAGAGATTCTCCAAATTATCGACTAACCAAATCATCCATTTGTCAAACTATAGATTTGCTAAAACATTACATTTGCAATACATCAATTTAGCAAAACACTTATTTTCTAAAACTTTGACTCGCCAAAGCACTGACTTTTTAATAGATTACCTCGTCAAAAGAACGAATTTTCAAATCATCGATTTTCTAATGCACTAACCTGCAAAAGCATCAAATTTCCAATACCTCGACTTCCGAGTACATCGATTTTTTAAAACATTAACCTGTCATAACATCAACTTTCCAATACATCTACTCGTCAATGCATCGACTTGTCAAAGCATAGAATTTTTAATACATAGATATGAAAAAGCATAGACACTTTTTTGCATTGAATATCCATTACATCGAACTTTTTTTTTCACTAGGGTTTACTCTCTATGTTGTTAGTAGGTAAGGTAGATTAAGATTGTGCGGGAAATTTTAAATTAATATAATATTTAATTATGTTTATTAATAAATGTTTTTTATAACATTTAGTTATTAAATATTGTAAATTTCATTGTTTTCTGTTTTTTTTGGTAATATAAAATCTCTCAATATTAACAAGAAAATGATATTTTTATTGATTTAATAATATATACAAATTATTGTTTTATATGTTTCTCATAGATGTCTCTACTTTACCAGTTTAATGTACTAAAACTGAAATAAATATATTTAGAATTGTATTCCATTGACAAATTGCCTTTCTTTTTTAAAATTATTCTCTTTTAATAATTTCTCCTTATTTTTTATGAAATATATTTAATAACTAAATGTTATAAAAAACATTTATTAATAAATATAATTAAATATTATATTAATTTAAAATTTCCCGCACAATCTTAATCTACCTTACCTACTAACAACATAGAGAGTAAACCCTAGTGAAAAAAAAGTTCGATGTAATGGATATTCAATGCAAAAAAGTGTCTATGCTTTTTCATATCTATGTATTAAAAATTCTATGCTTTGACAATTCGATGCATTGACGAGTAGATGTATTGGAAAGTTGATGTTATGACAGGTTAATGTTTTAAAAAATCGATGTACTCGGAAGTCGAGGTATTGGAAATTTGATGCTTTTGCAGGTTAGTGCATTAGAAAATCGATGATTTGAAAATTCGTTCTTTTGACGAGGTAATGTATTAAAAAGTCAGTGCTTTGGCGAGTCAAAGTTTTAGAAAATAAGTGTTTTGCTAAATTGATGTATTGCAAATGTAATGTTTTAGCAAATCTATATTTTGACAAATGGATGATTTGGTTAGTCGATAATTTGGAGAATCGCTGTATTAAAAATTCAATGTAAACAAAAGTCGATGCTTTTGCGAGTCGACGTTTTCTAATATCAGTGTTTTTGTAAATCGATGCATTAAAAAATTCATTTTTTGACAAATCGACGTTATAACAAGTCGATGCTTTGGTAATTCAAAGCTATGAAAATTCCATGTTTTGGAAATTCAATGAATTAACAATTCGATGTTTTAATAAGGATATGTGATGGTAAATGTATGCATTGAAGAATCGACGTTGCAAAAAATGGATCATTTTGAAATTCGACCAGTTGGAAATTCGATGTTTTGAGGAGTCGATAATTTTACAAGTCGATGTTTTGGTCAGTCGACGTTTTGAAGAATCCATGTATTGGAGAGTCAATGTAATAAATCTCGATGCTTTGACAATTTAATGTAATGGATTTTGGGTGCAAATCATGCGTCCCAATATTTTTAAATAAATAAAATATTTCGAAAATTAAACAAAAATTACGGACTGAAATTCTGAAGAGGGATTTTAAACACATGTATACAGTATGTGTGTATATATATATATATGTAATTATATATTTATAAAGAATTGTCATGTAGGTTTCATACAGTTTCATACACGTAATTGAATATCTGTCATTCGTGTCCACATTGTTTCGTATACATTGTTTAGAGTTTTTCAATAATAAAGATTGTTTTGTGAAAGAAATTAAATATACATATATATATACCTATATGTATGAAATAATAATGCATACGAGACGAGTGTTGCAGTTAAATCTCATACTTTATTGTATGTAGCAAAAAACAATCCTCCTCTTGACATTCCCGTATAGTAAGAACTTTGTTGATTTGATTCGATCTTCTATATAGTATTCGCTATATAAACTCACGGCCTTGTTAAATGTGCTTTAAACTGTAGATTTACGACCTTCTTTTAATGTTCTTCGTTTATAAGTAACAATTATTCTCGTCGATAACTGCTTATACGTGCAGATTGTATCATGCATTCGTCAGGAAGTGCATAAAATATAAAAATTTTTGGAGAAACAATGTCTCCTGTGCGTGAATAATATAATAAATATTTGTATAAATTTATTGTATGATTAACAAATTTATGATAAGAATGTTTTGTTTGTTTTTTTTTTTGTTTTCTCTGCAGAAAAGTGAAGAACCCCTTGGGGAAGAGATTATGTGGCTGACAACAGCCGAAGCAGCGAGTCTTGGTGCTGAAGAAGTTGCTGCTCGATTACATGTTGATTCGAGAACAGGACTTTGGTGGCAAGAGGCCGATCAAAGAAAACAACTAGCTGGTTTCAATGAATTATGTCTAAAAGAAGAGGAGCCAACGTGGAAAAAATATGTTGAGCAGGTAATAAACAAAATTTTTATTATCATAATTGTAGAATATAAATTTATAACACTGAGAGAATTATGACAATATTGTGAACCAAATTTCCTGCAAAAAGTTTTTAATATTTGAAATTATTATTAATTTGTAATTATCAAATATTGTAAATTGAATTTTTGATAAAAATTTTCATAATTTTGACAAAATTATATTACTTATTATTAAAGTGTAAAAATAATTTGTTTTACAAATTTAATTAAATAAATATTTCCTTAGTTTTTTTTTATATTTCTTGAATGTTTCCTTATTTTTGAATATTTTTCAAGGCAAATAATGACTGAATTGTTTTTCTTTCTTTTTTTCAGTTTAAAAATCCACTTATTTTATTATTATTGGGTTCTGCGGTTGTTAGTGTTTGTATGAGGCAATTTGATGATGCTGTCAGCATAACAGTGGTAAGTTAATTGATTTAAAAATCATAAATCACAGTCTATATGTATATGTTATTAATTGTTTCTAGGCCATAATCATAGTAGTAACTGTTGCATTTGTGCAAGAATATCGTTCAGAGAAATCTCTAGAAGAATTAAGTAAACTTGTGCCTCCAACATGTCACTGGTAATTATTTTTAAATATTTTTAAACAAATTATGTGTCTTAAATTTTATTTTCATTCTCTAAATTTTTATCTATTATTATTAAAATAAAGTATTAAAATTTATTTTAAATTAATTTTTAAATTAATTACATTTTACTTGTCAATAAAATTTGATATTTAACAAATTTTTTTAATTATTTTCTTTTCTATATCATTCGTAATAAAAATTTATAGAAGAAATGTTTTTATTTCAGATATAAATAATTTTATTTTTATTATGAAATTTGAATATTCATTTTTACAAATAATAAATGAAAATATTTTTCCTTTTAGCCTAAGGGAGAGTCGTCTGGAAACATTTTTAGCGCGGAATTTAGTTCCTGGCGATGTTATTTATTTGAATATTGGCGACAAAGTCCCAGCTGATGTTCGTTTATTTGAATCAATAGATTTAGCTATTGATGAAAGTAGTTTTACTGGAGAAACAGAGCCTGCTCAAAAATCAACGGCTCCATTGCTTAAGGCTGATGAACATTCTTCGAAAGGAAATATTGCATTTATGGGAACTCTTGTGCGATGTGGTCATGGAAAAGTAAGAAACTGATTAATTTTATTAATTGTAAAAAGATTGATATAAAAATTTATTATTATTTTTTTCATTAGGAATATTGAAATAAAAAAAATTGAAATAATTTATTATTTTAGGGAATTGTCGTAAATACAGGTGAAAAAAGTGAATTTGGCGGAGTTTTTAAAATGATGCAAGCCGAAGATGCACCAAAGACACCATTACAAAAAAGTATGGATATTTTGGGAGCTCAACTTTCATTTTATTCATTTTTTATTATTGGCATTATTATGATATTGGGATGGGTACAAGGAAAAGCACTTCTTGAAATGTTTACTATAAGTGTTAGTTTGGCGGTTGCTGCTATTCCCGAGGGTCTACCAATTGTCGTAACTGTTACTCTTGCTCTTGGTGTAATGCGAATGGCAAAAAGAAAAGCAATCGTTAAAAAATTACCCACTGTCGAAGCTCTAGGTAAGTTGTGAATTTTTAATTTTAAATGAAGCTGAAGTACGCAACGTTTATATAAACGATTTTTAAAGAAATAATTTTTTAAAATGAAAAATTCTATAATTTTTTGCCTAAAAAATATTTTTTTATAATTTGTTGACTAATGAAAACTACAAGAAATATTTTTTAGGCAAAAAATTAAAGAAATTTTTCATTTTAAAAAATTATTTCTTTAAAAATCGTTTATATAAACGTTGCGTACTTCAGCTTCGTAATTTTAAAATTAATTTTGTTGAAAATTTTTGACGACAATAAAAATATTATTGTAAAACAATTTTTTGTTTTTGTAATTATCATGCAATTTACTTTGAATGTATAATGTTTACTTTATTAATTTGAAAGTTAAGTGTCTGTATTTTTCATAAGATGATTGTTATCAAAGAAGAATTTTAAATTTATCATATCGAATTACTTATCTTGAAATTGATTACCAATTAATTGAGAAAATGATAATGATAACGATGATAGTAATGAAAATATTATATCAATATTATAAAAAATTATTTCATGAAATACCTATGCAATTTATAATTTATTTGTGTTTTTTTTTTTATATTTTAAATGCAGGATGCGTGAATGTCATTTGTTCTGATAAAACTGGAACTTTGACAAAAAATGAAATGACTGTTACAATACTCATTACATCGGAAGGCTATGTTGCTGATGTTAGTGGAACTGGCTACAATAATGTGGGAGAATTACGATTACGAAAATGTGACAATGCCGAATTAGCACGAACTGCTATAAATAATATGCTTGAGGTAAACAAATTTCTTTTTAAAAGAAATAAAAATTTAAATTTGAATAACAAACTCATTAAATAAATCCTTTTTTTTTTTTTTTTTAAATGACTTTTAGGTTGGATGTGTTTGTAACAATGCTGTTATTCAAAATGATACTTTACTCGGTCAACCAACTGAAGGAGCAATATTATCTGTTGCTATGAAACATGGAATGTATGGAGTAGCTGAGAAATTTCTTCGCCTTCAGGAATATCCATTTTCGTCGGAACAAAAGATGATGGCTGTTAAATGTTCTCCTAAATATGGAGAAGTAAATATAGTTTCTAATTTATTCGATAATAATATTTTTATTACTAATTTTTGTTTGCTTTCTATTTTTTCAATTTTTATTTATTAACTTTTTTCCTATTTCTTTTTATTTACGTTTTTCTATTTATTTTATTTAAATTTTTTCCTATTTATTTTATATTGAGAATTTAAAAAATAATGAACAAAATTGATAATTTTTTTTTTTTAGAACAGACAAGAAGTTTTCTTTGTAAAGGGAGCCTTGGAGAAAATTCTACCGCAGTGCACAAAATACTCAGCAAATGGACAATTGTATCCGCTAAATCAAAAAAAAGATCAGGAACTACTTGCCGAGGCTTATGAAATCGGACAGCAAGGTTTAAGAGGTAATTATTACGATAATAATAATAGTTACTTTTTTTTTAAATAAAATATTAATTTAGATAGGTATACAGGCTTAAAAATACAAATAAATTTTTTTTTTGCAGTGATTGGATTGGCTCGTGGATCTTCACTTCAGGATCTTGTTTATGTGGGTATGGTTGGTATTTGTGATCCACCAAGACCACATGTTCGTGAAGCAATTACAACTTTAATGAATAGTGGAGTTACAGTGAAAATGGTTACTGGAGATGCTAAAGAAACAGCTTGTGCCATAGGTAAATTTTGTTTTTAATTATTTTACTTTTTTCCATACTTTCATTTTATTTAAAATATTATTATTTTCTTATTTGCTTTTATTCTATTTATTTCTATCTATACTCTATTTATTCTATTTTAATTTATTTCCTTTTTTCTTCTATTTATTTTTGATTTGTGAATATGAAAAACACATTAAGAAAATTTTGTACTTCAAAAATTCAGTTTTATACTCTAGATTGTTTTTATTATTATTATTATTATTATTATTATTATTATTATTATATAAATTATTAATTGAAAAAAAGAAAAATTATTAAAATTGAAAATATAAAAGTAATTAAAATTTTCTTTCTCTTCTTTTTGCAGCAAATATGATTGGTTTAGATACATTGCATAAAAAAGTTATGTCGGGCAATGAAATTGATGCCATATCAGAACGTCAATTAGAGGAAGTGATCGACAATGTCAGTGTGTTTTATCGTGTCACTCCAAAACATAAATTGTGTATTGTTAAGGCTTTGCAAAAAGGAGGAAATATCGTTGGCATGACGGGCGATGGTGTAAATGATGGAGTTGCTTTGAAAAAAGCTGATGTTGGAATTGCCATGGGCAAAAATGGAACAGACGTTTGTAAAGAAGCGGCTGACATGATTCTCGTTGATGACGATTTTCAAACAATTATGTGAGTTTAAATATTTTTTTTATAAATTTTATATAACTAGTTATTTTCTTTAATAAATAAATAAAAATTAATTTTTATTATAGTGGCGCTATCGAGGAAGGAAAGGGAATTTTTTACAATATTCGAAATTTCGTGAGATTTCAACTTAGTACAAGTATAGCGGCATTATCGTTAATTGCACTCGCGACTCTAATGAGTATTCCAAATCCTTTGAATGCAATGCAAATTCTTTGGATTAATATTATTATGGATGGTCCACCAGCACAGAGGTAATTTAGTTTTCTAAGTTGTCGAATTAATTTAAATATATATAATTTAATCTCTTTTTTTCATTAATAAAATTTGTTGTATATATTTTTTTTTAGTCTCGGTGTAGAACCAGTTGATAAAGATGTTTTAAATCAGAAACCTCGTAACGTGAAAGAGCCAATGATCACAAAAAGTCTTGTTGTCAATGTTTTATTATCGGCCACAATTATAATTATTGGTACTCTTTGGGTTTATAATAGAGAGGTAAAATAAAATATTTCTAAATAATTTTTTTCTTTATCGAAGAAACAAAAAATATTTTAAATAGACAAAAAAAGTGTTTAAAAAGAAAAATAATTTAGAAAAAAATTTAATAAAAATGTTTTTGTTTTTAATTTTTAGATGACATCGGGAGGAATTACGGCTCGTGATACAACTATGACATTTACATGTTTTGTATTTTTTGACATGTTTAATGCCTTAAGTTGTCGTTCTCAGGTAAGACGAATAATTTAAATTCACCTCTATTAGGATGAAAATAAGAGCTATTTTAATTTTTTTTTTTATATTTTTCAGACCAAGTCAGTATTTACAATTGGCTTCTTTAGTAACAAAATGTTTCTGGTAGCCGTGACTCTATCAGTGGTAGGACAATTGTTAGTTATTTATTTTCCACCTCTTCAAAGAGTATTTCAAACAGAAGCTTTGACGTCGAAAGGTATTTAATTGAATATACATATTTCATTATCATAAAAAAAACCGTAAAAATTGAATGTTTTTTTATTTAAATTAATCAAAATTCGATTTTTATAAAAATGGACAATTTGAATGTTTACAGATATTGTATTTTTGGTGTCATTGACGTCGAGCGTTTTTATTATCAGTGAGATAAAGAAATTCTTCGAGCGACAAGTTAGTCGACGTCGCAGTGGAGCAAAGCAATATAGTAAGTTTGGCATGGATTTTGTATGACATTTAAAACGCTCCAAAACCGAACAAGTCAAAATTCGCGTACAGTGAAAAGACTACAAGACGGGGAGCGCTATCAGTATTTCGAAAAAAAATACCAATAACATTCTTTAACTCTCATTTTCTCGTGTTCAAAACTCAGAATCACATTCCAGAATCGTTCTCAAGCAACGAAAAAAGAAACAAACAACTGATTTATATATATATATAATAATACGAATTTTGCACTATTTTCATAACTTTCCTATATATATAAAAAAATAATCAATTCACTTCTTGTCATTTATGAAAAGAGAGACAAAGAGAGGCATTTTTCGAACATTTTCTCTCTTGAATAGAGTAGTTTTTAACACTGTGACGTGCACGGACCATATTTTGTCCCAATTGCATTTGATTTGTTAAACTATTGCACTGTGCTTGTATTTTTCAATAGTGTCATTTTTTTTTGTTTATATATTTAATATGATGAGAGGTGATAGCGATTCTATATAGAAAAAAATTCTATTACAATTAATTTTATAGGGAAAAAATTTTACATTTAGACGAGTATTATTCTAAATTCTATACATTAGAAGTAAATAAAGTAATTTAAAAAAATTTGTTTAATTCTACATTGTAAAATTTTACATAAATTATTTTGTTTTTTTTTTTTTTTAATAAATTTTTAACTCTACTCTGTTAAATTAAACATCAGAAAACTCTACTTACTATTTTAAATAATAAATTTGTTAATTTATTATAAAATAAAATTTTTCACAATACAATAAATTTTATATAAGAAAAAAAATTGTACACAAAAATTTTTAATCATTTTACAATTTAATAAATTTTAATTCTTTACTATTAAATTCTAAAAATAATACAATTAATAAGTTTAATTAAATTAAACTTTATTTTATTTCACTACAATATGTAATTTTTTCGTGTACAGTTTATTAGAGTATTAATTTTTGTCTATTTTCATAGAATTGCTACCATCTCCTATGATGACCAAATGTTTTACATTTTACACTATAATATATTTATATTGTGATAGTCATGAAAACGTGCATTTGCGTGTACGACGTGATAATTTTAAACAAGTTAGTGCATTTGATTTATTAAAAAAAAATATATATATGGAAATCAAATAATTTCACTCATGTACAGAGAAATTTTGACGATTTTTATCTCTTATCAATTGATCGAATTATTACTGTTGGAAGTACAGTGTTGGGCAAAATTTTAGGTACATTTAAAAAAAAAATTATTTTATTGCTTTTTATTCCCATATACTGTCCTTTATATATTTATTATTATTTAGAAATTGTTTTAATTAATAGATAATTTTTATTTGTTACTCGTTATTTTTATCTACCATTTTATTTTTTAAATAGAAAATTTAATTTTTATTTTATTAAAACAATTTTTGTTGGGCAATTTAGTAGAATTTCTTTTAGTCACACTCTGTTATTAATAATAAAATATAGGATAAATTTTTTTTCACTTTACATAAGCGCACATTAAATTGAATATATATATATATTTTTGTAATAATTGAAAATTAATTTTTCTTAATTATAGTTATATTTATAAGTTAAATAGAAAAAAAACTACTATAAATCAAGAAAATCAAAATTTCTATATTTATTTATTATTTAAAGTTAAAATTATCTTCAATATTTATATACATATTGCTCATATTTGTATTCTGTTATAAAATTTTATTATAAAGAGTGTTAAATAATTTTTTTGGCACTTATTTACAAATGTATTGAATTATATAGATATATGTAAAATTTAATAATTAAAGGAATTGAAAGTCAATTTTAATAAAATAATGATTAAAAATTATAAAAGTATTATTAAGATCGAATTTTATTAAAACAATAAAAAAAATTATTTGCCCAACACTGTATATATTGATATTTTTTATTTGCTAAAATAAAAATTGGTGCTTTTATTCAATAAATAACTGAGTATATTCGATCTTTTTGAATGCTGTGAAACTGTAATATTATGTGAATCTCAATGAACAAAATGAGATTTTCAATAATTAATGCTAATCCAGAAGATGTCGCAAATGTTTCATTTTACAAAAATTTTTAAACATTTATTGCTCAATTATATATTTTGTACAAAGATTTTAATTTATTTCATATATATTTAAATAAATTAAGAATGAATCATATCATATATATAGAAATTTTATTTAAATTTTAGTTTATCTTAAGGGTATTTGAGATTTTGAGAAAAAAAAATTTTGTTTTCAATAAATGAAACTATTTTTAAATATTTCAAGAACATTTTTAAAATATTACAAAAATTTTCCTTAGAATCTCATATTATGTGTAATTAATTACGTATGAAAGAAAATTTTTCAAGTTAATTAATTAAAACACCGCTGAGAAAAAAAATTACAAATAAGTTCGCTTTTTTCATGTTCAATTGCAATAATTAAACAAATTTTTCAGTTTAAAATAAAACACAATTGAAAATTATCAATAAAAAATTTAATTATTTTTTTTTATATAATACAAACAACAAAAGGGCTTTTTTAGATTCTTTGTGTAGTATTTTACAAGCGATCTCTTCTGGAATGAAAGAAGGCAGCTGTAAACTTTTTTTTTTTTTGTTATTACGTTAATGCATTTGACGATAAAATAATATTGTTAAAATATTTCGCGACTAATTAAATATCTAGTACACAATTTTAATAAACACACATAACATATTTTCCCCTTGGAATTGTTATACAAATTGCAAATAATATATAATAATAATTATTATTAAATTGAGCTACGTTATTTATACAAATACATATACAAAAAAATAGTTATGTTAGTAAAAATAATAAAATCTCTTTGATCAAATATAAGAATTCATGTACTGTTTATTAGAATTTTAAATACTGCAAAAGTACAGGAAGAATTTTTAGTAAATTGAATAAAATAAAGAAAGCGCTCAATGGTAATGAATATAGAGAAAAAATGCCAATTTGAAGGAGAAAAAAAAAATTATTGCTAAAAACAAATCTTCTGATCAGTGAATACCCTCAAGAGCACTATAACTCTTATATTGATATAAATCTGATCCACCATATCCATAGAGCAAGCGGCCTCTTCCATTTTCGTCATAATATGGATATCTGTATCGCGGTCTGAAATAAATTTAAAAAAACAAAAATTTATTCGTCTTGAAAGTGTTATTGATATCCACATTTTTTTTTTTTTTTAATGAAAAATTACTTTTTATCCCTCTCGCAAAAAAATATGATTACTATTTCTACAACATTTTTTCATTTACACACATTTTTTTTCAGAAAAATTACTTTTTATCTCTTTCGTAAAAAAATAGTATTACTGTTTCTATAGGATTTTTCCTTAAAAGAAAGGAAGATAGATTTATTTTCAAATTTTAAGTATTATTTTAAAAATGTTTATATTAACATATATTATATTTTATAATTTGTATAATTTTATTAATAAAATTCCTACCTTTCAAAATATTGGAAATTTGGAGCTTGTGGTTTTCCAATCAATGCTGACGTCTGGAAAACTATTGTCAAAAATATCAACACAATTCCGGCAGTCCACTAAAAATGATTTTTTTTTTAATAAAAAAAACCCACATTTTTTTTCACTTTTTTCAAATTTTAAAAATGATTATAACAAATTTGTTAATTAATTTTTTTTTAATTTCTAAGAAAAGTAAGAAAAAATTAATCTAAAACTTAAAATTTGTTTCTCTTAGAAATTAATATTACAAATCGAAAAAAATCTCAAATTTTCTAGATAATAGATTCTTTTTTGTTAAAAGTAAAGAATTTAATTAAAATTCACAAGGAAAATTTTATCTAATAATTAATAAATAATAATGTTTTTAAAATTTATTTATATTTTTTACTCTAAAAATTGACATTACAAATTTAAACTTAAATAATTTTTTAATCGAATAAATTAAAAAACATTCTTTATAGATATATAAATTAATTCTTTAAATGTCAGTTTACTTACAATTATTAATTTTGACATTTTTGCCTTTTTATTTAAAAACACTCACTGAATTTGATATTTTTCAAATTTACGACACCAATAAATAATATTTTTTTAAAATTTATTAAAAATCATCATTTTAGAAATATTTTAATGTTATATTGTCAGAAGCAAAAGGGGGACTAACGAACTGTAAATGAAAGGTGAAAGTTACAGTTGAAAGTTCTGACGATATACGCGTTTAGGTACTATACAGTTTCCTTTCAAAATTGTATTATCTATAGTTTTGCATTTTTAATTTTTGTTGTAAAAAATATTACAAAATTGGAAAATTTTGTCAATTTATTTCATAATTGCTCTTTTATTGTATTAAAATCTAAAATTTTTTATGTGGTAAATACACAAAAATAAAAATTTTAACTAACGTTTTTGATTACATTATTACAATTTTTTTATTTATATTTACTTTTTATATATAATTTATTTAAAAATATTTTGTTATTTTCAAATTTATTTATATTTTATTATTTATTTTGTATTATTTGTTCTTTTATTTTCATTTTATTTCATATAAATAAAAAAAGAAATTTAATTTTAAAATTGTTTAGTTATGTTTCGAAATAAAGATACCGATTTTTTTTTTATTTAATTTATTTAAAAAATAAATATAGTTTAGATTTTTGTAATATGTAAAATAACAATTTAAAAAATAATAATCATCTCTTCTTTAATGTGCGAATAGAAGGTTCAACCACGTTTCCTTTGCCAATGCGTTCAATTAAATCTTCTGCTAAATAACCATTTTCTTTCACAAATTTTGCTCTTCTCTCCTCTCCTAAATTTGGATCCAAATTCCACATTGATTTCTAAAGAAAATAAATTTCTTTAGACTTTTGTTAGTATAATTTCTAAAAATGAGAAATTTATTAAAATCATTAATCAAATTATACAAACCTCGTGGACTGTTGGAATACCAGCTAAATTCCATTGTACCAAGTCATGAATTAAATTCCAAATTAATCCTGCTGAAACTTTATTATTTTGTGTCAATAAACACATTACCTGAAAGTAATATTTTATAATTAATAAACATCACATTTTTATGAATTAGAATTATATGTTAACTTTGAAAAAAAAATTAGTAAAAGAAAAGTATAAAATTTTTTGATTTCAAATTGCAAACTATTGAATTTCTATTTAGCAGAATTTTATAAAGTACATTTTATTATTAAACCGAATTTTCATTTTTAATCATTTTTATTTAAAAGAATTTCTGTTATCTAACAGAAACATTATTGAAACTCTATTCTCTATGATTCTGTCAAATAACAGTTGAAATTTCGGTTAAAGAGAGTTTCAGTGAATTGGAAATTCTCCCATTTTTAAAAATTGTGTTAAATAAAATTATATTTTATATATAAATTATATTTTTTAAAGGAAATTAATGTTAAATTGAATTTTCTATTGAATAAAATTCAACTAAAAAAAAAAAAAATTCTTTTAAGTTTTGTGTAGTCCTCAATTGACGAATAATTATTATTACTTAACATGATTATTATATGATAGAAATGCTATAAAATTACCATAATCACAATAACAACTCTCATTATTTATAATTAAGGCTGACAATGGTCCATATTTTTTTAACACTATTAAGTGATCAACGCAAAGTAAAAATGTAAACTGTTGAAAAATTTTTCTTGTTTCTGGAGATGTTTGCTTAACGATCTTATGCAAGACTAAAAGTGAAAGTATATATATTATAGATATTATTACTGATCTGTGACATGTGAAATTCACGCATTATTTTATATTTAGTTTCGTAGAAATTGATAAAATTGCATTATATATAGTATTTAAGGCCATGAAACTTTTAAATTGATTACAATAAGAAACTATCTCATTTTCTGTAAAGGCATAAATTTTAACATTATAGTATCTTTTATAATTTAAAAGAATTTTAATGCAAAATTTTGATTTGGATACAACAGTTCCAAAACCTAAAATTATAGGGAAAAATATTTAAAAATTCATTTTCCAAAATACAAAAGTTGCAAAATACAAAATTTTCAAAAAATTTTTTTTTAATCATAATTTTTTTGCAATTTTTAAGATGCTATTCAGTTACTTTTAGAGTTATTTTTTTTTCACTTTCTCGAAATTTCAAGAAAATAGATTTTTTCAATAATTATAGCCGAAAAAAGTTCTTAAAAATATTAATAATTTATCATTTTTCTTAAGTGATTCAACAAATTAAGAAAGTAAGAATTCGTGACTTTAAAAATATTGAATTTAAAAAAATTTTATGATGTTCACAAATAATGAGAAAAGAAGTATTTTATTTGCAATTTTTAATTATAATATTAGTCAAATAGAACTACAAATAGTTGATTTTTCAGTTTCTAATAATTGCTACCCTGAAAATATACATATTTTTTTTTAATACATAAAGTAATTTATGATAAAAGCCTTAGAAATAAGAATACTTAAATGTGTAAAATGTGTGAGAATTCTATTAAATGCCATATCGCTCTTAGAATGTTAAGTACGATGAAAAGATTTAAAATAAAAGATGAGAAAAAAGAAGAACGTTTGAATCGTCGAGATTTAATGGATTATACTTTATATATAAGAAAATGGTCCGAATTCATATCACAAAGCCCAAATTTTTATGAAATCCACTTTTAAAGATGTTCCTGATTTCCAAGTATTGAACCATGTTGATTGTTTACGATAGAAATTTAAAAGTGCCTAGAATTAAAAATAGAAATAAAAAATTAATTAGAAATTTTATTAATTTATAATGAAAAATTAAAAATTTTATATAGCCACATTTTTAGTACTGTTTTCATTTTTTTTTTTCATCAAAATGTGAAGATTTATTTTATACCTTTGATTTAAAGTTGCTCCATGGTTTTGTATACTCTTTATTTTTACAATTGTCAGGAAATTCAGTGTATCCACCAACAGCAACACCCAAAGTTACGTAGAACTAAAAAATTTTCCATCGAATTTCCACTAAATATTATTTAATACTCATTTTTAAAATTTAATATAATTTAATTTAAAACAAAAATATCAAATTTTGCTTAAATTTCATTACATAACGAAAATGTTTGTTTTTTTCTTTTTTTTTTATGATCAATAAAATGTGTAAATTACCGGCAACTGTAATGGTGAATCAAATTTTGTCTCTCCATAAATTTCTCCATCAACTTTCGAAATGATTACATCTGGTCTCCATTCCATTTCAAAAAGATGAAATTCATCGGACCACAATTGTGGAGAAATTTTACTTTTTGTACTGTCATTTGTCTTTAGAGTGGAAATATCATTTGTATGTAAAACGGTATGAGTAAGAAATCCACCACGAAGAATGCGTCCACTTAAATCTTCTTCATTAGATGATTGCAATTCGGTATTTCCTCTTGCACTTGCTACTCGCAATTGAAAACAAAATAGTATATCATTTCCCATGAGTGTTCCTTGTCTGTCCATTGGTTCCAGCCATAGAACTTAAAAAAAAAACAAAAATATATCTATAATAATAATTAATTAAACAAGAATAAAATTTACCAATAAAATTCTAAAATTAAAATAAAAGAATACAAGTTAATATGATATCGAGTGTATAAAAAAATAATATATAAGAAATTTTATGTATTTATTGTATTGTGACTCACGTGGATAAATCCAGTCACCTCGTGGCATTTTTGCTCTAATTACAATTCGTCCGTATTGAAAAGAAAAAATATTTTTCGTATCAATCCGACCGGAGATAACTGGTGGTAAAATATGAAATCCTTGTGCTTTACGTTGACAGTCTCTTGATCCATGATCTCCAGTACATCTAAATAGGAAAAATAGTGATTTTTAAATATTTTCTTTTTTTGAAAAATAAGGATTTTATTTTATTACACACTTATTTAAACTTAAACTTCCATTTTCTACAAAATGAAAACCGCAACTGTCTTCTAAAAGTATCGGTGTAATTTTTAAATTTCCATTCACAACGTTGACATTCTTTTTTGAATTTCGATAAACAACAAATTCGTAATCCTGTGAAAAATATGAATTTCCTTGTTAATTACATATTAAGTATAGTTGTTTTTTTTTCTATTACTTTTTATTAAATATTTGGTAATAATCAAAATATTTATAAACTATTTCTTAAAAAATATGAAAATTGATTTAAATTTGATTTGGGAACAAAAGTTAAAAAAGATAAAAAAAAAAAAAAATCAACTTACAGGCGATTCAGAAAATCTTTCAATAATATTCCATTTTGACTGATTAAGATGATTATCATTTTCAAAAGTATCTTCGAAAATAAGAGCTCCTCCACAAACGGTTTCCGTTTGATTTTCGCGACCAAAAACTTTTGTTAATGTTTGAGTACAAGTTTCATTGCCATTAAAAGTGGTACCAGTTGATCCGCCAATTAAAACTCCATTATAATCATAAAAGTCTGAAACAAGATGATAAATTTATGTTTTATTTATTCACATTATTATTATTAATTATTATAATTAAAAATGTTATTTAGATTACTTTTGACAAATTTTATAAACAATATTAAAAAATTTATTTCCTAAATGTAGATATCAATTCACTAAGATATATGATACCTGTTAAATTATGTTCTTAGTTAATATTTTCTGGAGAACATTTAAAAATACAAGATGACTCAACAAAATTGTACGATATTTAATTGATTAATATTTTTTTTTCCTTTAAAATATTTTACCTGTTACAATGTATTGTTGATCAAGTAAATTATATCCTAATCCTTCAAAGACAATATGCAGCCAATAATAAACTACATCTCCTTCTTTCAATTTTGTACTTCGATCTTCGTAAGTCCATCTTCCATTTCTGGGTTTTATTATATCTCGTGCTATTGTTCCAGCCTCCAATCCAAAAAATTCTTTATTAAAATTTACATGAAATGCCACCAAAGAAATTCCTTCTTCATCTATATAGGAAGTAATTTATAATTATTTTTCAAAACCTCTTAATATTTAAATTATGATTATTAATTTAGAAAAATATTTTTTTAATGTGCATATTTCTAACCCGGAATAGAAATTTTTATTCCTATTGGATGAAGAGGTTGAACTGTTGCATCAGGGGGAACATATTGACTGTTGCTTTCATTCAATAAAAAAACAATACAAATTAACAAAATTCGCAACATTCTTTGTTAGTTGCGTTTTCTGAAAATAAAAATAACGAATTAGTACATATATATTTTTTTTTTATTAAACTTGATACATAAATATAAAAAAATATTATTTTTCGAAATAAAAATTTAAAAAAATTGTTTATTTAAAGAAGTTAAATTTTTTTTATAAATAAAAAATCAAGAAACTGGATTTTTTTCACACATACTTTATAAAAAATGTAATTTATCGTTTTCAATATGAACTTTGACATTTTAATTTTTAATCGAGGATTTCCTTAATAATATTTTTTCGCGATTACAAAGAAAGAAAAAATAATGCTGAAAAATATTTCAGTAATATTATTTAATTTTGCACGTGAAAAAATTAATAGTAAAAAAAAAAAGATGAAAATAATTATTTCTATATTTATTGTAAAATTATTGACAAAAAATGTCTGGTAATTTTTTTTTTTTTAATTTAATAATAAATTGTTATTTGGAAAAAAATGTAATTGTTCTCTTACCGGTTAATTGTTGTCTTCAAAACAAAAGAAAACAAAGAGAAAATTTAATTTATTTTAAAAAAAAGCAAACTGAAATAAAATTAATTGCTAATGTAATTTTTTCTTAATAGCTTTAAAGCAAATGATTAAATTTCTCTTGTGACAAAATTTTAATTTTATGCGAATTTAAAGACTGATCTTTTTTTTTTTTAAAAAAAAAGAAAATGATCAAAGGAGTAGTAGATCCACTACTATGCAAGGTCATCTTCTCACTGACGTATTTAATTTTCCAGGGCCCTACTTTATTTAATTGTAAAATTACTTGATTATTAACAATTTTAATAAAATTAAAAAATTAAATTCTAATTATTAATTGTAATTTTTAATTTTATTTGAATTTTACTATGTTTATTTGACTCTTTTTTTTCTTTACGAATTAGGAAAATATGTTTAATTTTTATTTTTCATTTACTGTAAATAAATATTAAATTAATTGTATTAAATAAATAATTTATAAATGATGAAAATTATTTTTTTTTTATAAAAGAATTCAAATATATTTGTATAAATACTGATTTGACAACGCTTATGAGTGTAATATAAAAATATCTACGGAAATGTCAATTATTCATAAAGATGAGAAATATAATATGAAAATTTTCATTAATATTAATATAATATATATATATGTATATATATAAAACATGAATTTAAATTGATTAATTTTGACATATAGTATGAACATCAGACTTTGTATCAGAGCTCAAGGAGCTCCATCGAGTAGAAGAGCATTTTTGTAAAATCGGTTTAAACTTAAACCGACCACTAACGTAACAAATTTTATTAATCTCATAATAATCTATTATTAAATTGTCTATCCATTGATTTAACTCGGAACCAATTCTTTCTTCAACATTATTATTATTATTTATTCGTTGCTTTTCATCCGAGTATATTAAAGGTTTCAAGAAATTTTTCCACTTGTGCACTAAATCCTTAGCAATATGATAAGGACCAGATGAACCATTGTGAATTTCTCTTGCTTTATCAGTAGAGATTTTTTGATTTTTCCAATAAGCCAATGGCGTTATTAAAAATTTTAATTGCGCCATTAATTCACCATTGGATACCAAAATAACTTGCCATGTTCCAATTAATAATCGTTCATTTAATTGTGGCCTCACATGTCCCACCTATCATTGAAAAATAAAATTTGAGATACATATTATTCAAATAAAAAAAAAAAATGAACCAAATACTACTCACAAGCGTTGTTTCTTCTAACTGCATATAATTAACATCCGCTAATATTCCTAATGGATCAATCCACAAAATTGTAACATTCTGCGGTGTGACTAGTTCCGATTCAAATTCATAGGCTAAAATTGGACTGGAAAATGGTCCCAATCCACTAATTAAATTCCTAAATGTTTGTTCCTTTTGATCATAATCAGTGCTTACGCTAAGATCGCGTATTTTTCCTAACCAATCAGAACTAGTTGATATAAATTTCTTCAAATAAATCAATAATTCTATTTGCTCGGGAAATTCAGCTTGCAATGTTGACGATTCAATTATTCTCACATTTGCCTCGGCTCTTATTAAAATACCCACAAATCTATTTTCATGAAAATAAGCCGTTGTTTCTAAAAGATGAACATTATTCTCTTCAATATTAAAATTACGATATGCAAGTCTTGCAAGTGAATTAGAAATAGTTAAAAGTGTATCATCGGCAAGTGGACTTAAATCTGCATGATGAAAAAGACTCTGCCAATACATATCGTATCCCTTTGCATTGACTGTTGTATTTATTGAAGATGGATATAACCAATGTTCCACTCTATCGATAATTCTTTGATCAATAATTGGTTCAAATTTTCTTGCAAAAAATAAATTTCTCTGCAATGTTCCACGTAAACGTGTAAAATCTTCAAGTTTAAAATCATTAGGACTACATCCACACCAATCGACAACTGCCTTATATTGACATTTGCAGCCAAGTTTTCTCTTCCAATTTGTCACATGTAAATTATTATCAACATAAGAATTACAAAATTTTGAATTACGTAATGCTGTGTGAAAAAATGATTCAGCTGGCAACAATGTGTATTGAAAAATTTTTAAAAGACCAGCTATTAATGAATCTGGATTTGGATTTGCAACGTATTCCACGAAATTTCGACTTAATGCGATCCAATCGCTTCCGCCGTCAATTTGAATACCTGAAATTTTCATAAAAAAAAAAAAAAATTAATTGTTTTATTAAAGAAGAAAAAACTATTATATTGAGAATATACAATACCATTTGGTAATTTTCGATCGCCAATACGCCACATACGTGCTTCACACTCGACAAAACTCTTGTCCAAACCTTGTTTAGTGATAAAACGTTGCACCTCCCTTCCATGGGATTTAACGAAATTCATTCCCCTATTCAATGAAAGAAATTCAGTCAATAATGTATTATTTTTAATTGGAAAATCCGATTCCGATAAATTAACTAAAAAATCCCATGGTTCAGAATGGGCGAGCATTTGTCTTGCGGAACTTAAAACAGTTGTCAAAAGACTCGCTCCACCCCAAATACTTGCGTGTCGCAAGCCTTCACCTTTTGCCACTTTGATATTATTTGTTTTACACTTTCTTTCTACCTCTAACATTTCACGATATAAATAGTCTTGTCTCTGTAAAAATCAACAATAAATTTAAAAAAATAATTTTAACAAATAAACGGTGTATGTTACTTAAAAAAAAATTATTTTATCATTCTTGTTTTTAATTTTTTTTTCTTTTCTAAATTTATCTACATTAAAATTCAATTTTTATCATTCTTTAGGAATTAATAGTAGTGAAATTTTTTTTTATATAATTACCGCGTCAACGTGAATATAAAAAAGATGAGAAGTGTGATATAGAGTACGAATTAGACGTTTAACTTGACGACTAGCTCTGCCATTGACAGTAATTAAATACGCTATTCTTATAGGCTTGTCTTTCACTAGACTTGAACTAGAATTCTTTGCTTCTTGGGGTTTAAATCCTGAAATTAAAAGTGTTATTTAAATCTAAATGTACAAAAGAAAATTAAATTAAATTGGTAGCAAATTTTTAAGAAACAAAATCTGAAAATGAAATTTACAAAAAAAAAGAATTAATTAATTTAATTTTTTAAAAATTTGTCTTCTAAATTAAAATATTTATTAACTAATAAAATTATGTTCTTCAAATTTTTCATGTTGTAGTATAATTTTAAATTCTCAATAATGTAGAAAAATAAATTGGCATCGTCTATTTTTAATTTAATATTAAAAAAAATATATAATTTAATTACTTTTAATTCCAGTATGGAAAACGTTTATAGTTAAATAACCTCCACATGATTGTTTAGAATCACCAGGGCATTTCATATTACAACTAGAATCAGGCAGTCGACTAGTTTGAGATGGCTCTTCCATTCCACAAAAACATTCGACTCTGAAATTTATTCAAATTTACATTTTATTTTAAATATCTAAAATATATAATGTTAATTTTAAAATTAAAGAAAAATTTAAAATATTTATATAAATTGTAGGGATTATAGATACTTTTATTTTTCTTTAAAATAGGTGAAAAAATAAATAATTTTAATGAAATCGGCATCAAAAAATAATATTTTACTAAAAATTAATTAATTATGTAAAATAACAAATTTTTATTTATTAAAAAATTATTATTGATATTTAAATCATTTAAAATCAAACAAATGAAATTTAAAGTCGATTATATTTTTAATCAATAAATATTTTGACCAACTAAAATTTATTAACATTTAGAATAATTTTGATAAATTGAAATTAATAAATGAATAGAAAAAAAATTAATAAAAAGTCATAATGTACAAATTTAAAATATGTAATTATATATATAAAAAAAATTACTAACGAGTATTCGGTACCAGCGAATGAATATCCAGATTGTAAACACATGTATGCGCATTGTTGTGGGGAATTATTATTTTTAAAAATTGTATTAAAACCATTGAGAATGCGAAAAAGTTTATCATCCTTGAAGCAACCAATATTCTTTGGAATTCCTGTGAAACCTGTTGAATGAGGACAGGATGATTTTAAGGTTTTTGGATATAATAAACCTTGATGACTAAGGCACGTCACATTGACTATATACTCTTTACATATTTGAGATTGTGCTCGTGTTATGGCACTAACTGCCTCTCGTCCAGTCACATCACAGATTGGAGTAAAATTAAGTGATTTTCGATCTAAAGTAACAATATTTGTACGATTACGACGTGATTGTTGTAATTTATTTTGACCTGCTTGTTTATCAGGTGGCAATTTTAATTGCCGTGTTCCTTTTGGAAGACCCTCTCCTATTTCTGAGTGAGAAAAATCTTTCTGTAAATATAAATTGCTAATTTGTAAATATAAATTTGTTTCGATAATTATAAGTTAAAAAAAAAAATTTCAAATACATAATTTTTATTTCTTAATAATTACTCCGACCTAAAGTTTACAATTTTTAAATTATTTGTAAAATTTTAAATATATTTAAATAATTCTGTACTTAATTAAATTTTAAAAAATACAAGTTTTTAAAAGTCTATTTCAAATCATTTTAAAATATATACTTGTCAAAATTAAAATAAAACGATTTAATATAGTCACATGGACTCAAATAAAAAATAGCGAATAAATTTTACAATTTTTATTTATGATTATATTTAAATCCTTTAAACAATAGTAATATATAGTTTCAATAATTCTTTTAATAAAAAATAAATGTTTAACTACTAATAAATTAGAATAATCATTCATCTAATTAAAAGATTAGAAAAAAGAGAAATTGTTATTTTTTTAAACTGTCAAAAAATGAGAGGTTAGGTTACACTTACTAAGTCAGTAATACGTTTTTTAGGCGTTTTTCGATCTTCGTTTTCTAATGTTAAAAAAGAATATGCTAAATATACTTGAATACATAATATACTGATACCAATGATAAAAAAGATTTTATATTTTCGGATACAATTTGTCGACCGGCTATTCAACAAATGTCTGGTTACAACCATTTTTCAATTGTAAATTGTAATTTTCCATCATAGTGAAGAGTTAGGTTGGGCTAGGTCACTAGGAAGAGGGCGTTGAAGATGATGTGCGCAGAAATTTAAAATAGATTTGCGCATTTTGTTTTTCATGTTTTTTGAACAAAAGTAACAATTTTAATAATAATAAAAGAAAATAAATATATATTTATTACGTACCTTTTTTTTGAAAATTGTCTTTAATATTTAATTTTAATAAATCAATTTCTTTAAAAAATTAAATGAAAATATAAATAATCTAAAAATTTGTAATTTTTAGGTTAGAATATTTGAGTTAAATAAATTTTGTTAAAAATTATTAATTCGTTTTTTATGCAAACTAATAGAATATGTCAAATATATTTAAAAATAAATCTGTGAGGTATGGAATACCATTTCTTGTTTTTGTTATTGGTGCACCTTTTTTACTAAATGAATTTCAACAACTTCGGTAAGTTCCACTGATAGATTTTAATATTTATTTATTTTCTGCTACATAATATAAATATAATTATTATAGTATACAATCAAACGTTCAAATGAATTAAAAATTTATTTACTATTTTCTATTTAAAAAATGTATAGACCAAAAAATTGATTTCATTCGTTTGAACGTTTAGAATTTTAGGCATATGTATTATTTATAAATCTCTAATATTTATTTCAGTTTCCAATATAAACCTCTAATGGAATCAGATGTTGTACGTGAAGAAATAAAGAAACGAGGAATTAAAATGCGGAAACCAGGAGATATTACTTTAGAATCAGAATATGAAAAAATTAAAGACGTAAAATAAAATTTTACTATATATATATAGGATTTATTTTTCAAAATAATATACATTATTAATTTCTTTATCAATCTTTCATTTTAAAGAAATAAAAGAAATTTGCGATTAAAATTAAATATAATAATCATTTTTTCAGAATGATACGCGCATTTGGGAAATCAAAAGAATTCCTCGACCATGGGAAGAAGAGGAAAATGTTGATAAAAATTGAAGCGTGAGTTTTAGAAAATTAAATAATTAATTTCATATATAATATTTTTATTTAGAATATTTCAATACCCAATTCTTTTAAATAAATTTAATTTTTATACTAAACTTAAAAAAGTAATATATTTATTTTAATAAAAATTGTTAAACAAATTTATTTTTCTCGTTTTATGGTGCAAAAATTTTAGAAAATGATACTCAAATTTTTAATAGAAAGATCTTAAAAATTGATATATAGACCATTTTATCATAAAATTACTGTGATTTAATATTAAATACGTAAATTTTAATTGATGAAGAAGTGTTGATATGAATAGATACAGGAAAATCAATTTTTTATATATTTTATTTAATTGATACATTTAGATAATAAAATTTCTATCCTTCATTCCAATATCGCTTTCAAAGTCAAAAAGTAAGAGAAGGAGAAAGATAGTAACTGTAACGAAAAAAATTGATATAATATATATATTATTTTTCCAATAGAATTTTTATCAAAAGGGCGATATACAAAAAAAAATATATAATTTTTTTTATATTTAAAAATTCTATTAATTCGGGATTAATAACTATTTTAATGTCTGAGTAGAGACAATGACATTCGGACAAATAGATTTTAATAAATTTTCTCCAACGTATCGAAATCAAAATGATTTCCTCTTCAGGGAATCTATTAATATAAAAAAATAATTACAAACTTTAAAGATATAAATAAAAATAATAAAAATGCGAAAATTTTGACAAAAGTAAGAAATTAAACAAAAATACAAAAAAATAAAAACTAAAGCACATTTGTTTTTTAAATAATTAGTTCTAATAGGTTGTAATTATTATTTGAAAAGGAAATCATTTTATTTTCGAAACATTGGAGAAATGATTAAAATCTATTTGTCCGAATGTCATGGTTTTTATTATTAATCTATTTTAATTTTTGTATAAATACGAATTTGTAGATATATATTTAATGGATATTTTAAGTAAATATTTTTTTTTTTTTTTTTTTTAGAAAACTACTTACTTTTGCGTAATAATTTAAAGATAATTGTGGCATAAAACCAGAAACATATATGTATTTGTTATTTTGGCATCTTTGAATTATTATACATATAGACATTCCCATTTCTCGTGATTTTCCTTTCCAAGGCAAGGAATATATTAAATTATCATTCTGAAATGAAAATAATTAAGATTTATGTTACCAGTGATAAAAATAATTATTATTGAATTTTAATTACTATTATTGTAAATATTCAATTGCAAAAAATTCGATTATTTTAAATTTTAATATTGTAGAATTTATAATTCAATTATTTTTATAAATTTTTATTTAGCAAAGTCAAAAAATATAATTACTACCTATTATTTCATTTAATTTATTTTAAAAACAACTTAAATATTTCATCATAAAATTTTCTCTTACACAAATATATTTTACATTTTTCAACTTAATTAAACCAATTGAAATTAACTTTTTATATTAAAGTTTAACCACTATTGCTGGCACTTTATAATAAAAATTTTACAAAATAATTTTTTTTTATTTAAATAGGGTTAAGGGTAATTTTTACAATTAGATGTGGTTTTTTTTTTAATTGTTACCTCTGCTGCTAAAATTTCAGCACAGCGAGCAGTGTAGTAAACTCTGTAATTTATATGAGCAATAAATGTTACAAATTGAAATACCATAAATGGAGCAACATTGTTTTTTGCCTAAAAGTAAAAATATAATATATAACAATTATAATATTAAATATATAGAGATTATACCTTTTTATATTTGAAAAAATTTTACTTACATAAACAAATTGAAGAGAACCAAGAGTCAGATAAATTGAAGTAGCAAAAACTGCTTTAAGTGTCATAAAACGTATTGTACTGTTAATTTGCTTAATATATCTAAAAAAAAGAAATGATTAAAAAGTAATATTAAATTATAAATTTGAAATCTATTTATTCTATATAAATAATTTGTAATTTCGAATACATTAAATAAAATTTAAATTGCAGTTACAATTATTGTTCAATATAAATTACATAAAAACTTACAATAAAATTTGTTGATGTTGTTGAATGCATTTTTTAAGTTGATTATTATTATTAACTTTTGCAAAACTATCAGCGAGAACTTTTAATTTTACTGTAGCATTATTTATTAACAAAAAAATAATTCCATCTGCTACGGTTAATAATCCAATTTGTGTAATAAACATCATTTGTTGAAATGTCACTAAATACTTTTTATAAAATTGATCAATAAAAAAAGGAAACCAAACTTCTTCTGGTAAAACAAGTATTCGTTTAAATGAACGTAAATATATATAACAAATAATTGATAACACAAAAATTGTCCAATGTATAAACTGTGTTAAGGAAGATGATTCCATTTGCTTTAATAAATATTCTTCCTTACTATTTACATTTTTCACTGTATTGTCAAGATCAATAATAAGTTTCTGTGAAAAATAATCATTTTTTTTTCGTAAAACAAAATTTCTATATTTTTTTGAAATTAAATTAAAAACATTCAAAGTTATATATATATAAAAATGGACATTGAGTTTAAACAAACGAATTTAGATATAATTTCAAAATATCAATATAAAATAGGGGGGAAAAAGGAGTTTTATTTTATATTTGAAAAATAATACCTGAAACTCGATTTGGTTAATTCTAAAATAGATTGTCGTGTATATTTTTTCACATATTATCAATAATTCCACTATTACGCTTAAAGTTGTTATTAATGAAGAAGTACTGCCATGGGAAATGTATAAACCAATTGAAATTTCAAATAAGAGAAAAATATCATTGATGAGAAATATCCACCAATTTATTTCGAGAAGGATTTTCTTGAATGAATTCACTTTTTTTTTTAAAGGCCACATTAAATAAAGTTCACCAAAAAATTTTACAACTCGATAAGATAGTATATAATTATTTAGTCTCTTTGAGTTTTTCAATTTTAGGGTCATATTTGAAATTTTTAAAAACAAATATATTTTAAATTTAAAACAAAAGAACTTTTTGATTGTTCACGACTCTTGAATTTCGGATTTCTAAATAATAACTGTTTAAGAAAAAAAGTCAAATTTACTTTACCAAGGAAGTAATTATTTATAATTTACATATATACAATAAGTGAAATGAGATAATAATTATAGATGCGTACCCTCTTATTAATTACTACTTAACTATTTATTACATAGGGGTCATTTAAAAGAAAAAGATAATTACTAATTTAAATAAATTTTTATATAATTATATAAGGCAATCGAAATTTTTAAATTTAGTTCATATAAAATATTTAAGAAATTTAGTTAGTGATTATGAAATTAATAAATAATCACATAGTTATTTCTGCTCTGCCTTTGATATTTAGAATCCAATTTTCAATTCTAATATTGCTCTTACTGTTACGAAGTATGAAAAGGTGAAGGAAAGAAACTGTAATTAAAATTATTTAATAATATTAGAAAATCGATGAATAAAATTTTCACTTATTTAGATTTAGTAAATGTAATATTCTTATAATTGATATAAAGTAAAGCATTCACTTATTGGAATTATGAAAAATAAATTTTTTCCTCATTAAGATTACTAAATTAAAATTTTTTGAAAAAAAATAACATAAAATTATAATATTTACTCACTGCTGCATAATATTTTAAGGAAAATTGAGGCATAATACCGGAAACAGATATATATGGAGGTTTTTGACATCTTTGGATAATTATACATATTATTGATGCCATTTCTTTTGAATTTACAATCCAGGGTAAAGAAAATTTTAAATTTTCACTCTGCAACAAGGAAACATTAAAATAAATGTTTTAAAATAAAAGAAAAGTAAACAAAGAGAATTTTCTTTCTTACCCTCGTTGATATTGTGTCAGCACATCGAGCAGTATAGTAAACTCTGTAAATAACTATTGCAACTACTCCAATAAATTGACATATCAATGGAAGATTAACTGCCTCTTTTATCTAAAAGATGAAATTTAAAATAAATTTTCTTTTAATATTAAATATGTAATAATGGTAAAAAGTACATTTTACTAACATGAACGAGTTGAAGTTGTCCAAGAATTATATAAAATAGCGTAGCAATAATCGTTTTAAAAATCATAAAACGTGTTAAGCTATTAATCTCATCAATGTATCTAAAAAAAATATCAAATTATTAAAATACCAAAAAAAAAAATTGAAACTCATTAACTAAAAATAAATTTCATTTATATAAAATATTAGTAAAAAAAAAAAAACTATTTTAATTTTTAATATACTATTTTTAGACTTACGATAAAATTTCTTGATGTTGTTGAATGCATTTATTTAATTGATACTTGTCATGAACTTTTTCAAAATTTTCAGCAAGAATTTGCAATTTTACCGAAGCTGTATTCATTGTCATGAAAAGTAAACCATCAGCAACATTTAATGCGCCAGTTTCAAAAATATATATCATCTGTTGAAGTAGTACTAATTTCTTTTTGTTATAGGGGTCAATGGAAAAAGGATGCCAAACTTCTTTTGGTAGAATAAGTGTTATGTCAAATAAATGTAAGTAAATGTACAGTAAAAACATTAAACAATAAATTATACAATGAATGATGTTTGTCAATATTGAAGATTCCATTTTTTTCAATAAAATTGCTTCTTTACTCTCCACGTTCTTTACTATTTTTTCAAGAACATTAATTAAAATCTGCAAAATTTATTTTCTTTAAAAATTAATTTAACCGGGTGATCATTGTTATAATATAATTTAATTTATTAGAAAAATTTTTTTTTTAAAAAACTTATAATAAACCTTAAATTGAGATCGACGAACTTTGAAGAGAATTGATGTGTACACTTTTTCGGTAATCACCATCAATTCTAAAATAATGCAAATTGTTGTTGAGAATGTTGAAACATATTTATAAAATTGACAAAGACCAATTAAAACACCGAGAAATAAAAGAATATCATTAATTAGAAATAACCACCATAATAATTCATAAAAAATGCGGTAAATTTTTTTTGTTTTCCTGTCAATTGGCCACATTATTAATATAATTCCGAAAATTTTTAACATTTGATAAGATAACAAAGATTTAGTTTTATTTGATTGAATTGTTTTCAATAATTTTGAGTTGGAATTTTGTTTTTCTTGAACGTCAGTCATTTCTAATTTTTACAATTTTTACTGTAAAATAGAATAAATTTTTGTTTGTTATAAGAAAATAAAGTTTCTCGAGAGTAAAATTATTTGACGAGGTAGTATTTGTGATGTTTAAACATTAACTTAAGAAAGGAAAATTTTGCGAATATCTGACAAATAATTAACTGCGAAATCAATTAAATTTAATTCAATGCGTAAGGGTAATTAAAGACAATTTATGTGATACATATTTTGTTCCTAATGAATGTTTGAAAATGTAATTTTTCATAAGGGAAAAATACCATTTGCATATTAATGATCCAATTATAATGGGAGCCAGAATAATATAGCACCCAATAATGGACCACTAATTACTTTTTACATTATTATTGTATCAAAAAAAATCTTCAATTTTATTAAACGATTTTACTGACACTTATAATCTTTAATTCTACTATAAATGAGTTTAATATAAAAATAGAAGAATGTGATTAAATATTTTATAATATTATTATAATTAAAATAAACTACTTTATTAGAAATACAATTTATTGAAAAAAGAGGACCACTAGATTGGGAGATTTTGTGCTCTGGAGTGAAACACAAAACTATCACTAAAAATAGAATCATATGTATTTTGACTCAAAAAATACGTTCAAATTTTTAAATAAGAACAATGTTTAGTAAAATTTTACCTTATTGTACAACGGGTAAATTTATTAAAGGTTTTGGAAGAGGATCTAAATCTCTAGGAATTCCAACAGGTAATTTATAAATCTTTTTAAATACAGTTTCGCATTATTTAAAACTTTATTATCCAAATTTTCATTCATAATAATAATGACTTTATAATTGTTAAACTTTTGTTATATGATGAAACTATTTATTTTACTTAAAATTAAATAAAATAAATTATTTCTTGGAGATTTAATTTTTTTAAATAGGTTTTTTCATTTAAATATTTTAGCAAATCTTCCAGAAGATGTTGTTGATGCATTGTCCAAAGAATTTGAAACTGTAATTTACTATGGATGGGCATTATTAGAAAAATCAATTTACAAAATGGTTATGATCATTGGCTGGAATCGCTTTTTACAAAAATGAAAAAAAATCCATGGTAATATTTTGTGGGATGTTTAAAAGAAACTTTTTTTTTTTTTTTTTTTAAATATTGTGTTAATGAAAAATTTTGATGACGATTTTTTGAAACGTCAATAACTCATTTATATTTTATAAGCAATATTGAAAATTAGGAGAAAATATTAAAGAAAAATATTTTTCTATACATTTAAGAAGAGAATTTGAAAGAATTGATTTTTTTTCTAGGAACTTCATTTGATTAATGATTTTTCAAGTGATTTTTATGACAAGAGTCTAAAAATTATTATCACAGGTTATATAAGGCCCGAAAAAGATTTCTCATCTATTGGTAAGAAAATAAATTTATTCCTTTAGCTGCATTCTGGACCATAGTAATTAACATATTTCATTATATGCATTAATTATATAATTGTTTTATACTTTTTATATTACTTATTAATAACAATAATTTTGTACTGCCATTGAAAATTATCAATTTTTGAATTTCTTTTTATAATTAAATGATATTTTTTATTATAATTATTCGACTTTTTTTTTTTTTTTTGTTGCAGATGACTTAATAAGTGAAATACAAAACGACATTAAAATCGCCCAAAAGAAGCTCGATGAACCAAAAATGTGGGAATATAAAAATCATTCTTTTTTTCAAGAATATTGCCATATAAAGTGACTTAAAATAAGAATTTTTAATCTATTAAGAAAAAAAATACATATTAGATGTATGTATATACAAGAAAACTACTTTCATATATAGAATGTAAAAAATTTTATATAAAAAATATAAAAATGAAAACAAAAAGTTAATAATTATCTTTTACATTCCTGGCGGAGAAGGATCCTGTGGAGGAGAAGGTGGAGGTGGTGGTGGTGGTGGAGGACTTAAAGTAATTGCATTTGCAACATTTGGTTGATGATTTTGTGAAGATTGTGGCACTTGATTCCTTGCGTTCCAAGATGTGGAATTTGAATATCGTTGTGAATGATGAAAGGGAGATGGAAATCCCATTTGAGGTCTAAAACCTGAATATATGGTTTGTGTTAGATTTTTTTTTTTGCTGAATTTAATAAGACGAAGTATAAATAAAGAAGAGAGGAATTTAAAATTAAAAAAAAAAATAGTTTAACGTTTCCTTACCTCTGTAATTTGAAGGAGGATAATACATTGGCCAAGCAGGATTCGGAAAAATTGGAAACGGAGGCCAAGGATTCTGTTGATATGGCGGCATAGATCCATACCAATTTTGCGAGTAAGAATCCTGAGAATTTGTAACTCTTTGTGCGCCAGTTGCAGTTTGCTGTTGTACATTTCTTTTCGTATTCCAAGGATGATGTGATTTCCAATCAGTTGAATTCTTTTTTCCACTAGAATTTTTTTGTCCAATTCGCTTCTTTTTCGTTGGTATTCCACTTTCAGAGACAGCTTTCTCGGTCTTTTGTTGTTTTCTCAGATTTTGATAGTACGCCTGCTCCTCCTCATCGTCAGAAAATTCAGGTGGCTCATCGTCGTCCGTTGGATCACAGGCTTTCATTCTATAGTTAAATATTTTCTATTTAATCATTTATTTTTTTTTTTAATTTGCAAAATTGTAGAATCTAAAATACAAATTCTAAAAATCATAACAAGAATATTCACATACTTGGTGAGTTCATGTAAGAAAACTACGGTAGTATATTCCGTATTGGGACAAAAGTAGACATTCATGCCGACTTGTATTTTATTTTCTTGAATATGTTTCGAGTTATTGAAACGAACACAATAATGGGGATCTGATACTTGACCAAAAACATCAAATACTCGACCCAAAACTCGACGACCTCGTTCTATGAAAAGAATTGATTCTAAATTCAAAGTTGGTTTACCTGGCTTTGGACGAACTACAACCATCTGATCGACGATCCACGCTACCTGTAAAATTAATATTTATAATTAAAAAACTTTTTTTTTTTGAGGAAGTAAACACTTTTAAAATAATAAATTTATTTATGAAAAATATTTAATTGTATATCTTTACCTCTCCAAGTGGATCACAAAGAACTTCAGGAACATTAATATTTAAATCTTCAATCGGTGGAAGATCATCAAATTCTCCTTTACTCTGTTTTCTAACGCGCTGCTTGCCTTTTCTGTTTTAATTTAAAACAATTTGTTATTATTATTTATGATTAAGTTTAGAAAAATTGAAAATTTAAATGAATAATTTATAGAAAAATAATTTAATTTTATATTTACCCTACTACTTTTTTGGTTTCATGTAAACTTTTTTCACTACTATCAGATAAACTCTCGCTTTTGCTACTGCTTTCAGAATCATCATCACTACTACTGCTACTACTAGAATCTTCCTCACTGTCAATTTCATCGCTGCTGCAAGTAATTTCCATGTGTGTTCGGTATTCTTTTAAAACTTCCACTTCTGGTTTTTCACTATTTAATTCATTTTTCGATATTTCCTTGTCAATTATTGATATTTCTGGTTTCTCGTGACTAATTATTTCCAATTCTGGTTTTTCATTGCTAATTATTTCTATATCTGGCTTTTTATAACTAATTATTTCCAATTCTTGCGTTTCATTGTTAATTGTTTCTATTTCTGGATTTTTATTATTGACTATTTCCACATGTTGCGTTTTATTGCTGATAATTTCAATTTCTGATATTCTATTATTGATTATAACTTCTTGCGTTTCATTGCTGATTTGCATTTCCATTTGTGAATTTTCAGATTCGTTAACTTCATCAATTTCCGAGTCTGAAGAATAATAATCCATTGCTATGGCACTTAAAGCACCTGCTTTTAGACTAATTCCTATAAATATAATTTTATTAGAAATTAATATTTAAATGGGTTGTTTAAGAAAAATAAATATATTTTAAATAATAATTTTCAATAAATGAAAAATTCATAAATTACCTTCATCTGAATTCATTTTGTTGATTTTTAGCTCGCAATTGCTACTTTGAGCAGTAAGAATTTTATTACTTTCTTTATCTTTGCTTATTAAATCAAAAGATTGTTTAGATTCAGAATGCTTTTCTTTTAAATTCGTTATAATGTCAATATCATTCTTCGCACGTTCTGAAATACTTTCATTATTTTCTCCTTCCGAATTTCCTACTTTCTCTGAATATTCTACATCCATTGTTAACAAATTATTGTCTATATTATACAACGTTTTTGTTATATTTTCAAAGTGAAAACTCTATAAATAATATTAAGTTCGTAAAATCTGAAAAGACATAATCAATGTTAAGAAAAAAGTTATTGTTTTTCTTAAAATTATATATTATTATATCAATATAATTTCATTTGAGATAAAATTTAAAAATAAAATCATACTGTATTAAATACACAAATATTTTCGACGTGCATGTGACCACGTGGATATACCAGATAGATAAAAGTAAACATAACCTTAAAATTACATTCATTTTAATGATTTTAATTTTGTTTAAGATAGGGAATTTGCATTAAAAATAAATACGGTTTTTTTATATATAAAACGAAAGTTAATGCGATTTCAAAAGTATTAAAAAATTTTTTTTACAATTTTCATGCATAAATAACATTAAAAAATTAATTTAAACTTTAACATTATTTGAAATTTTCTCAACTGAGAGCAAACGATTTTAATTGGCTCTCAGATTGGTGACGTCACGGGCATAAATGCAGAAGTGTATGCTGTGTATATTCATACGTGATATTTTTGTAATCGGCTCGCAATAATTATTGAATACATTGTTTTGATTAAAAATGGTAAATAAATTAGATCCCGGTTTTGAAAAAGCTGATACCACTAATTTGCCAAAAATAAATGTGTTTATGGTATATGAATATATTACAAATAATGAGCGATATAATGCACCTGAGGTTCGTGGAGTGAAAGCAACATTGTAAGTAAATATAAATGTTTGTACTAATAAAATTATTTAATTAAATAATTAATAATTAACAACTTATATATAGTTGATTACTATTTATGTTTATATTATTGTAGATCTTCAAGAGAGAATTACGGAGACTCTGCAATAGGTTATGTTTGCGTAAAACGTGTAGGGTCAATATGCACATTGAAAGGCAGAATTTGTCCTGAACACCGAGTAAGAAGTAAAAATTACACTGTAACGTTAACTGTAGATGAAGTTAACGAACAAGTTAAAAAAGTAGAATGTCTTGATTGCGCTGCGTCATTGGGTGGATGTAAACACGGAATTGCTTTTTTAATGTGGGCAAACAGAAGATATGAATCGCCATCTCCAACAGAAGTGGAATGTTACTGGAGGAAATCAGCCTTAGCCAAAGTCGGAGATACACACAAATTTGTTTTGACTAGTGAATTGAAAAAAAAATCGAACGATTCAGTTGAAGATTTCGGTGATAATTCGACGTTTTTAAACAAAGTAATTGAACAAGCTGCAGCCAAACAGTTAGATAGCCAATTATCAAGACATGCATTTGATTTAGAAGAGAGAAAAGTTCATGCCTTGTCCATACATCAACTTATATTTAATTTCATACAATCCGATGAAAAAATTTCAGTTGATAATTTTTTAAATTTTTCAATGCAAAAATTCTCGCAAGATTTATGTCTTCAGGCTGAACAACAAACTAGGAGTCAATCAAATGATATTCTGTGGCACGAACTGAGATTCGGAAGGGTTACTGCATCTAATGTTTTTGAAGCTAGTCGATGTCGCACACCAAATGGTAGTTTAGTAAATCGAATCATAGGGGCAGCAAAAGTTTATAACAGTGTTGATATGCAACGCGGCAAAAACTTGGAAGAAGAAGTCATAAGTGAGATTGAGAAAATATTAAAACTATCAATAAATAAGTGCGGTATGTTTCTAATTCCATCATTACCTATGATAGGTGCTTCACCAGACGGAATAAGTTCAGAATTTGTGTTGGAAGTTAAATGTCCAAGCTCTGAAAAAACTGTAGAAAATTATTTAAAAAATGGTCAACTCAGTCAAAAGTGCAAAGCTCAAATTAATTTACAAATGATGGCTACTGACAAGAAGAAAGGACTTTTTTGTGTTGCAGATCCGAATTTTGAAAGAAATAAAAAATTTCAATTTGTGTGGGTGAAATATGATCAAAATTTCACTAGTCAAATAGTAAAAGATTCTGTGGATTTCTGGGAAAAAAATATTTTTCCTGTTTTATTAAACTCGATAAAAAGATGAAAATGTATAATAATTATTATCTTTTTAAAATAAGATTTATTTTATTTGGGACTATTAATAAATAAATGAGTATTTTCTGATAAATATATTATTTTATTATTTTCCATCGATAGAATTTTAAATACAATATTTAATAAGTAAAAAATTTATAAATATATTAATCATAAATAATAAACAAATACTTATTATATTTTATTACTACTGTTTGATTTGTACATGAACTTCATTTGTTAGCAAACATTTATTTTCTTATTATAGGTTTTTGTAAATTAATCAAACCTCCAACAATAGTTACAATACTATCTAACTTCACCACTGTATTTAGATCAAGGCAAGAATGAGGTTTTAATATTTCAAATTCTCGAACCCTTCGAATGACTCTTTCGATATGAATCCTTATACTTGCAATGCTTTTTGTTTTTAAAACTTCTGCTTTTGTCGATTTTGAAGTAGTCGAAACTGACGGCGGACGAAGTAATTTACATTTTCGTTTGTTTAAAACTGACTGAATGTGTTTGAAACCTCGATCAGCTAAAACTCCACATCCAGCAGGGAGAATATTTATTAATTTGCTCTCTTCAAATAACAAGGTGTCGCTTATCCTTCCTCCGTACCCTTTAGATGTAAAAGTAATAAATCCATCCGGAGAGCATACTATCAAATACTTCATTGTGTTGCATTTCTTATAATCTGACCACGTTAGCGCCTGATGAACTGGATTTGAAGGTTTTTCAATCTCTATTTCAAAAGCATCAATAATAGCACATGCATTACTGTAATTAGCTCGAAATGCAATAGGTAAATTTTTTTTTATACTTTTTTCATCAGGAAAGTATACAAGCGTTTTTAAATAGTGAGCTAATCGATCTACATTTTTATCAAAAATTCGGCTTGCCTGCGAAGTTGAGATACCATACTGATCACCCAGTCGACTAAAAGTGTCATCAGTTTTAATTTTTTGCAAAGTGAGTTTAATATTATTAACGCTGCAATTTGTAGAAGAACTCAACATAGGTAAAATCCACAACCATTCCTGATTAATACCAACATATTTTTTTGGATCTACACTTATTAAATATAGGGTGATATCAAGAATTGATTTTTTCATTGCTTTTTGTTTTTCATTTTTTTCCTCACTGCAAGTTGAAGATTTTTTATACTCGCTGGATATTGACGTATATTTATATTCGCTGGTAACGTTAGACGAAGACACAATTGCACTTGAATCGGAATTAAGCAAAGTAGATTTTACAGACTCTTTTCCACAAAAATTGATCGGTGAACACATTTTATCAACCATTTCTACTTTAGTTTCACAAGATGCATCACGGGTGTCAGGCTTGCATGTAGTGTGCTTACTTCGAACATGAGGATTTGTAAAACTTTTCCGCACTTGTGTACCAACAGATTTTTTACTATTTTGATCGCAGTTTTCTGTAGGTAGTAAATTTACAGAGGATTCGTTTTCTTTTTCCATAAAAAAGCCTGGTTGTAAGGCATCCTGTGTTACAGAGGACAAATTGTTTGACAGTGGGACGTCAAGGGGACTTTCAATTTTACTTAACTCTGCTATATTTGTTAAATTAGTTAAAGCCTCTTTTTCAATAACATCACAAATTTTCCTATTTTTTGACGCTGGTTGATCGTTTTGTTTTGATGTGAAATTTTCTTGATTTTCAGTTTCCGATAAAATGTCTTGAATTTCTCTCTTTCTATTCAATTTTATAAAAGCTGGTCGTGATTCTTCATTTATTTTACACCTATTAGGCTGACAAGCAAATTTGTGAGGAATCGCATCTTTTTTCAATTTTTTTGGTCCTCCCATAAGACAATATCTAATATAATTGTCCATGTCATCCTTTATCTGCATTAAAAAAAACAAATCAAATTTGAGGTTATGTTATTCACATTGGTATATATGATAAATGTAGTATGACATTTGTTTATATTTTATTTTTTTTAATACTATTGTAAATAATTAATTAAAAACTGATTGTAATATACTACTTACATTAAAATGATCGTCGCAACAGTAATAAGTGTACTTATCCTTTGGAACATCTTTTCGACGAGCAAATTGAAACCACTTTAACCTCATTTTTTCGTCCTTTGGAACACAAAAAAATATTTTATTTGGTGTTTTGACATTGGTGCTTCCACATAATGGCACAAAACATGACTGGAATGTTTTATTCTCGCTCATTTTTATAAATAATAATTAATTAATACTATTTACTACCATCATACATTAAAACATTACTGTAAATTCGTGCCCGTGACGTCACGCAGAGTTCGGGTAGACTCGGCTCTTTCCGGAGCGTTTTCGTTATTTAAAAATTATGTAAATTGTTTTTATTTAATTTTGCGCTTATTTGTCACTAAAAAATTATGGGAAAAAAATTTTGTTATATAAATCTGACCTAATCTATCGATTTAAATTTAAAAAAAAATTGATGCAAATTCCCTATTATTTTACTTGCTTAAAAATAATTGTAAATTAAAAATAGCATTACTGAATAATTATATTACGCGAAAATCATTAATTTTTTTAAAAATAAATACAGTGCATTCGTTATAAAAATATATCAATGAAAAAACGACAATTAGATATAAAGGGTTACAACTTAAGTTAATTTACTTGTATTTCCAGATTATTTTGGTTGTCCATTTCCAGATTCTTTAATGTATTGTCAAATGTTAAACAACTTCTTCGAATATTATAGCTGATATCCAAAAAAATCTCAAAAATTTGTCTCTTCTTTTTCTGCAAAAATAACGCATGAACAACACTGATACATAACCTCACAAATATTTAATGCACGATAATTGCGGCAACACTGACACAACAATAAAATAATTATTTTATTTACTACAATATTACTAATTGTTTAATTCATCTTAATTTATATACATTTTATTTGATTTAAAATAATAATAACAAATGCAAAATGAACGAAAGCAAGCACCACGATATATATCGAATCGTTAATATCAATTGAATTCAAATTCAAAAATTTTCCCTCTAATTTTGTTTGAAAAAATACATTAAAAAAAAAATAAATAAATAAACATATAAAAGTAAAATAGTACAAAAATATAAACAAAAGTAAACACAATATTGATAATTTGGTTGTAAAAATAATGTGCAAAATAATTTTATTATTACAATTTTTATAAAAATAATATATACAAATAGATAATAATTTAACTTCCATTTACAATTATACGTATCGAACAATTTATAATAATAATAATTGATTATTCAAACAATAGTCGTGTTAAATTAAAAATGATATCAATTACCTATAAATATTATTACAAATTTTTTTTGACGCGGAAAATAATGCAAAAAAACAAAAATTTTGTTTTTTTAGCAACATTTAACAAATTCAATTGAAAAAAGTTTCTCTGGATAAATGTGTTTAAACGTTTAACACACAGTAAAGAGACATTTTTTTTCGCTTGAGTATATCGTCGTTTTATTGATATTTACAGGTACATAACGGCACAAATAGACGTTAGTAACATGAGAGAACGAAAAACTTATAAGTTTTTTTTTTTTATTTTTATATTCTTGAGTCGTTTGATGAAAATCCAACGAGGCGTGTGTGTTTATGTGTAAGTAATGAAGATCTTCTCATGTCAAAAATACTTAAAGTTTCATGACAATTGAAACATAATATGTTAAAAGGAAAAACTATTTAAAACGTAGCGACATAAGTTTAGAAAACAAACTTTTACTTTTTCAAATCTCTTTCTTCAGATTTTACACATTTTTTTTACAACAATTACTGATAAATAGAGATTCGAAAAAATAAAATCACCGAACAATTTTTTTTTCATTTTTTTTTTTTTTTAAGGGTAGGTCAAAGTTGCATTAACTTTGATCTGCCCTTAACGTACAATTATTACGTTATGTTCGTAAATATATTTTAAATACATTTTTCATGGACTAACAATGATAATAATTTAATGAGGATTTTTAATTACATGAAAAAACTAATTAAATAGCTGCAAATAATGACCAGTCTCTTATCGCATCAACAAAAGAGATTTTTTATTTATTTGATAAAGTCAAAAATCTTCACCAAATTGGTCATTTTAAAATAATATTTATTTTCATATTTACGAAAATTTTCATTCTGCTTCACTATGAGCAATATATATTTTTTTATTTTGTTTTGAAAAGATTCTTAGCCGTAAATTAAAAACAATTAAAAATTGTTAAAATACATATTTAATAATTAATAAATTTTTTTTCATTTTCTTTTTTTTTGGTTTTTTTTTATATATATATTTTTAAATCTCAGACGCACACAAAAATTCAAGTCTTCACAACCATTGCACCAAAAATCGATTTACTAATAAATCGTGATTCTTATATTTTCTACTTTTAAATATATATCCATAAAAACATAGAAACATTTAGTCTTCCCTTAATTAATATATATTTTAATTTTTCTTTTACCAAATATATGTAACGAAAAAAAAAATTAAAATATTTCACAAGAGAAGTATCGTTAAGTGGCTAAGGATCTTCCAAATCAATTTTACAATAAGTACAACTAATTACAAATAGATTCAATAAAAATTTTCATTTCAAATATTTAAACAATATTTTTGTTTCACAAATAGAAATTTAAAATTCTATTCTTAACGAGAGTTTTGTTTTCACTTCAATAAGTAACAAATTTTACACATTTAAAACAGAACTTTCATTTTTTAAAACTTTTGCATTTAGGGCAAAAGGTTTTTTGTTTTTATTGTTTTCATTGTTTTTGTTATCTGAAATGAAAATTCTTATCGAAAATAATGTTTCACGTGATATTTCTTTTATCGAGAAATAAGATTGACGTATAGGCTGACAATTTCACATACATGGTTTCTTTTTTTGAATTCAAAAAACGATAATTTAAAAAAAATATTAAAATCTTTTGACAATCTTTAAATGCGCACAAAATATTATTAAGTCATGATATTAAAAAATTTTTAAGAATCTCTTTTCGTCCTCGTGGATTCTCTAAAATCGGTTCAAGTTTTATTTATTTATTTTTTTTTTTAATTATTTTTTTTTTCTGAAAGTGTGTTAATTAACACGAGTGTGTAATGCGCGTGTCTACACAATTAATAATAATAATAATAATTAATTAATTAATAATTACAATATTTTCTATTATATTTCTCGTTTAATCCTCACGTGTACGTGTCACATCGTGTCGTAGTCATATCCATTTGGTTTATTTTGGCATACAAAATAATTTTATTTACAGTCTGAGAATAATGTTTTCAATGATATTATCGTTATTATACTAAATTTAGCAATAGTATAATTCGATTGATCGCGGAACAATGACGACCTGCAATAAGAATAATAATAATAATATTAGTATTATTATTAATATATTATTAATAATAATAATAATATTAGTGATAATAATATTAACAATAATATTATTTATAATAATAATAATAATAATAATAATTATAATATTATTTATGATAATAATAATAATAATAGAAATAATAATAATAAGGGAGGGACTATTTTACAAAGTGAAACGTCGATTAATAAATATCTCTCAGATAAGGGAACTCAATTAAACATTCCCTTTCCGAATTATTCTTATTACATTTTTTTTTCTCATTTTGCCCTATTTTCGTTTCTACGAAAGAAAACTCGTACTTTGTGTCGACGAGGAAAAATCTCGAGTGAAATTCTCTCTATATACGATTCTTGAAATTTTACACATTTTTTTGAAAAAAAAAATTTTCCACAATAAATGCATTTTAAAACAAAAAAAAAAAAATTTTTTTTCTTTTTTTCTCTCTCCTTATATCTCTATGTGAAAAACAAAAGAGAAATTCGGCGATAGTCTGCAATTATATAAACGTAGAATAATTCTAGTCAGTCTTAAAAAACAAAGAAAGACTCAAATTTTTCTCTTATTTGAAAGAAAAAAAAAATTGTAATTTTCAAAACATTTCCATTATTATTTTAATACAAATGTATCAAGAGAAAAAAACGAGTCTAATTTGTATAGAAACCCAGTTATTTTAAGTTCAAGCTCACTTTTTTCATCGTTTCAACAAAAAAGAAAAAATTCTTTTTTTTTTTTAATTGAAATCTTTTTTAAGCTTTTGGAAAAATGAAAATATTTAAATATATACATATATATATATTTTTTATTTAAAATACTTAAATATTTATTTAAATATTTTTTTTGAATAGTATATATATATATAATATATATTTAAATATTATAAGATTACATATTATTTACTTTAAACATGAATTTTTTTTTTTTTTTTTTGATATTTTTCGTTATCAATTCAGATTGAACGAAGAATGCCAGGTTTATTATTATTATTATTTTTTTTTTTTTGAAGATTTATTTCAAAATTGCACAACTTTGCAAATTTGATGTCTTCATTTGTTTTCTAATCTATTGATACATACTTGGCCTTTAAAAAGTACAGTTGTATGCTCTAAAAAAAAAAGCAGAATCGCAAAGAGAGGAGATGTTAAGAATGTATATAAGAATCGGAGAGAATTTACCTCATCGCGCGTACAATAATTATATCTACTTTGACCTGAGTTTTATGTTACACCCTTTTTCTCGCTTCTAACAATTTATCTTTTCTCATAGATATAGACAATCTATCCGAGAGAGAATATAACGCTTAATTTAATTTACGTTAACATTTAGATTAACGTATAAATATATCGCCGATTTACTGTCTTGCTTCTTTTAGATTCAGTCCCAATAACTTGGAAAAATGAGAAAAGAATCTTTACAGAGATAGAGAAAGCAAAATCGAAAACAAAATGACAATAACATTTTTCAAGAATTTTCTTTTTTTTTCAATAAAATAAAAAGGAAGAGACAAACTAATTAAACGTAAAATTTTTGAAATTAATAAACAAGAAGATTAATTATTGGAAATTCCGGAAATTCATTGCTGTCATTTTTCACGATATTCACACACGTTTTTTTTTGTTTTTATTTATTTTTTTTTTTTAAGTCGGAGCATGTGAGAGAAAAGGGAAGGAAATATTTTCTAAGAGACAAAACGTGTCTTAATTACGACATACCTTTAGCTTTTTGTCTCGGGCATAAGTTAACGGCGAATTTCTTTGTACAATTTTTTTTTTCTTTGTTTTTTCAAATCATTCTCTATAATTGAGAAAGAATTGATAATTTTTTTTTTTCTATTAACCTATCTAGGATTTCCACTACGACGACTGTTGTGATAACTTATGTGAACTCTTGTGATGACTCGACGAGTGCTTCTCCTGTAACAAAACAATTAATTTAATGATTTTCGCTTGTTAATTTTTCACAAATTGCTAACAGATTAAATTAAAATCAACTATAGATAATAAAAAAAAATTACATTTGACAAAAATAAAAAGAATACATTTTTAGAAAAAAATAATTTTTGTTGTACTTAATTAGTAATTAATTAATTATAAATAAATAAATACAAACTATTTAAAATTAATTTAAAAATTAAATAATAAAAATTATTAAGAATTAAATAGTAATTAATCAGCTTTAATAAAAATTAACTAAGATTGTGAATAATAATTCATAAAACTGTGGCAAAAGAAAATTATTTAAATTTGAAAATTCTTTTGAAACCGGAAGATTTGAAAATTACCATCAGAGTAATAAATCGACATTATAATACGAAACTAATTTAAAAAAAAAAAACACCAAATCAATTAAAAAAAAAACAATAAAAAAATCTATTACAATAAAAAGTAAAATAGAATATTTATAAAAATTGGAAGAATTCACCTCAAACCTTTCAAACTAATCCACAAATGTCAAACATATGGAACGTTTAATGACACAAATAGAATATAAAATAACAGTGGAAATTTTATCACAAAATATGATTTAATATGGAGGAATCGATAAAACATGTTTAATAGATGAATTGACAATTATTAAACTCTAATTTATATAGAAGATAATGAATTTCTTTCGGATGATAACGTAAATACGAAATACAATTTTTCCTAGAGCGACACCTGCCGTATCTTTCACTTTGAAAGGTGAGAGGGATAAGGAGCACAAACACGAAAGAGAATAATTTAAATCAACTGTACATTTAATCAATAATATGATAAACGATTAATTTCTATTCTTTGATAATTATTATAACATATGTATAAAAATTAGTAAAAATATTACAATTGAAATTAATTTGTCAAAATATATAAACATTACTTTAATTAATTAATTTTAATCCTTTAAATTTTTCATTTTTTTTATAAAAAAAAATATCTTTAAAAAATGAAATATTTTTTTAATTATTAAAAAAGGCAATTATTAATTATTGTGTATTATATTTAAAAAAAAATGAAAATATTATTCCAGAAATAGGTTCAATAAGTGTAACGAATGAATTGTAATGATGTGGAAGATAAGCTGTGCTTTAAAAAAAAAAAACTTAAATTAACTCTATACGAATAACAAGCTAATGAAATCATAAAGCATGCATATAGTGAAATATTTTTTAACTAATTTTTACAAGCCTGTAAAAAATATAAAGAAATTCATGCAACATGCGTGATTCAATTGATTTTTCAAATCATAAATCCTTCACCTAAAGCCCCATTTTCACTTATTTTTTTTATTATTATGTTTTATGAGTGGACAACTTTTATTTATGACAATTAATGGATTTTCGCAGGATCTCTGAACGATGTTAGTACAATAATAATAAAGCGGCGATAATATATTTATATGTGCGAAATGAATTAAGAAAAGACAAAATAATTACTAAGGTATATTCGTTTCCATAGAACGTTTATTTTTCTTGATTTCGATTTTATGTCGCCCACGATTCCTGCTTTCCTTTTCCTTTTCTTTTTTTTTTTCTTGTTTTTCTGTAAGGCTTATAAGATAATCAAAAAATAATAATTTACTTTCTTTTTGTGTTTGTTTTTCATAAAAATGATTTTTTCTCAGTTTATGTAAGTTTTGTATATTCGACTAGCTTCAGGGGAAAAAATCATTACGAATGATTTAAAAAAAAAAAGTACATACCTATTTTTTGGGGTTTAAACCCCACAAATAAGTCGAAATTTTTTAAATGAAAAAAAATCTAAAGCCCCCAGATATATTTTTGAGCTATTTAAAATAAAAAAAAAATAAAAAAAAAAAAAAACAGGAACCGAAAGCGACTGGTAAAAATACATTTGATACACAAAGTCGAAGCAACATTCGCGTTACAATTCGTATACGAGTCCTTTTTTTCTTCAATGTTTCTTAAAAAATTAGCTGTAAGCTTTCAGAAAAAACATTCAATCGTTACATAATAAATCAACACACTTTTCATCGACAAAAATTTTTTTTTTTTTTTTTTTTTTTTAGGAAAAAATCAAATTCCCGCAGCTCCGGTTTCTTTACCTTAGCAATTACCTTGTCACTATTATCGCTACAAAAAAAAATAAAATAAAATAAAAAAATAACACTGTTCAGAGCAAAGAAGCTCGCGGAAAATATCATCCGATTTCATAAAAATTCACTGGAATATTTCAGTCATCAATAAAAAAGGAAACGTCAAAATAAATATAAAAAATAAACTAACTATTAGTAAATAATTCTCTTTTTTTCACTAATATTTGAAAATGGATCAAATTCATTTTTCGAGATTCGTTTTCAAATATTCTAAAATTTAACAATTATAATAAGGCAATATGTATATATAATAAAATTAATTAACAATCTATAGAAAATAACTTAGGACTTTCTGCGAACTTTGCTCCATAGTTAACAGAATAAATATCTCTCAATATAATATATATATATATATATATAAATCTATATATATATAGGAACAAAATATTTTCATCCGGTGCTGTGAAAATCTGTTTAAAATAAAAATTAAAAATGGAAACATTTTTTTATCAACCCATATATAGGATTATTTAAATTATTTATTATTTTACAATTTTTTTAAACTTCTTTTTCTTTTACCTATATATATATTTTTTTTTTTTCACGTTTTTAAATATAGATTTATTATAATTAAATTAAAAGGATAATTTCATTTAAAAACTACTAATATTTAAAATGGTTTGTTAATTATAAAATTTAATTCAAGTTCATTATTTTAAATGTAAATTTTAACAGCTTCGGGTATATATAGAACCATTGATTTTTTTGAAACCTGTGTTTTTAAACTCTACGGTTCCTATTTCACAAGACTTAATTATTGAATCGTATAAGTACAACTGGCAAAATTCTTAATAAAAAAATAAAAAAAAAAATTATTTGAGAGAGAATGCCGCAAATATTTCAAAAATAGTAATATGTAATAAAATTAGTAAAATAACCGTAAAATTAATAAACGAAGTGTTAATAATGTTCGACAAGTGATATTTTTACAACAATATTGACGATGACGATGCAAAATTATTATTTTTTTAATCGTGTATACATTTAATTTATTTATATATATATATATTTTTTTTTGTATAATGGCAAACACTAACACAACATATAAACTTTCTCTTCTTTATTATTTATATATAACTATATTATTAATTATCAATGACACGTCATATTAATTTTAATACACTGTCTCTATTTTATTCCTGAGTAATATTTATTGAATATAGAAAGTGAATGTTTGAATATTTTTAAAAGACTTAATTTTTCTCAAATAAATATTCGCGAAATGGAATGTATAATTATTCTATATATACACATCTCAGGAAAAAATTATCATTTCAGTTTAACAACTGAATTTCATTTAATTTCCACGAGAATGACAAATGGAAAAAAATTGACTATTTGAAAAAAAAAGTATTAATCTATATCTTAAATTATTATTGCCTTGTACAAAAAAATTGTTTTCTCTAATTAAAGTAATATTTACATATTAATACCTAAGTAAAAAAAAAAAAAAAAATTATTCTCCCTCTGTGTTTTTGACATTCAAGTCTGACAACAAGAAGTGAAAACAAAAATGCAATTCTTTTTTTTTTTTTTTTTAAATCATAACGATTCAGACTTTTCTTTTCTAACCATTTCTTATTTTTTCATATATATATATATAAATTCCTACAATATTGGTTCTAAATTTTAAAAAATTCACTACTTATCATTCACTAAAATTATATAATAAAAAATTAACAAATTGTTTAAATCTATATTAGCGAAAAATTGTCTGCACTTAAAATTTTATAAATTAAAAATTGCAAACATAAAAAATATAATCACGAAAAAAAATCTAATATTTCTATTTCATTTTTACATGAAAGAAAGAAAATATTATATTATTATCTAAATATAAAGCTTACAGCTATTAATATAAAATACTATTTTCTTTTTTTTTCTTTTTTTAAAGCTTTCTAGTTTTGCCCATTTTTTTTTGTCATGTATTTCTATATAAAGAGATCCAGAATTTTTCGTATCTGATTTTTTTTTATGCATTCATCGTCCTTAAAAAAGTTGACTTGTCCTCTTGATAAACATTATAGAATATATATCATATAGAATCAAAACAATATCATGCTAATAACAAAATTCTACCATAATCTAAAAAAAAAGAAAATCAGAAAAAGAGGAGTCGAAAAATCGAGAAAAAAAATATTATAAAATCTCAACATAATAAACTATCCATCTGTAATGTAATAATTTTTATAAATTAACATATTCCATTTTTATGAAACAAACTTTTTCTCAAGTTTGTTTTAAATAACCAAGCATTTGCTATAATTAAAAATTCAGGGTAAATGAGAAAATTTTAGTGAAAAATGATTTTTTTTTTGTCCAATGTGCACGATAAACTATATAATAAAATACATAAGATAAAAATGACGATAAAAACGATTAGTTACCCCCATATATAGCTTTTGTGTTTTGCTTATCGTGTAATTAGATAAAAAAAAAACATCGTGTACAAATTGAGCAGAGTCGTCAATTCTGAACTAATTAAATTAGTTCACTCTAATAAATTAAGAAATTGACATATTCCGTACTTGACACAAAATGTACTATTATTAAAAATGCTTTTTTGAGAATATTAGAATATAGAAAGCGTTAAAACGTTATTAGAATATTAATATTTCAAGCAGTTGCAGAAACATTTCGTATTTTTCAAAATTCCTTTAAAAATCTATAAAAACAAAGTTGATTCAATAAAAAATAATAAACAAACTAATTTTAAAAATTAGAATTTAAATCTACATTTAATGTAATCTAATTAAAACTTTTAACTAAATTTTGATTATTATTATTATTATTTAAAAATATTAATTAAATAATATATACGAAGCTGAAGTACGCAACGTTTATATAAACGATTTTTAAAGAAATAATTTTTTAAAATGAAAAATTCAATAATTTTTTTCCTAAAAAATATTTCTTGTAGTTTTCATTAATCAACAAATTATAAAAAATATTTTTTAGGCAAAAAATTATAGAATTTTTCATTTTAAAAAATTATCACTTTAAAAATCGTTTATATAAACGTTGCGCACTTCAGTTTCGTTAATATATAACATAAATATTATCTATACTTAATTATATCAATTAAATTTTGCTAAGAATTTCAAATAATTTTTTTTAAACTAAAAGTATAATATCAAAAATAGGTTACAAATTCAAATTTAATATCTTGAGTTTAAAAAAAAAATTTTTTTGAAAAAGGACGAAAGTTTCTGGAAATTTTTATATATAATTAAAAGTTATAATGCATCACATTTTTAATAACAAATCAAGCAAATGCTTTGTTATTGTAAGACTGTTTGGTAAAACAAAAAATTGAAAAATTATTTAATTTAAAAAAAAAAAATATTTTTTTTTAAAAGAATAATTAAAAATAAATTAATATTAAAAATTATTATTAATATAAGAATAATTGAATCGTGAATTTCGAAAAGGGCTCAACTCAAAAAAGCGTAAGTGTCATTTTTGCATAACAATCGATAGTGAAAATGACTCTTACGGTTTTCAGAGTTGAGCCCTTTTCAAAATTCACGATTCAATTAATAATTTAGATTAAAAATCATTTTATGTATGTACAATTTGAACACACCCAGTTGAAAAAAACTGATATTTTGTGCAATTCTATTGTAATTGAATTGAAATTGAAGAATTAGATTTAAAAATAAATAACAAGAAATTCATTTAATTCAATATTAAATAATAAAGAATTAAAAAATTTTTAATTTACAATAATCATATCATAAAAGAAAATTTAAAATTTATAATATTTATATAAATTTAATTATCATTGTCATGCGATAATTTCTGTCAAAAGTTAATCGTGTAAATTATCAAGATTTTAAATTAAATAATTTTTTTCTTTAGTTATTGTCAACTAAAGACTAGATATTTGAATTTTCATGGAAAACACCGTTTTAAGAATAAAAATTATATGCTAAATTTTACGTGTCATTTGATAAAAATCAAAATTATTAAAAATTTTATTTAATTAACTTAATTAAATTTGATTAATTTAATTAATTATGTTTAAAAATAATTTAAATTTATTGTTAAATTAAATTTAAAGTTATATATTTTTTTTACTTTTAATAAAAGATCTTCCTTTAACAAAAACAGAATTTTCAATAAAGAAACAAGATTAAAAATAAATCCTTAAATTCTTCAAAATTTACAAAAATAACTATTGTATGAAACTTTCGCACAACAATTATCATTAATGTTTTCAATAGAGATGAAAAATAGTTTATAAAAGAAGAGAAAAGTAGAATTCGTGCTCTAATTTACAAACGTAAGAATAAAAATTGAATTTTCGAGGAGAAAGAAACATGAAAAAAAACACCTTTTTCTAAACTACATATTTATAAATATTTCATTAATAAATAAAAAAATTTTTAATGATATTTCATTAATATCATTTTCAAAACATTATAAATAATAAAACTTATTAAAATTGTGTATAATCACTTTAAATATTTGATTAAAAAATTAAAAATGTGAGAAATTATTATCTTTTTGGTAAATTTATTATAATTTGAAAATTAATATTGACACGATATCTAATTTATTATTCTGTCTTTAAATTTCTGAATAATTGAACGTTTCATTTTACGACAAAATTAAAAAACTGTTTTTTTTTCCATTTAATTATATACAATAATTATTTATTATTATTTTTATATAAAACTTTATTTTACTAAATTTTGATTAATGTTAATGTAACTAGAACATTTAATTTTAATTATAATTTAAGATGAGAAATAAAAATACCAATCCTTTAGCTTGATATTTTTATTTTTATCTTTTAATATTTTACTAAGTGACAAATTTTATTATTAAATCAAATAATGTTTTCTATTAAATGTATAATTTCATTAGAAATATTTAATATCTTTCAAAAAAGAATGTATTTGAATTTTAATTTTCATATGTTTCAAAATCATTTTATAAAATATATATAAAAAATATATATATATATATATATATATATATATATATACAAATATAATATCAATTTATAAATATATCTATAGAAATATATATAATATAAATATAATATATAATGAATAATTTGATTATTCAAAAAATAATTATTATAACTTTTGACTAAAAGTAATAAAAAAAAATTTCTTTCTCCACGAAATTCAATTTTTCTCGATTTTCTACTATCATCAACTACTGAATAAATCTCCAACTACTGGATAAATCATCAACTACTGAATAAATCTTCAACTACTTAATAAATCATCAACTACTCAAAAATAATTATAGAAATCATCTGCAAAAAAAAAGTAATTACTAATATAAAAAAAAAAAAAAATTCACTTCTACTCAGGTGGAGGTGGAGGTGGTGGTGGCGGAGATGAACCAGGTGGAGGACCATCAGGTAAAGGAGGTTGATTATTGACTTTATGAGAAGCAGAATTTCCACTGGTCTCATTTTTATTATTGATATTCCTCAAATTTGGCGGTAAATTCGGTGGTGGAATACTCGTGTCAATTGTAACATCGGGAGTGACAATAACATTACCAGTTGGATACATATTAAATCTCTGCTGTTGATATTGTTGATAATAAATTGCAGGATCGTACATGTATCCAGCTGGATTATTGAACATTGGTGGTGGATAATTGGAAAAGAAAAATGGATCACGTGAATTTGGTGGACGATGAAGAGGAGGATGAGGACCATGAACACCGTCAAATCGTTGATAAAAACCATCATGAAATTGTTGATTTACGTAGGGCAGCCGCGGTGGAAAGAGTCGGCCGCCTCTTCCGCTTCCACGTACCTTATTATTACTGCCGGAGTTATAGTGCCTTCCATTCTGTCTCTCGTTGGAACGTTGCTGTTGGACGAGAGCAGGATTATTGACGATCTGCTGCTGCTGCTGCTGTTGTTGTTGTTGTTGTTGTTGTTGTCTTTTACTTGGTGGTCCACTTGTTGTTGGATTCTCATGACCATCGCTACGTTCACGTTTTCTTGTATCGTGCTCACCTCTAGAAATAACATCGGTGCGAATCTTGATTTTTAATGGACCCTGAAGTGGTTGAATTATCGGAGGGGGAATCGATTGAGCGACCTTTATTCGTTCTTTGGCAATTTTGATTTTAATTTTACCAGGTGGTGATTTCAATTTATCAACAGTACCAAGTGATTCGCTGGTTAAATTAATTTTATCCTTGGGAATAGTGATTTTAATTGGTTCGGCGGGAATATTTTCACCCTCAATTTTTCTCTTATCCTTATCGCGATGTTTCTCTTTATCCTTGTCCTTGTGCTTGTGTTTGTGCTTTTCTTTACTCTTCTCTTTGTCTTTGTGTTTATGTTTCTTCTCCTTCTTTTTCTTTTCACTTTTATGTGTGTGTTCAGATTTTTTCTCCTCGGCAACAAGAATTGGAATAATGGGAGGAACAATACTCGATGTGGAGAGAGTTGATAGTGTTGAATCGATAGTGGAACCGGATAGTGCGCCCATATCGACAGTTGAGACAAGTGGCTCTTGTGTCATTTGCTGTTCGGATGGTAAAATTGCTGACAAAGTTGGTGGATATTCCTGCGTTGGTTGTTGTTGTTGTTGTTGCTGTTGTGGGGGTTGATTAAATTGTTGAAGAAGCGAAGGCATTGGTGCTAAGGGCTCTTGAAGTAATGCACTGATACTCTGTGCTGATTTGGTACGAGAAAATTCCTCCAATGGTTCAGCTGTATTCTTTTTCTTGTTATCGATAATTGGTTCAATGGGAAATTCTTGTGGTTCTTGAGTTACGAGAAATTCTTGAAGTTCTTGTCTCACGAAATCTGCTGGATTATTCTTTGAACACTCGGGTTGTATAGTTTTTGATGTTTCAATTTTCATTTTTGGATAATCGGTAAGCCTCTGCAATTGAACTGTAGCTCGTGGGAATTCCATTCCATCTTTGAAATCAAAAATATTCTTTGGAAAGTCGTGAACCTTCGGTACCTCATGCTTATACTCATGTTTAAATTCTGGAATAGATTTATAATCTTGAACAGGTTTATAATCCTGAGATGATTTAAAATCTTGTGTTGCCTTAAATTCTTGAGTGACTTTAAATGTGTTCTGTTCAATGGTGGGCTTGAATTCTTGTGCCTCGGAAAATTCTTGCCTTAATAATCGACTTTCAACGCCATTTGTTAATGGACCAAGAGAAGTTCGATGAGTTAAAGTGGACTCTGGTTCAAAAGGTCTTATTAATTCGGGCATTTTTGTGTTGTCATTCATGAATGAACTTCTTGATGGCATTTCATTTATTGGTTGAAGAAGTCCTGTTATATTATTGGTTGCATTAAAAACAGAGGATAATGCATCTTGAGCCGATGTTGTTGTTGTTGTTTGTTCGAATTCACTCATGCCCCGATGTCGTTTATGCGATGAGGAATTCGCAAGCTCTGTTGGTGGCCGCTTAAGTGAATCGTGTTGCTGTAAAACAGGTGGACTTGAAAATGGTGATATAAGAGTTGCCGGTAAATCTAGAGGTGCAGGTTGTTTCGCCATTTTTGACACTGGTGGAGTTTTTTGTCGCGACTTGGATCGTTGATGAGAGTCGCGTGATGTCTGTAAAAAAAAAAAAAAATCAAGAAAAAATCATTTCAAAATTCTTACTAATTTAATAATATCGCCACATCAGAATAAAGTTGGTACATTTTTTTTCAAAGAGAAAATTCTTTTTTTTTTGTATAATTTCAATTTTATGTTCATAAAATAAAAAAAGAAAAGTCCATCACACCATCTTGTTATGAAAATTGAATTGTATTAATTTTTATAGAAATTATATGAATGCGAATTTGGATAGTATTTATAAAAAATAGGAATTTCGCTCTATAAAATAAATTATAAAAAAGGATATTTTGTACTATTGTTTATTGATTTTAATGTAACATTTCTTTTTTAAATAATAATATTAGTCATGATTTTGAGGTCGAAAATTACCTAACACGGCAGAATTTTGAGGGAAATGAAGTAAAAATGTGTTTTTGGAGTCTTTATTCACACTTTTTTCAAAATTCTTAATTTTTTTATGAACTTGCATATATATTGGTTATGCAGTGTACAATTCAAGCTTTAATTCAAGACAAGTTAAAAGTCTCTAACACGTCAGGTTGAGGAAAAAAATATTAAAAACCCCCTAAAAACAGATTAAAAAAATTTATTTGTTTCAAATAATTGGTTACTTGACTATTATCAAATAAATATTTATTTCTATTAAATAATTATTATTTGTTTCAAATACAGAAATTATTGTTTCATATACAGTTTATTTAATTCAAATAAAAATTATTTGGTCCATATAAATATTTATTTGATTAGTCAAGTAACCGATTATTCGAATCAAATAATTTTTTTTTCGGTGTACATAGTCAGAAAATTCCCGACTAATTTCCCACTAGTAGACATAATGATTATTATTTTTTATAGAAGTAGTTAAAAAAACTATATTTTCCCTCGAAATTTTAAAATTTTAAGATTCAATATAGACAATATAATAAAAAATAAAAAACCGAAACATTAAAAAAAACATTAGGAATACTTTACCTAATAATATCTCAAACGTTTGGACAATAGACATTTTTAAAAAATTCTGTTAAATAACAGAAATAACAATTAGATGAAAAAATAAAAATATGGTTTAAAAAAATAAATTCAATTGGATAATTATATAAACCGACATATAAGGTGGAGAAATTGAATAAAAATGAAATTTCATAAGAATTCCTATAGTGTTATAGAAACCCTGTATTGATAAATATAATATATAGTAATAATATCCTAACGATAAATACAACTACAATCGAGAGAGGAATATATTTTTAGACCTCCATGAAGTTGGCGTTGAAAATTATTTTTCACGGGACCAAAAATATTAAATTATTTTTAAAAAAGTTTTAGACTGAAAATCTTTAAAAAAAAATATAATTTGACATTTTTGGTCCTGTGAAAAATAATTTTTGGCACTGAGCGTCGACAACTTCATGGAGCTATTTCTAGTATGAATTAATATCGTTAATAAAAATAAAAAAAATAAATTAAATTAATGAAAACGCAAATAATAGCACGAAAAAATGAATAGAAAATAAAAAGAATGATAAAATTTTTTAAATTAATTTCTAAATGTAAAGATAATATATTTTTGAAAGTAAAGTAACTCACATCTCTTTGAACTTTCTCGGGACTGAATAGAGATTTAGGTTTAACAGGCGCTACGTTCTGTTGTTCAAGCATGACTCTATTATCATCGTGTCGTGGCCTTTTCTCAGCTTTAGGATCCTCAACATTGCTCATTGAACTTGATGATTGTGAACTTCCATTCTTGATTGATTCTTTGATGAACTGTTGCATTCCCGACATCGAGTGTTGTTGTTGTTGTTGTTGATGAAGATGATGTGGCATGGGTTGTTGCTGTTGTTTCGTCATTGATTTCTGTTGTTGCACCTGTGACGTAATTGGAATCGATAAATTTTGTTGTCCCGAATTACCCTGTAACTTATCAGACTGATTATGTTTGGAATGATGCGATTGTTTCAGCATATGCGCAATATAATCGTCTTTTGTTATTTCCTGTCTTGATTTAGGTGGTGGAATTGGTTTCTCAATGAGTTTACGCACTTCTTCACTTCTTTGCTCAAGGGAATCGGGTTTCCTTTGACGATCAACACGCGACGACATGTCACGATATTCAGAATAGGGTTTTTGATCATCTTTCCTATGTTCAGGAAGTTTATTGTGTCGCGGATCATACCTCTTGTCATGCGAGCTTACTCTATGTACATTGTGATTATTATTGCTCAACTTGTCTTGAGGATTTGTGTGTTGCGATGCTGATTCCTGTGGTAATCCTGACTCGAGTCTTGCCGCAAGATCAGGCTGAGAGGCAATTAAATTCGAATCATTTTGCGTGATATTGTGATGATACAATGATCCAGTCGTGCCACTTGTTCCACTGTTAAATTCACGGGGAACACGTTGTTGTCTATTTGGATCGCGATTTGGGTCCCTTGTTGTTTGTGATGTACTACTTGTGTGCCTTTGTGACATTGATTGATTCATTTTCATATCGGGCCTGTGATGATGATTGTGATGAAGTGCCGATTTTTGATTTGGTGTTGGAGCTTGTTTGTTTGGCATCATTGAACCGGGTATTTGTTGTTTGTGATGATGTGAAGAATGATGTTTATTGGGATCTGTAACACTTTGACCAGTTGATGATGATGATGATGATCCTGCGGCATTTGCTTTTTCCCTCTCGAGTCGCTCTCGTTCTTTCTTTTCGCGATATTCGCGATAATCAACGGACGATCGACCTGGCATTGTTGGTTTTTTCTCGTCATGCTTTTGCGGATGATGAGAACGATTCGAGGCAAAAGTGGGACCTCCATCTGCCGCTGGGGACTGAATTTTTCGCGGCTCCAATTCCTATAAACGTGATAAATGACAAATTTCTTGTGAGTAAATTGTTCGTATTAACATCTGAAAAAAAAATTGTGATAATTTAAAAAAAAAAAAATTAGAAAATTTCCACTTACGAAAGGTGAATTCATCATTGGATGACTCATGTTGGGACTTTGGTTATCATTTATACTTTTGATTTTTCTTTTAAGCCTCGAGGGACATTTATCGAAAATGTGAAGAAATTCTGATGTTAACTTTTGCAGGAGTTCCGACGTGACTGTTTTGTCGATATACCAGAACCAGTGTTTCCCTTCATTGCTTTGAGGTATCTTGAGAAAAGTACGAAAAAGGAAAATCGAAATTAATAATTTTTGTTTATTCTTTTATTATAAAATAAAAATTTCCTAATCTTACCTCCCAATTAGACCACTTGCAAGCCAAATGAATGCAGAAACATGCAACAACAGTGGGTTTATACTGCAAACACATAGTTGTTAGGTGTAAGCTGAAACAGAGAAAAATACTTTTTCGAAAATTCATCTCAAAAATGATTACAAAGGAAAAGAAATAAAAAAAAAATTACATCATCAAGAAGATGAAATTACAAGTAGATTTTTAAGGTGGGATTACAGAGTTTCAGAGAACGTTTTGGTTCTAAATGGTTCGCCATGATTTTGCAGAATCCTCATGCCGAATAGAACTCAAAGCATTTATATAAATATATATATTTATATATATATATATATATGTGTGTAATTTAAAAAAAACAATCATCTATAACATACTTTCAAAAGAATTAAATTCCTTAAAATTTAGATTAAAAACTCGACGGATCCAATTCCGTTTTTTGAGAGAATTTTAATCATATACAGAGACGAATGATGTGACACGATAAATAAAAGATAAAATACAATATGTAAATAAAAAAAATAAATAAATAAAAAGAAGCACATTCGTACACTATAAATTCGCATTCATTCCCTACAGTTTGCTGTCGTGGTGCTAAAATAGCATCCGGCATGTGGAACTGAAGGCGAAACTAAACAAACAGAGTTTTTATATATCATATAACGTATACAAAAAAACGATCAGCCTTTTAGAAAATTCTATTTACCTGAGGGTCCTTATTGTGAAATAAACTTCGTATCGCGTTGGCATTAATAACATTTTTCCCGAATTAAACTGCTTATTGCTTTGGTTACGTTCTCTTAACAATCAGACATTACCGCTACCAAGCAAAACATTCGCCCAACGTTTTTCCACATTTATTCCATCATTATAATATGTAACTTAATGATTAACATTAAGCAATTTGCATTTCAATATTAATATACATATATATATATATATATATGCAATTATTTGGTAAGAGTAATTTTCTATTTAAAGAAAGAAAGAAAATTAGCTTTAGTAAAACATTTATGACTAAATAGGAAGAATGCTTTAGCTTGGAATAATTTTTCAACGGCATTTATCTGATCGGAAGACTTCTAAGAGTAAGAGATACTAGGAAATAATTTGTAGCCACCTGTTAGATGCCATGAAGTATGAAGTCTGGGCTAAGTCCTTGTTCGCTGAAAAATAAAAGTAAACTGTAAAGTAGTAACATTTTTTTTTTCTATTTTATTTAAAATTTATATTTTTGAATTTGTATCTCAAATTAAATAAATTTTAGTTACTATTGACCGGGATAAGTTTACAACAAAAGAGACTATTTTTCCAATTTCTTTTTTAAATTGCTATAAAAAAAATTACTATTCAAAGACCTGGTGAACTTCTTTCTGAAGGTTTTCTCAAAGTAACTATAATATATTTCTTGTATATAATTTATTTTATTGAGTATTTTAAAGTATTTGACTTTAATTGTAAGTCAAAATTTGTGAAGTGTGACAATATTTTTTTGATGGTCAAAAGTTTTCGAAATAATACGGCTTTTGTTTAATATTAATATAACTTTTTTCCCGATCGAAGATAATTAATAAAATAATTAACGGATTTAATTAAAAATAAATATAACAAAACGAGAACTCACCTTTTACTAGGTGACAACATCTAACAACGTGTGTGTGAGGGTGGTCAATGGCAAGTTCGAAACCCAGGGTCATTAGGAGGGCACTTTCATTGGACACCAACTCATTAGCCTGCTCCAAATATTGCTGCAATAAGACATAAGCCAGCCATTAAGCAGCTAATGAATTTCAAATTTGTTTATTTGATTTTTTTTTTTTTTTTTTTTTTATCATTTTTCCTCAATTTTTGAAAATCATCGCACTCACATCCGACTTTATATCAAGTGACGCCTGTTCTCTGTGGAGACATAAATGCGCACATTTGATGACATGTTCCAGTTTCCGCGGTTGCTCCTCTGTCTTTGCCGCTAAGAAGAGGGCTGCTGCTGCTATCTTGTTCCGTGGAAACTGTGTTAACGAGTGGAACACAAAAAATCGATGCATGTACACGATGGCTGTATTGATGCATAGTTGAGTACTAATTTCGAAGAAGTTAAGGAAAAAGTATTCGGCAAATTTGCATCTTAATTTAGTAAAAAAAAAAGGAGCCAAAAGTTTTGAACGTTCATATGAACGAAATATTTTTTTCAATCTATAAATTATTAAAAATTATGATGACAATGTAAAATAAAACAGTAAATTTAACAATTATTAAATTAATAACATCTTTTTAGATATTTTAAACAATATTATGTAATAAAATTCGTAGTTAAAGAAGTTGCAAAAAAAAATTTCGTTCATATGAACGTTCAAAACTTTTGGCTCATGAAAAAAAAAAGAATGAAAAAAAAAAACGAAAATCTTATTTGTACCTGAAAAATTGAAGGGAAAAAAAATCTTTGAAACTATTTCATAAATTATCTATTTTAAATTAATTCAATTACAAAATATTATTATATAATTATTGCAAAATTCAAAGAAGAAACTACTAAATCGTAAAACGAAAGCGAAAATTAATTATTGTAATCAATAACAAAAGAAATTTCTTCTTATAATTATAACAAAATTATTTTCATAATTAACAAAGGTTTCTTAAATAATGAAAAAAAATATAGGTATATATTCTTGTGAGTAAATTTTATCACTTGATCTTTTTTGTTTTTAAAATATTAAAAAAAAAAATATTGTTTTAAAGATCAAATGTTTCCAAAACACATTTTTTTCTTTTAAACTAAAATCACGAATTATAAATTAATTCAAAATCCAAGAAATTTTATTATCTCAATTGCATTCGATAACTATACAAAATTACAGTACATTCTTTTCTTAAAAAATTTCCTTTTATTTTAACAAAATTCACATTTAATTATAGAAATATGATTCATTTCTGTATTCTCGAAAGATAATTGCAGAAGTAATTCAAGACAATATTCATGACGGTGAAGTTCACAACGTTCATAATCAACGATTGAAAAAAAAATATATTGTTCATTAAAAAAATAATAACTAATATTTTGCCTACAAATTTTATTTAAAAAAAAATTATTGATCAAGAAACATTGCAAAAAAAAAAAAAATTTAGATCAAAAATAATAATAATTTGCATAGAAAAATATTTTTTTCTTCTCGTTGTGAACTTTACTGACGTCAATATTCTTTTAAATCTTTAATTAAATTTGTTTCAATAATTACAAATATTATCAATAAAACTAAGATTTCAATATTTAATTAATTATTAATATTTTCAATATTAATTGTAGAAAGAAAAAATTTGTCTTTAATTTTTTCTTAAATTTTTTTTTCTCATTTTCCAACACGAGTTTTAAATAACACATGACTACTTTTGCATGGTATGACTAGAAAACAGAAAGAACAATTTTGTATAAAAAATAATTTTTTATTTTTTCTTTTAATTCAAATTACAATTAATTCTTTTGAAGATGATCAAATTTTATTTATGAAAATCCCTTTATGTGTATATATATATATGTGTGTATGTGTAAAAATACAAGTATAGAAAAATTCCCCAGCGTTGTACAAAAATGTTTATACAAAAGATCAATCAATGTTGAAAATACATAAATGGAAATAAACTGGATTCTGAATATGGGCAGATTGTTCAAAATTGATAAAAACTTCATACTGCGAACACGTTGAATGTCTAGAAGCTTATTCTGAAATCTGTATAAAAATGCTTTTTCTCTTTTGAAAAGTAGAAGAAACTTTCAAAAAAAAAAAAAAAAAATTCAACTTGAAGATGCTATACTGTTATTTTACTTTAATTTACATTTATTTCAAGCAGATACTAAGCAAATTTAAGAGATTTTGAAATTTTACCAATTTAGAATTTCGAAAATCTTAATAAGGAGAAATAAAAATTTACTAACCTTAAGTAATATTTCACAATTTTCAAAGTAATTGATTATTTTAAAAAATAGAATTCAATTTCACTCATTACTCTAAGAATTAAATATTATTTTTACTATTTATATGTATATTTATATATATATCTTATTCATTATTCGTTGTTAATTAATGTTAAGGATTTTGCACTAAAAAATAACGTATAATACATCAACAAATACTAAACATAAAATTTTAAATTTTACGAACAGAAACAAAGAAAAAAAAAACTAATATAAAATGGTAATATTCAGAGTTTCTCAGTCTCTCAATATATAACCTCTGAACACAATGAGAAATGAAAATTAATACTTTTAACAAATGTTTATGAAAACAAAACAAATATGCTACTGGTTTACATGAAATAATTTTCAAGCAAAAGTATTCTAAAAAGAGGGTCAAATCGCCCAAAAGCGAATAACGGTTCTTTAGTCTGAAAAAAAATCAAGGCTAACTGACACATACACACAAGCAAAGTGCATAAAATAATCACAAGATAAAACTTTTGTTTACAAGCAGACTATTTAAATTTCAATAACGTCACAAGAAATTACAAAAACAATTGGAATTTCCAAATGGAAATTGAGACAAATAGGAGAAGAAACAAAAAAAAAAAATGAGATCGTAACTAACACACCCAAGCCTATAAAAAACGAAATAAAAGCAATCAATCAAAAACTCATTTCTGAATACATCTAAGAGAATTTCGACATTTCATTAATTCGGAATTCGCATTGATTTGCGAAATATGATAAGACGCGTCCTAGAAATGTTTGCAAATCAACAAAAAAAACTGCATTATATATGAATGAGGAAAATTAATGATTGATGAACAAAAATTGCGTAAGCAAACTCAGTTGGCAGGACTGACGTTCAATCGTTAATCTCATGTCCTACAATACAAATTTATTATATTCGAAACAAACTTAATAACACAATCAACATTATTAAACAAACACAAAAGCCAGAAGGAAAAGTAAAAATTTTAGAAAATCCAATGTAGTCAGCCCACGTTTCTCCAATATGGAGTTCCATGACGCGTGACCTCAGTGAATTCGATTCTCGTGTTTACAGCCCACTTAGGCAATCAACGAACGAAAATGAATAATCAGAATGTCACGTACATGGAATTAATCAAAAATCGAAAACATACCTGTTAAAAAACTCGGCGAAAATTGACGTACGAAAGTCTCTTTCGCAGCGAGCACGAGCGGGGAAGGGGGGTAGGTAGTTGAGATTGAGAATCAAGCGTTAAAAGGATACACAGATAAACGTTGTCCCATATCCTGGATGAAATTTGCGGCCTGCTGCCTATTACTCAGTTCTCTATCGGCGTCGATACCGCTTCTTCGGCTCGGCGAATTCGCTAGTTGTTCTTTTGTAAAATACCATTTTGCGTCAGCCGCCATTTATATGTACACACTCCAAAACTAATGCACCTCGGCGCTGCGACGCCGTACTTCACGCCACTTCACGCGAAACTGACCGGAAATATTATATTCAAGCATGAAGTTGTCATTTTGAACTGACGACGGTTGCGCAAATGATTCCAGTAGTAGCGCGTCAAATTTGAATTTATGTTATGTATTAAGTAAATTTTTTAACTTTTATATTCTATATCTAATAGAAACTTAAAGAAATATATTTTTACTTACAATTTTTGTTTACAATGAAATATGATTATTTATATTATAGCAATAGTGACTGTAAATTTGATTAAAATTAGAACAGGAAATGAAGAAACGGTATTTGAATGGTTCCATTTGAGCGCGAAATTTAAAATATCTAAGAAATATTAAAATATTTACTTTATATTTTTAAAAATTAATAATTAGAAGAAAATAATAAATTATATGGGGACATTGAAAAATTGTACTATTTTATTTTTAAGAATAATATATTTATTATCATTTTTAAAAATTTAGAAATTCACAAAATGATTTAAATGTAATAAATTAAAATTATAATAAATTTGTAAAGTCACATTCATTACAATAATTATAAAAAATTATTTATTTGGTATAAAGACATAAATGCGTGAAACGCAAATGAAAAATCATATTTCTTTTCTAAACTAACTTATTATTTAAATTCTTATGTAAATCTTTGAAATTAACAAAATAAAAAAATATTTCGCGTAACACAACATTTTAATACTTTAGATTGTCCGTCATTTGACAATCCTTTGTGATCACATGTCTTTATAAAAAAATAACAGCATCTTTTTGTAACTTAATATTCTTTTCAGTCAAATATTATAAATTCTTAATCTTACAATATATTTTTCAACTTCTATTTACAAGAGAGAAAAACATAACAGTTCTTTGTAACTTTGTTACTTTTTAACACAGCTCTTGTAATGTTTAAACATTAATTAAATCTTTATAAAATGAAATAAAAAAAAAAAAAAAAATTCAATACTTTCATTGTAGAGTTGTGTTATTTAAAATTAACTAACTTTTAAAATCTCTTTGGAAGTTTTCTTTTTCCTTTTTTCATGTAGATTGTTCAGAGTTCTAATTGTTACTAATTTATAAAATCTCTTTAATTGTATTTTTTTACTTCCGTTTTCTTTTTCCTTAAGTACTTTTGTTAAAGGCCTCGGCAGGAATAATACCTTGAGTAAAAAATTGTTGAAAAGCTGAAATAGCTTGCTCATAATTCCATTCTACCTCAGTCAAACACTTGTGACTCCAGACAATATTCATGTTTGTTTCCTGACTCAAATCTTTTACCATTTTCTCCTTGACATCTTCGGATAAAAGTCCCATTTTATTTTGGCAATTCGTTACGGGTTCTTGATATGACATTGTTACTTCCGTAGATCTCGTTTGTTTCATTGCTAGCTTCTGTTGCAATTGAGTTGCATTTGAAATGTACAATTGTTCATTAATAATAACAAAACCATCTCCTTCGGGAACGATTATTAATGTGCGATTAAAATAACGAAACGGTGAATCCAAATCATTGGATTCTTTAAAGAGTCCTGCTACTGTAACCAACATCATTGACTCCTGAAAAAAAAATGTTAATTACAATTTTTATTAGTTTGCTACGAATTTCGACAATTTTTTTTTTTTTTAATATTTCTTAACAATTAACAGTGACATCGAAAAACTTTAAAATTTACTAACCGAACAGAAGGACACATCCATGGTAAAAGTCTCTGTATTGTGCTTTGTTTTCGGGAATTCAGAAATGGCTGAAACAACTGCCAACTTTCCACGTTTTAGCATTCTGTTCAGACGATTTTGATCGTTTAATCGAAGTATATTTCTACTTTCACCGAGATAACTGTTTGGTCTAAAAAAAAGTGAGTAAATAAATAAAGTTCATGAAAAAGTTTAATAATATTAAAAAAAAAAAAAATTCAATTTCGAAATTTAAATTTACCTTGCCCCCACACTTGGTGACACAGTCATACTGAAAACTGCAGACTCATGATAAGCGTGCATTAAAGTTTGTCGATTTTCATTGTCAAAAACAGAAAAATACTGTTGAATAAATTGACTTGCAATCCTGTTCACTTCTGAATTGACAGAAAATACTTTTTTCGATGGCGGAATTCGTAAATCCTCTTCTACCAAATCAAAAGAAATTGAAGGTGGTAACTCGATACCGTCCTGTAATTTTATTAAATAAGACATTTTTTTTTCTTTTTAATATTTACAATGTAGCAAAAATAATATTCAATAATGAAAAAGGAAAGAAATTACTTACCAAACGTAAAAGTTTTGGAAATTTATTACGTACATCACTGTTGTTCATAGAAAAATCCAGCAAAAGGAAGTTTTTTGAAAATTAAATGAAAATAGAATATTAAGAAAAATAAATTTTCAAATCAAAATTTATAAATTTCATTATGTAAATTGTACCTTTCGATGTTATTTATTTTATTAATGGTTAATGTATACTTATTCTGTAAATTATAATTAATATTATATTCGTTTTTATTTATTATTTTCTACCAATGACTCAGCTCAATAGAAAATAACTCATTTTTCATAAATATAATGAAAAATATATGATAAATATTCATTTTGTGTCATTTATCATATTTTGGTAATTTTGAAAACACTTTTTAATCACTCAAAAATGATACAATTCAAATAAATAATAGATTATTGTGTCCAGAAAAAGATTCTCAAAATTGCTTTTAGGTCAAAATTTGTCAAAATACGATACACTATATATAGTATAAATTATTAAAAAAAAAAGTGTTTTTCAAAAAAATTGTCACATTTGAAAAATTAGAAATTAGTAAAGAATCTATCTCTAGACAAAATAAGATAATATTTATTTAAATTATATCATATTTTTTTTGTCTTTACAAAAATTATTTTCATTTTTGTTTCGAAAATACCTAAATAAGAAAAATGTTACTAAATAAAAACTTCTCATTTATTTTTCATAATTTCTATAAAAAATAAATTACTCTCTACCAAACAGAGCTATTGGTAAAAAAATGATAAATGAAATCTTTTAATTCACAATTTTACAGGATAAACTGTTAGCCAAGATTCAATAGAGCTTTAAAGAAGAAAATAATTCTAATTATAAATAAAAAAATAATATAAAGTAATAAATAAATAAAATAAAAATACATATTACCTTACGTATTCACTTTTACGCATAATATAACTATTGTAAAAAGGATTTCCATAGAGCACTAATTCTTCCAAGTTTAAATTTCTTATTGGTTCAATTAAATTGATATCCTTCAATAGATTATCACCAAGTTGGAGAGTTTTAAGATTTTTAAATCTGTCCTTTAATGTACTGAGTCTATCAATTAATGTGAATTTATTGCCGTTAAGATTCAATCCTTGTATATTGGGAACTAATTGTACGGCAGTATCCAAAACTGTTGTTAACAATAAAGGTTGAAACAAAGCACAAAAATGATTGTCCACAAGAGCTGTTTGAAAAAAAAGAATATTTAATTATTATAATTATTGATTTAAAATCTTAGTAAAAAAAAAAAAAAAAAATTGTATTAAAAATATTTTATTGAAAAAAAAATAGAGAAACCTGGATCATGGTGAAATTCAGAAAGATTTAATGTATTCGTTTCTTGATTATAACGCAATGCAACGATTTGAACAATTTTTTCCTTTAAAGTACTCGATATATCACTAGATTTCGTTAACAAATTAGGATGGCCTGGTTTTACATACACATGTAACTTAAAACTTTCCCTCAAAAAAATCTTACAATCACAATTCAATAACGTTTTTGCTATTTTGTTATTGTCAACATAAAATATTGCTGATCTCTCAAAATGTTGATACTATAAAAATCCCAAAAAAAAAAGAAAAATTTTCCATTATTAAATATTCTATTTTCTTTCTAAAATACCTATATTTTGAAAGTAAAATAAAAATTACCATAATAGGTATAAAAGTCTCAGGGGCAATGTGTTGTAAAATCTTCTTAATGATAAAGTCTTTTTCAAAATTAGCTCCACACGGAATCTAAAAGTAATTCAAATTATTTTCATCTCGTGGTAAATGATTTTTTTTATATATATATAAAATCTCTTACTTACAGTAACTTTATACCAAAAAGCATCGGCGAGCACTGTTTGAATTAGCTTGCTCCTCAAATCTTTTGGAGGTGCACCCAATCTACCATTAAGAAGTAATCGACCACGTCCTTTAAGAATGACTTGTCTTTCGCTAAATTCATTCCTATTATTGTTAACAGACATCTCCAGGTCATCGTCATTATCGATATAATTTTGCGCAGCGAATGATAAATTTCGTGGTAATGCAACTCTTGTTTTTTGCTTAAATGAAATTCGAGGTCTTATACCTGCCATGAGGGTGTCACCTCCCATTCTTACTTCTCGTACATCACGCCCTTCACGATCAACAAAACCATGATTACGACCTTCAAGAAATATTAAATCATCAATAATCATAATTCACTTTAATTAACAAAAGAAACAATAAGATACACAGTATGTAACTTTAAATTCTTAGCCATGCAACAGGTTAATATGAATATTGTAAATGTAAAAGATACTTTAGAAATTTAATCATATAGTTAATATTTCTTGAAGAATATAAAGAAATATGTATCTCTTACCTAATAATGATTCAATTTCTACATCCTGATAGTTGTAATTGAATTTTCTACGTCCGTCGCCACGCATTTGTAGGTTATAACCGTTTGACATTGTTTAACGCGCATATATAAAAAACGAATAAAAATGTTTTTTTTTTGTTTTTTTAAAACGGAAATACACTTGTGTTTATCACGTTCATTCAGATCATGAAAATAAACAAACCACGTGCTGTACTACGTATATTAAGACCGTCGTCATGCTTGTGTGAATAAAAAAATATTCAGAACCGCCACTATATGATGCGTCGCCATTTTTATTACTCATAAAAAAGTATATGCACAATTTTTCATATTCAATTACCACGGTGTTTTTTTAGTTATTATAAAAAAAAATGTTCCTTAAATTTTCAAGAAAAAATATACCACTTATATCACGACATTAAAATTATATAGGATATATCTTAATAATTATTATAATTACATACAATGTAAAAAAATTGAATCCATCAAAAATTGAATACCGGAAGTATTACAGCTCGACATCTAGCGGATGTAATTTAAACAAATTTAAAAAGATATAAATTTCTACGCAGTTGGTAATACGCAAAATTCATAAACAAAAAGTTGAAATTTAATCCAAAAACAAAACTTCGGGGAAGTACCTACCTCTTTTTATGTCTAACGAATTGTAGTTTCTATAAACACTTTAGTTATTTGTCATAAGCGACTTTATAAGCATCGAAATAATTTACGTAAAAGTTAAAATCTTAATTTTTAATTTTTAACAAAACAGTTATTAACTAAATATTAAAAAGTTCGAATAAATTTGCAAAATGATTTCAAAAAAAAGTAATTTTCTTTTTTTAACAATTCTATCAACAATTGCGTTATCTACTGATGCTATTTTCACGTAAGTACATACCATAAAACATTATTTTATATCAAATTAATATTTAAAAAAAAACAGTTTTAACCAAAATAAAATAATAAATTTACAGTAAATAAAATTCAAACAAATTGTTTTTTTTACTATGAGTAATTTAAGTCAATTTTTTTTTTTTTTATTGAATTTTAGAATAGACATTTATCAAAAATATCCAGAAAGATTATTAGAACAATTACAAAATAATAAACAAGTGATAAAAACATCTGAAATACCACAAAATGAGTCAATTGTGTTATATAAATTCATGGATGTGAGTATTATAAATTGTTTTCAAATTTTTGTTTATTATTATTTAATTAGAATATAATTTTATCTTTTTTTCTAATATAGTCAGAATATTATGGATTAATAAAAATTGGTAAACCAGCGAAAGAATTTAAAGTTATTTTCGATACAACTTGGGGCGATATATGGGTTCCTTCTTCAAGATGCAATTTAATAGAAATTGTTTGCAGTAAGAAAATAAAAATTTAATTTATATATTTATTAAAATACGTAAATATTTGAAATTACATGTAGTTTTTTAATTATATGCATATTAAATTTATAGTGACTCATACTAGATACGATAGCACAAAATCGTCGACTTATCAGCCAGACGGAACGATAGTAAATATCACAACAGACTCATATTCTTTATTAGGATTTCTCTCCAGAGACAATTTTTATGTAAGACAATAATTACATTATCTACACTTTTAAGAATCGATAAAAAAATGCAACTTTTTTTTTTATGCAAAATGAGTTTTTTTTTTAACTTATGATTTGTGGTATTTTAATATAATTATTCTATTAATCAGTCATAGAATTAAATAGTTACTAAATAATTCATGAATTATGATTAAATTAATTGTATAATTAATAAATTTTAATTGAAAAATTTTTTTTTTTCGATGAATATTTAGACGCCGCATAAAAATGTAACAAATCAAACCTTTATCGAAATGACTCATATTTCATTTAAATCATTTGCACTTCAAAGAGCGGATGGAATTGTTGGCTTAGGATTTCAAGGTTTAAGTCAAACAAATTCTCTTCCATTCTTTTATAATTTGGTAAAACAAAAAGTCGTTAAAGAACCTGTATTCACTATTTATATGAACAGGTAAAAATTATAAAATTGTAAATTATTTCTTAGAATTAAAAAAAAAAAATTTTATAAATAATATTATTATATAAATAACTATACAGAGATGAGACAACTGAGAAAGCTGGCCGACTCATATTGGGAGGAACTGAAAGAAAACATCTTAAAGGAGATTTAACATTTGTGCCTGTGACTAAAAAACTTTATTGGCAAATTGAAGTTGACTCGTAAATATTTATTATATTTCGATTTCACTCATTAATTAATTTAATAGAAAAATTTTGATTCAATAATAACTCATTTTATTGAAATGTGAATTTAATTGTATATATATATATATAATTTGATAATTACATTAAATAAAAAGAAGAAAAATTAAATAATTTAATTTGTAATAAAAATATGAATTATGTTAAATATAAATATAAAAATATAATAATATGGTTAATAATAATAAAATATTTATAATCTGTAGTATTATGCTGGAAAGTGCTAAGAAAACTTTCATGATTACTGGAAATACAAATGCTATTATGGATACCAGTACCAATACAATAAAAGGACCTGCAAGGGAAATTATGAGAATTAATAATTTAATAAATGCCAAAAATATTGCACCTCAAATTGGAAGATATGTGGTAATTTTTATTCAATTACTATATATTTTTATTTATTTCTTTTTATTAATTAAATTAGAAATTTAATATTTTTGAAAATAAATTTTAATTATTTTTTAAAAGAAATTTTGTAAAATATATTTACATGTTATTCATTGATTTAATTTTCAGGTGGATTGTAGAGAATATGCAAAATTACCTCGCATTCATTTTATACTAAAAAACAAAAATTTTACTATTGATTCAAAATATTACGTTCAACGGGTAAATAATTTACATATAAAAAAAATTGTAATATTATAAGTTCTTTAAGAATTTAACAAACTATTTTTTTTCCTAGATGTCTTTTAAAAGTATGGAAGCATGTCTGTCACCGTTTGTCGTATCAGAACAAGATTTTTGGCAACTTGGTGGCGCTTTTTTGATGCAATTCTACACGGAATATTATTTTGATGGTCGAATTGCTATTGGAGAAACTTTATTTTAAATTGAAATCAATGATTAAGTTTTACTTGAAATTACTATTTAAAGAAAAGAAAAATTTTCTTCAAAATGAAAAAAAGTTTTCTATTTTAAAAACAATAAAATCTCATTTTTCTTTTATATATTTTTAATAAAAAAAATTTCCATTAAAACAGTTTTTTTTTTTTTTTTTTTTTTAATATTTTCATGATCCGATGTTACTTTATTTTATCCAAATCCGCGATAATATTAATAAGTTTTTCTTCAACTTTCAGCAAATTATTAATAATTTCTTGTTGTTGACTTAATTCTTGATCTTTCACTTTTTTAATAACTGATTGAAGTGATAATTTTGCACTTCCAAGGAGTCCTCGTTTTTGTATATCTGAACAATTTTGCGAACAATTTTCATAAGCTTCGGCCAATTTAATACACATGCTTAAAACATTTTCCACTGATTCTAATCGTTGAAACCATTTTGGATCGGAAACCGAGGCACGATATGCTCTTTGCAAATATTGTGCTGTTTTTTGATTATTAATATCATCATTATTTAGAGAATTTAATTCGGCATAAAGTCGCCATACATCAGCATTATTTGGCAATACAGATGTTATTCGTCCAAAAAGTTCTAAAGCTTTTGGTAAAATATTTCGTGTCTTATTGCCATCGGCATCGTTAATATCGTCAATTATGGCATTTGATAAAATATTAAGAATTTGCACATCCAAATGTTGACCTTTAATTTCAATAATTCGATGATAACAACGAATTACTTCTGTGAATCGTCCTAAATCAATACTGACGACCATTAAATTGTCCCAAACTTCCCATCGATCATAATTACATTTAATTGCATCCTGAAGAGCTCGAAAGGCACGTTGTTTTTCGCCTAATTTAATATAGGCCTTTGCCAAATTATTCCATGCTTCAAAGCACTAAAATAAAAATTTGTAAATTATTATTCAAATTTAATTATTTAAACAACTACATTAGTAAATAATTATAGTATGATTTTTTATTTCTAACCGTTTGATCTAAAGCGCAAAAACTTCTATATGCTGTAGCGGCTAATTCCCAATTTTCAATTTCTAAACAAGCGAATCCAAGTCTCGCCCAAACACTTTCTTGAATATTATTCAACTCTGCAGAAAGTTTTAAATGCGCCACGGCCTCAATGTACTGTAAAAATAAATATTTCAAATTGAATTTTCGAATTATTATTAAATATTAAAAAGTGCAATTTTTACTGTTTTATTTTTAAATTTTTATTAGAAGAAAAAATCAAAATTAAATTCTTTTTTATATTAAAAAAAAAATAAATAATAATTTCATTTTTTTCTCTTATTTCTTGCACTAAAGAATCAGTAAATTATAGATTACAAAAAATAAAATAAAATTTGTTTCCTCACATTTTTCTTATTAAAATGAAAGATTCCCCAATGTCGTTGTGCACGACTGCTTTTTTCTTCAGACAATTTCCAACCAGTTTCATAATGTTCCTCTTCCTCCATTGCATCTCCAAGTAAACACCATAATTTCACTGACGGCTTTTTATCAATTTCTTGCTTTATAATTTCCGCAGCCTGAGAATATTAAAATTGTATTTTCAAAAACAATTATTCTAAAAAATTCTTAATTTTGTTTTAAAAACATTAAATTTCAATTCTTTTTGAAAAACATTGTTTCAAATATGAAATAAAATATTATTAAAATATTTTGATGAACTTCTAAAATTATTTTATATGTTTATGAAATTACTTTGTGCTTTAAGCCAAGAATTGTATAGCAAAGAACCACATCTTCCCAAAGATGAAGACTTAAATAGAGATCGAGAGCTCCTTTTACAAGTCCCAAATTCAATTTTTGATCTGCAAGCGTTTGTTTAAATGACCATTTTGGTTTTAAGCCACTAACAAAAAACATATCCATTCTGTGAGAAATTTGCGCTTTATCATCATTCACCTGATCTATTAAATATTCCATTTGTGCTATTGATCGCTCTATCGTTCTTTTATGATTCGATTCATTAACACATCTTTGATATAATGACGATAATTTCAGGGACCAATTATTCGTATTTTCAATCACTCTCTGTAGATTAAATTTTTTTTTTTTTTAATACAGATTAAATCCCATGATTATTATAAAAAGAAATGTAAACTTACAGCTAAATAGGGTGTAATTTCTTCAGAAGTAAGTTGATGTTTTGGTTGCGAAAGTTGAAGATGAAAACTATAAAATATTAAAAATTTAATTTTAATATATTATATTTTTATATTATTTTATTAAAAAGTATAATAGAAAATTTATTACTATTTAGTCATGATAATTGCTTCCTCAATAGAACCCAATTTCACATTTTGTGTTTCCTCAGAGAATTTAATTTTCTCCAATCTTAAATCATCATTTAAATTCAAAGCATTTGGCGTAACATCGGAGGGCCTTGATGGAAATAATTCTTTTTCAATTTTAATTTTTAATAATAATTGAGCTTTTTCCATCTGTTGATATTTGGTACGCACACCTAATGCACCTTTTAATTCTAATTTTAATTCAGCTATTTTTTCAGCAATTTCAAAAAAAATTTCTGAACTTTGAACTCGTCTATAGTATAAATAAAAATGTGTTACTTCCAAATTAAAAATTGTCTTGAGACAATAATTTTCTAAAAGGGAAGATTGTGAAATAATTTCAATTAATTTCTCAAATTGTTGAAATATTATTGTTGAATTTTCTTCTAAAATTAATTGATGAACATAATTTGCTCTAAGAAGCCACCATGCACAACTCTCAAATGATGATTGTAATTCTTTACATGAAAAAATTATTTTTGCTAAATATAAAAATTCTGCTCGAGACATATTTTCATTGCACTCATCGTGTAATGATAAATTTTTAAATGCTATTTCTCGAAGAAAGGAATAATTTTCAATTTCCAATTTAGATGATGGTCCTGTCCAATTGTGTTGAATAAAATGTAATAGTGAAGCAATTCCAATTGAAAGCCAATTTAAATGTTGATCTTTGTCTGTTTTAATGAATTTCACAATTGTTTCTTCAATATTATCAATTGTTTCCGATAAAGACAATAAATTCTTATTTTCAAGCAATAATTCGTATTTTCCATCCAATATTTGTTTTACCGCCGAAGGTATATAAATATCTAAAATAAAAAGTTTGTTATATTATTTACAATTTGAATATCTTAGTTAATGATAATTGATTGATACATATATATATATATATATATATATACATAAATAAAAAAATTAGAAAAAAATTTTGAGGTTATGTACAACAATTATAAGCGCATAGTTTCTCTTGAATTTAATTTTTTAAAAAATCGACATAAATCAAAAACAGTTTTATGTACAGAATATTAATATAATAAAAATTAAATATATTTACATAAAAAAATATACAATTTACTTTACCTTTATCGGCAACAATATAATTCATTAAAAGATATGTTTCAAGCTCATTAACTGACTCCATTTTTTAAATTATATGTAAAATACAAAACAGATATTGTCTAATATATTTTAATGATACACAAATTAATTAAAATACGTAAAAAACATTATTTTACAGCTTTTGTTCACTGTATTTACATATGTTTTTATCACAAGTCACAACCACGTGCGTTTTTGGAATTTTCAAATCGCTTGCGCATGCTTTGAATAAACGATTTTTATTGGTTCCGATTAGCGCCATTATTTTAAATTACTTGTTGAGTTAAAAAATATTTAGAGCTAATTCTAAAATTGTATCAAAAATTAAAAATTATTAATGATAGCTATTATTAGAATAATTAATTAGTAATTTTTAATTTATATTGAAGATGTGAGTAAGTAAATAATAAAGAAAATAAATAATAAAGTAACCATATTTATATTTTTATAAAAATAATTAATCGACACAGTTGAATATAATTAGGAATAGGTACATCAGTTAGTATATAATTATAAATAACTAATTACTACAATAATTAAATTTAACGACTTTCTTGGCAACCTTTTTTTTTAAAAAAAAAAGCTTACAAATAATTATAACTTTTTAGCCAAAAAAAAAAAAAATAATAAATCTTACATCTAAAGAGCCTCCACCTGAATTCGTATATTTCTTTCACTCAAAGTCGACTAATTATATATACGAACAAAATATTAAATGGAGACCATTTATCAATCACATAATTATGAAGCCTCAAATTTACAAACACAGTCTGCATATTTTTTCAACTTCCAATTTTTTTTTTTTTTTTTTTTTACAATTGACGAAAATATATTATATTACTTTTTTTATGGATTGTAATAAATAAAACCGAATATTATTATATAAATACAAAAATGAATTGTTTTATCAACGCTAAGGAACTTTTTATAATAATAAATGTTATTTTCAAAAAACATGCAATTATTTAAAAGAAAACTTTTTGTTTTTCAAAATTACAAAAAATATTCAAAAAAAAAATTTATATAAAATTGACAAATTTATATTCATCAATTTGATAAATAAATTTGTTTAATAAATAAATATTATACCTATGAATAAATAATTTCGTAAAATAATAATTTATGCCAAAAAGTAAATATAAAATACAAATTTTCATTTTCGACTCTTAACGATTTTTTGATTGAAAATTTTCATTTTTCACTTGATAATTATAATTATAATAAGAATAATTTAATACTGAATTTATAATATTGCGTGTAAAATCGTTTCAGTCGATTACAATCAATAAGCTTACGATCTATCAAATTTCAATAAGTCTTTTTTTTCATTTCTTAAATACTTCTTAAATCAGCTTAAAGCGATTAAAAAGTATTACAAATTTTTTTTTTTTTTATTAAACGCATGACTTAAAGTCATATATCTTCATTATTGATGCCATTTTGCGTTTTATTATTTTTGCACTTAAGGCTTTTGAATTGTGAGAAAAAAAACATATAAATAATTTAATGTAATGTAAGCGAACATAATATTCAATGAAATAAACATTGATTAAATAAATTATACTGTTATACAGTATTGTTATTTTCGTTGAAATTATCAGTCGACTCTTTTTTAGCGGCAATTAGACTTTCCCATTGTGCTATTAACGTGCTTCGGCGTCTTGGGTTTGGCTGTAAAAAAAAAATTGATTGTAAATTTCCAATTTAAGAAATTAATTAATTAATTTTTTTAAAATATTCTATATCTTAAAAAATAATTTTTAAAGAATTTCAAATTATTTTTATGTTTAAAATAATTAAAATCGATATACTGGAATTTATTAACATTTTTTTCATCATAATAAAAATTGAAATAGGGTTGAATTTTCAAAATTTCCATGAAATTAAAAATTTATTTAATTTTAAAAATAATTCAATTGCAAAGATATTGTATTTTATAATAATAGAATTTTTTTTTTAATTAAACACGAGATAATGTCCTATTTGAAATTTCTTTAAATTTTATTAATTTGAATTAATTAATGAAATTAAAATATATATTGGACTGAAATGTTTACCTTGTGCCTTCCTTTATTTTCTTTTTCCACTTCATCGTCATTTAAAGTATTACTTGAAGTACCACTTCTCAAAGAACTAGCACCATCATAAATATCAGAATCATTATCATTTCCAATATCTAACAAATTAGGCTGAGACTTAGCCAGCATTTGTGATCTCATCAATCTAGAATTATTAAAAGAAAATTAAATTTCACGTATATAATAAATTTTTGTTTACCAATTAATTTTTAAAACAGTTTTACAGACAGAGTCAAGCACTCTACGTATTTTTTAATATAAATCAAATTTCTTTAATTCAAAAAATTGTTTGGAATAAAATACGAATATTAATTAAGATCAATTAATGATCTATTTTATTAACAATTTATTTTAAAAAATAAAACAAAAAGAAACAAAAAATTGTTTAAATAAATATTTAACATAAAAAATGTTTAATTATTTGCAAATTCATTTTTTATAGGTATTTTTTTTTTAAGTCGATCGAAGAAGAACAAGAATCAAATTAATGAAATGAACTTTGCTAGAAAATTCCAAAAATACACTTACGCAGTGGGTTTTTTTATTATTATAATAAAAACTGGTTTATATGACACCTGCATAATTTAATAAAAAGTAAAAAAAAATAAAAGAAGAAGGGAATAAATGTTTTTATACCTTAACTCATTTTCTCGCTCTTTCATCTCAGTGAGTTCTTTCTGAATTTTTTGTTCAACTGGAACGAATCCTTTTCTTGTGGGTTTCATTTTAGGTTCATCTGATTCAATTTGAATATCTAGACTTCTGTTAAAGGCTTTTATGCTTAATGGATTGAGAGTGATAGTAGGCGCGGAGGACTGTTTAATTAATTCATTATTAATTGATTGAGATTTATAAATTTTTCCACGTGTCGCCAAAAACCTATGCATCAATCCTTTTTGACTTGGACTTGTTGCAAAACGCAATGGCGTTGGTGTTGTTCGAGTTGAAATCACTCCATTTGTCATTTTCGGTGTTAAAATTGGTACCGTTTGCGTTGAGGGTGATGTGATTGTTTCCAATATTTGAGGTGTGGACGTTGTCCTTTTTAATTTGAGAGCCTGTGGCATTCGTCGAACCTGGCAAAAAATTGAAACTTTTTATTCCTTCTCCAAGATTATTATAATTCAGTAAAAAAAAAAAAAAATAAAGAATTAAAAACATTTTTAGAATTATCACTAAAATTATTATTATATTATTATAATTATTTGTTTTTTAAATGTTATTATAAAAGAAAAATGATATTAGATACAGAGTCGAAATTATTTATTTCAATGAATGGCATTTTATCTAATTAGATAATTAAAATGTACAAAATTTAAATTTGAATAAAAAATGAATAGTTTACTTTGGGAATTGAAGATTCTGTGATGATATAGTAATTTACCATTAATAGCAATGCTCGTTAGTTACGTTCCAGTTGTCAAACATATCCGGTATAATATAACAGTTATTTCTCTAATGAATTGAAACCACAGACTCTTTCGCAGCGTAAGTGATAATATTTCAAAATATGAGCAATTTAATTAAAAATAAAACAGAAATTCAATAATAGATTTTATACTCCGTTGATTTGCCTTTATGTTTATCTAGATTCATTTTACATTGTACGCGTAATGCTTTTTATTTTAGTTAATAATATGGCAAAAAGAAAAGAATTCAAATAATCAAATAAAAATAATTCAAAAAATATTGTAAATATGAAATTAATTTGCTTTTTCTAATTATTAAGAAATTAATTGATTTTTAAATAATAATAATAATAATAATAAATAAATTAATTAATAAATAATAATGAAATTAAATTTATAAATTTTTGCAAATTTAATTAATAGATAAGTTCAAATTGATTGTAAAATGTATTATAAATGTATAATCTTGTTTTATCTGACAGTGAAAGAAAAAAAGAAATGGAAAAAATAGATATTGATTTTTTAAAGTGATGACCACTTATGATAATATCGATATTACTCTACTGATTGGAGGAATAATTCTGTAAAATAATTTAAATCTAAGTGGTAGATTTTCAATTAAACTCTCGAATTAAAACTGATAAGATATACGTATAATATTATGGAAAATATAGATATATGTATGGTAAATATATAAGCAAAAATTTTTAATAAAAAAACAAAAAGAAATTAATTAAAATGCAAATTTATGACTTAAACTTTTTTACATTCCAAAAAAAAGAAGGAATTAAATTTTCTTTTATATTCATGTCAGTTATTGTATCTTATTAAAAATGATTTCTCTCCCACTTTAATTATTAATCAAATTTTCTGCTCGCGTTTCACCTTGAATTTTATTTTTAAGGTATTCCTTAAAAATTCAAGGTAAAATTATAAACGATTAAATTATGAAAATATTTCGTCAGATTAGAATTTATGTTTATTAGTAGAATATGATTCACAAACATAACAATAACTGCTTTATGAAAAATTGTAAATTCTCTTTTCGTTTTAGTAGGAAACTTTTGATTGTCAAAATTTGTTTTTCAATAAATTGAAAATTTAGTAGATATATTTGCAGATTATACAATAGTGAAAGTAATATATTGACATTTTCTTAATTTTTTATTTTTAAAGCCGGATCGATTTAATTAAACATTTAGAACAAGTTTATTATATAAAATTTAGAAAGAAATTAAGAAAGTAAAAAATAAAAGAATTTAAAAAAAATTGCAAAGGTTATTTTCTATTTATAGATATTAAATTAAAAAATTACCTTCGAATCGACAGTTTCATGGGACGTAGTTTTTATACTTCCAACGTTTCTAAGTTCGTGTTCTCTTTCCGTCACTTCTTCAATTTCCTTTTGAATCCTATCAGTAGCTTTTCGAAGCTGTTCAACTCTGTGTTCTGCCTGAAAAAAAAACATTTTTATGCTCACACTTTGTACATTGAAAAAAAATTAATTAAATTAAATAAAAATACCTATGCAAAATTCAATTGAAGTTAACAATTGAAATTGAATAAAAAAATATTTCATTTCATATATTTCATTGCAGTTGAAATTTTATAATTGTAATTTTAATTCAATTTAATCCAAAATTGAATTGAAATTAAAATTCAAAGTTGAATAAAAATAAAAATTCAAAATTTAACTAAAAGTTATAATTTCGATTTAAATTATTTTTTAAAATTTAATTAAATCTTTTAACTGGTAAATTCAAATGGGATTAAAATTGTCATTTAAAAATTTAATTAAAATAGTAATTTGAAATTAAATTACAATTGTGCAATTATCATGTGTCATATGTACTTTTTAAGCAACATTTTAAGTATTAATGAGGAAAAAAAAAATAGAAACCACAAAATCATGATAAAATTGTTGAGAGAAAGAACATTAAGGATGCATTTATTCATTCGTGGATTACACGTATATCCTTTAAGTGAATTCAAGACCCTGAATTTCCCATGGAAACATAATGAATCACACATGAATCATGAGTTTGAAGGTTTCAAAAAAATTACTGATTTATTTTATCTTTTCTCTCGTATATTTCAATAAAAAAAAAAAAAATCCCATACACATAAATTCGTTTTACTTAAGGTGATAAGTATATATTTGAGTCATTACTAAAAAAATTTCCTTATTACAAATTTAATTCAATATTTATTATAGGACATTATTTCACTTTAATTCATAATTTTCCATTCGTAATTTATTAAAAAAAAATTTAATTTTACTTTCTTTAAAAATCTCACAATTTGGGTCTTTCACAAAGAAATGTAAATTTTGAGAACAATTTTTCGTTTCCCTCAAAAATAATAAAATTCAACAATATTTAATATTTAATAATAAAAGAAAATAAAAATAGGTAATAAAAGAATTGAGTCAAAAGAAAATTTCTCATGACTTAATGAAATTATAACTGAACAGGTTTCAGTTATATAGACTTTGAAGAATCATAAACAAGCTAAATAGAGAAGAAATATCATAAAAATCCTCTTCCATCCACTTAGAGGAGACATAAATTAGCAGTAAAGCCCGAAGGAGGAAGGATTCGTATTCTCAAAGTGTGATATTAAAGTGGAAATGAAAACATAACATAGATTTTAAAACAGACAGTTTACAAGTATAGTCACGCGATTAACGGTAAATAAAATTCCACACAAAACTAGCTGCATACGTCCATGTTATTAGCCACTGTAACTGACTGTAACCGAAGCGTTCATGACCTCTCGAATGTTACGCATCCAAAGTTCCTCAAAATTTCAAGAAAGCATCCTCTTTTTTTTCGCCTAAAATCTTTCGAAACGTTATTCAGGTGAACAAAAATATTTCGATTTTAATTCAGAACATTTTATTAATTTTTCGAAAATAAAATCAAAAATTAATTAATTAAAATTAAAAAAAAAAATTTCATCAAACTTTTTTTGTATATTTATTTTAAATGAAAATTATAGGAGAATAAAAAATAAAGTAATAATTACAGAGGGAAAAAAAATTAAAACGTCTAATTTAAATATAAAAAAAAAAATTAGGAAACATTTTTCTAAAACAAATAAAAGAACTAAATCTGAAAAAACGAAATTCAAATATACGTACAACGTCTTATTTCCATATGTGAATTATAATTTATTTGATTTGAATCGCACGTGTACGCATCCACGAGAGAACTGACTTTGAATCGGAGAATCAAGATTGTAAAACTACTTGGCGAAGTCTTGCGAGAAGAGAGGAGCAAGGAATGTTGTTCGCAGAGTTAGAGTATATAGTCTCACTGGTTAACTGTATAACCTGGGACTGTGTTTCCTTTCTAAAAAAAAAAGGAGAAAAAAAATGGGACATGGATCTCAGACGACAACTCATCTGTTCCTTAAAATTGGCCACAAGATCCTCGAGAGGGTTTATTTCAAAAAAATGGAGAAAGTTGCCTTTCACCCTACTGTCAACACCTGTTGATTCTCGCGAGGATGATATATATGCAATTTATGGATAACAAGTCTTGACTACTATTTCTTCCTCTTCTTCTTCTTCTTCTTCTTCTTCTTCAGTCACGATAGTAATTAAACGTCACATGATAAATAGCCACACAAACACATATATTAGAAACTCATTAGAATTACGTTGCTAATTTTCCATGACAACCGAAGATAATACATCTCTGCGCTAATATATCTGAAATTTAAATTAGACTTCAATTAAAACAATGCGAGAAAATAAAAATTCTGTCAACTAAAATAAAAAAAAATATTTAAAACGAAAGCGAAAAAAAAAAATAAAGAAACGAAAATACCTACAAATTTTTCTTCGAATAACAAAAATCGAAACACTTTTCTAAAAATTTGATGATGATATTTTTCCAATGAAATTAAATTCTATAATTTATTCTTTTAATATAATTAACTTTTGTAATACTAAGTAATTCTTCTATTGTAATAAAATTCTGTGCGGTGATAACATTCAAAAAGATCATAAATTTAAATTCTATGCAGACAAAATTATTATATTTATAAAATAGTCTGAAAATGAAAAAGAATAAAATAACAATATAAGGCATAGCAAGTTACAAAGACAATGAAATAAAAAAAAAACGGGAATTTCGCAATTTCACCAGAAGAATAATTATTTTTCTGTAGCAAACTCTCTCGTTGCTCTCAGAAAGTAAATTGGTGATTCAAGAGCAATTAAACATGAGAATGGCAGTGAAATTTCAGTCAATAACGACCAAAGTTGGTTTAACTTTCTGAATATGTGAGCGCATTTAATTATGCGACGTTCGAGTGAAATTAAAAAGAGAATTAACTTCCCTCCGATCATATATTGTTTTCAACTAAAAAGTTGAACAAATTAAAAAATAAAACCACAGAAAAAATTAAATTAAATAGAAATAAAATACAAAGAAAAAAAAATTGTAACTTAAAAATAAAAAGCAAAAATAAATAGTAAAATATCATTTTATATAATTTTTAATGCATTATTATTTATATAATATTAAAATAATTAAAAGAATTTTCAACAAGAGAAGAGAAATATGAGCCCTCTTAAAAGAACAATTTATTTTCCATCTGACTTTCTATTGCACAAGAGATGCAAATTTTAACACGTCATTTAAGTTCAAAAATAATAAAAAGAATAATAGTCTTATAATACCAGGAATACTTCCTTAAAATCGAAAGTCCATTTATTTTCGAAGAAGCCAATCATAAAGGAGAGTTTATTAGCGACTATTTAAATAATCGTCACCCGCAGTGAAAATTACAAAAGAGAAAGTTGAAATGAGTGTATAAAAAATATATATTATATTTTCCATAATTTTTATGTGAATTTAATAAATAAGGAAGTTTAAAATTTTTTTCCCCCAAACATTGAATATTTTTAACTATAAAAATATAGTTCAATTCATCACAATGATTTTTCATTTTATAAATCATTTTATATATTTTTTTCTCTTACTATATGAATGGGACAACTTGTAAATTACTTCCTTTTGATGATGTCAAAAATTGCCTCGTCATCGAGTAGTTATACACATCAGAAATTTATACTGTTTTGAAATAAATTTCATCGATAATGAGAATAATTAGTATCTCATGTAAATATACATATTATATATTGTAAACAAAGAAAAAGTGAGTTTTTAAATGTCTAAACTCTCTCTTTCTTCGCGTGCGGAGAAATTTACGATTATAAAAGTCAGATAAAAGACCAATTAATTCGAATACTTGTCAATCATTTTGATAATGACATGACTTTTTATATCATTATTTGAAAACAAAATATTTATAAGAATGTGATATTTATAATAAAAAAAAAATTGCATGAATTGTAAAACAAATTTTTAAAGAGATTTGACAAAAATTCCTTTTAAATATCACGTTTTCAAAATTACACAAAATAGAGTAATCATTTTTAATCTATGCATGATAATTATTATCATTCATTTGCGTGACTTTTAAAATTTAATTTCAAAAATTAAAATAAAAAAAAAAAAATTATCCGAATAACAGTGTATGAAATAAAGAAACAAAAAAAAAGAATTCTTTTTAATGGAAATAAAACGTTTTTGGTTTGTTTATGAAAATTGAAAAAAAATAAATCGAATTTTACAGGTAACACTCGATTAAAAAATATGGATCCGCTAATTTGTAAAGTAGTCGAGCCGGTTTTTTTTATGAAAGATCCTTTAACATCCTGCGGTGTATATAACTTCCTTCATATAAGAGAACACCACGAAAACCACTTTTTCCCATATTCAATTCTGACAATAACAAAAAAAAAATAAATAAAACCAGAAGAAATTAATTTTACTTTCATAAATTTTAAATTTCACTTGATCTTTTTTTAAAATTACTTTCAATTCAAATATTTACATTACGAAAAAAATTAATAAACTAAAAAAAGAAAAAATTTTCTTTTTGTAAAAAAAAATGTCTAATATTGTTAAAACTTATTCCATAATACAAAAAAAAAAACAATTTCTATACAATTAATTTGATTTAAAAATAAAATATTTAATTTCTTTATTTATTTTCAAATTTTCACGACGAAAGAATTGTAAATAAATATATTTTAATTAAACATTTTTTTTTGTATAAAATGATAAAAGATACAAAGTATAATAGGAGTTATCTAAACAATATTTTTTTGTAAATTGGAAAAAATATTTTTTTCTAAAATAAAAATATATATTCACTCATGTAGAATTTAAAAAGTTTTCAACTATAAGCTTAAAATATTTCGTCTTGTAAAATAGATTAGCAAAGATAAGGTAAATGAAGTATACCTATAATAAATTTACATATCTGGAATAAAAAGACAATAACGACTTTTAAAGAAACGAAAAAAGTAAAAAATAAAAGAAGGTTAAAAGATTTACTATTAAATTAAATGAAAACAAAATTCTTTTTTAATTACATTAAATTTACTAAAAAAATATATTCATTAAATAAATTATTTTCCAAGTCTATGTATATGTGTTGCGACTTGAGAGTAATTTTAAAAGATATTACCAAGGAAGAAGAGAATGAATTATGAGAGTCATAATTTAACACATAATATAAGTGTACCCTACTGTTGTAACAATGGTGTTACAGAAGACTTCTTTGCAATTTTTACAAATTCACTCTCTAACACCTAAATACTCAATTATGCCAAAACCACTACTAGGATCTAACTTATTATTAGAAGCAATATAACTATAAATTTACTGCTTTAGTTACTAGAAAACAATTTATTTTAAAATAAAGGAAAAAAATTATTTTCATTCTTTATACATAAATTCCCATAAATTAAAAGCAAAAAAATGGATCATAAATAAACAGTTTTATTTCTTTATTCAAATTTCGAAACAAAAAATTCGAATAAAAGAAAAAAAATGTTTTTTATTCAATAATAATTTTCATTGAAAATATCAATTGAAAAATTTCGTATTTCCAAATTTTCTATTCAATTATTGAAATAGAAATAAATAAATAAAAACAGCTAGAATAGAAAAGAAAATGGAAATTTATTACTGTAACTCGATAAAATGCAAAGTAATATGTCCTTTTGTGAAATATTGGCAAATGGAGTTTCAATTTATTTCAACATTCCCTTCTTGAGGTTTCACACGCATTTACTCCTTCCGTTGGGAGAGCATTCAAGGTGGTATCATTAATGTATCAAAGATGCATTCTTTAGGTTTCTGAAACCCTCGTCTATCTATATATAATATATAAGAAAGGTCAACTCTTCCTTAGATATATATCTATAAGGCAAAAAATAAAATAATATATTGGAAACTTTATAGCGCAAAAAAAAATTCTAAAAAAAAACCAATTAAAATTAAAATTTCTCTTATAGAAAACAATAAATAAATAAAATTAAGAAATTAATCAATTCCATTGTAATAGTGCAAAAAAATACCTAATTAAATAAAAATAAATATTCGAAGATAAATTTTAATTAGAAATGCAAAAAATAATTACGGATTTCTTTTAATGTTATCTAATTAATTTTAAGTTCATTTGTCAATTTTTCTTAAGGAAATAAATATATAATTCCCATTTAAAAATTAAATTCCTGAAACAATACCACTATTATAAAGTGTTTTGATATATATCTTTAGAAACAGACGTATATATATTTATATTAAATAACAGGACACTTGACAATAATTAGATAACAGTAAATAAAACTGTCATAGTGAAATTTCCATTTTCAAACGTTATAAATTTTATAATTTAATATGATGAGAACTAACACACATTTGGTCTCACGCGCTTTCATTATTAAATTCCCACAAAATAAACCGTTCAAAAGTGCAGTAAAAATTTAACATCCCTTTTTCTCAACTATCTTTCATTTTCAACCTATATGTAAAATAATAGAAAAATTTTTGAAAATAGACAAAATTAACAAATTTATAAAGAAATGTTTAAAAAAAAAAGAACAATCAAATATTAAAATAGAGAAAAATTTTACAAGGTATAATAAAAAGAAACCATTTTTTAAAAATAAAGAAAACATTTCCGAAAATAGAATTCAAGTTTGAAGAAAAAAAAGAAAACAAGTTCGATAAAAATTATTATAGATCTCATAACTTGCAACCGGTTCACTCCTGTGCATAATAATTTCCTATACAAGATATTTAAAAAATCATTGACTTTAGTACTCACCTCTGGTTTCATAGCTGCTAAAATTATACGTGTGTCTTACACTTTTCACAGTTGAATGAAAACTGGTGGCCTTATCGTTTGTACTTTTTTTGATAAAAGTCTTTTATTGTATTTTTAGCCAGTTTTATCAGATCGTAAAAGCGCCCGAATGACGCTCGTTCACATCGATATATTATACCATGCTGTATATGTTACGTCACACATATTGTTATTATTATTATTTATCCACGCAGTAAACCACAAAAAGAAAAATTCTATTCAACTTGTATTTTGCAGTGTATAAATTTGTAAGCACGTTGTGACTACTCTCTTGACTTGTGACATTCACGAGGAAATAAACTCCAGGTAGGGAAGCGTGTCGACAGGAAGAGAGCTCAGCTCTCTCACGATCGTCCCGCCGCGATCACTCTGCCGAATACCAACCGTTCACCGACTTGAATCAAAAATTGTTTTCAAAAATAAAAATTGTTTATAACAATAACATTTTTTTTTTTTTTTTTTTTACTTAAAACAATGAAAATAATGATTTTGATTTAAATAAACTTTTTTATAAAATGAAATAAAATACCTGATGATTTTGCACGTTTTTATTTTTTTTTTAGTCCGACCAACTAGAATACGATCGTTTTCTACTGGTGTGTGGGATCCGTTTGAAGTTCGACCCCTCGCGAGTAGAATGAACTTGTAGAGCCGCGCACCAAACCGAAGCGACGACCATATGCTATCTCACTTCTACCTGGTTTGACCTTGTTCTCCCTGAGTTCGAAACCGTTCTCCAATAACCAAAGGAAAAAAAAAAATTCATCCAATAAACTTTTCGTCATCCGTATGGTGTGTAGTTTTTTTTTTTGCGTGATATTCTTTTTATTGACTTTCTTCTCTCATGCTTAAAAACAGTAAATGCATTATATAGTATTTTTTTAGCATTATTAATAAGGTTAATAAAAAAAAGACCTCGCGGAAATTATAATAAATGAAAGATTACAAAATTATTTTCATATTGCAAATATGAATATTCAGAAAAATTAGTATATAAAAAGTATAAATTTTAATTAAACAGTTTTTTATAATAAAATGATAAACCAAAAGTTCAGAACGTTCAAATGAATAAAATATATTTTTTCAATCTATAAATTATTAAAAATTATGATGTCAATGTAAAATAAAACAGTAAATTAAACAAATATTAAAGTAATAACTTCTTTTTAGATGTTTAAAACAAAATAAAATAATAAAATTCGTCATTAAAGAAGTTGCAAAAAAAAAAAATTTCGTTCATTTGAATATTCAAAACTTTTGGATCATATAAAATGGTGAAAATTTTTATTTTTAACACTTTAAATCATTAAAAGATGAATTTGAGGATAAAGATTAGAAATTTTTTTTTAAATTTTTAAAAGAATATTAAATAGTTTTTATATTTTTATATATATTTCTTAAAATTCCTAAAATGAGTTTAATTAATTAGATGTTCAAATTTATTTGACGATATTTTATAATTTTTTTTTCATTTTAAATTGTATTACTATAATTATGTGTGACGAAAAAAAATATTAAAAATGAATTTTTAACACTCATTGTTCTAGACTTCACAATTATTAAAACATATTTTCGATCATTAAGATTAATATCAATGAATTTGTTAAACCTATTAAACCAATAATGATAAAATTATAACCTACAATTTTGTTAAACTTACCACCTAAATAAAATACACATGATATACTTGCTAAATTGTCTAAACATTTAACCTTTGAATTTAAGACATAATAATAACTTTTCAATAGCAGCAAACTTAAATATGTAAAAATTATTTAAATAATTATTAAATTTCAAAATGTTTAAAACACTTCAAAATTAACCATTGAACATTTGACATATGTATATTTGTTTACGTTTGCAATGCTGAATGTTGTTCATATATACAATTGTGTAGCACGTTTTGCATACTCACAGGGAGATATGTAGAATTTTTAAAATATACTTTATAATACATAAGAAAAGAAAGAATAACAGAAATATAATTAAATAGTAGAAGAATAATAACAGTAATAATAATAATGACATTTTATATTAATACAAATATTATATATTTCATTATAATATAATAAATAGCCATTTTGTATCCTGTAAAGTTCCTGGTTTTGTGGTTTATGGTAACGAGTTTCATTGGTTTCCTCAAATTTGCGCGGGGATTAGCAGCCAATGAACGCAATCATTTTGGAAATACTCGCCCGGTCTTATTTCCACCGCGCAAATTTGAAATATAACCAAAATTGAAAATTATATTTAATTAAATATGTCAAATTAAAATTAATTAATTATATAATTTTGTATCAAAATTTTTAAATATTTACATGTTTAAATTAATAGAAATATTAACGAAATATATTAATATGTTACATTTTGTAATATATACATATTGTATAAACATGTAAATGTTATTTTGTATAAAAAAATTAAGATTTATAATTTTGAAGATGGTAATTCAAATAAGTTTTATATCATTTGACAATTAATTAAGAGAACATTTATAATCGCAGAGCCGGCAAAAGTTTCCTCGTTTCCTGAGAAACATAACCTTAAAATAGTTAAAATTGCTATATATTGACGCGGTTGATACGGTTGATACATCTTCGAATTTTGGTGTAATATTTAATGATTTTCTTCATTCATATTTTATTTATTATAATAATTAACAACTTTCCATAAATTGTGCCTTATTTTTATAACATTTTTTATATATAATAATCATATATTACGATATTGAAAAAACATTGATCAAAACAATAAGTATGGATTTCTTGGAAGGAAAAGAATTGTATAATTGTTCACTTTCGTCATTAGTTACAAGTCCATTTGTCACACAATGGTCTCAAGATAACCACTTATCAATTATTACAGAAAAGGGAATTCATATTTTTGTAAGTAATTTGAAAATTTCCAAAAAAAAGTAAAATCTAACCTATACATTTGTTTACATTAGCGCTTTTTTAAAAATATATGTTTTATACATATATCATATTTAATTTTTACATTAATATATTTTTTAAGTATTTATTTTACTTCTTATTTATCTTATTGTTTTATTTAATTTTTAATAATAAATTCTTTCTTAGGAATTAGTGCCATCGCCAATGACTTATGGATCAAGTGTAAAATTTTCCCGTTCATTCGTTTATCCATCAGATGTATTGCCCACAGATACATTTACATCTCAATTAAATTTAATGTTATGGCAATGGACGAGGCAAGAAATTTATTCTTTTCTTTTAGAAGAAACACTTATTCCACGAATGAATGTCATCACTGATCTTGTACCAAAAGTTCTATTTCTCGCGTGGTCTTCTCAAGGAATGGTACATCCAAGTAAATGTCTTTTGGCAATGATATCATCTGCCGGAGCAGTGGATATTCTTTTAAAAGACGACTGTGAATGGTTTTCAGCGTGTGATATACACTCACATTGGTTGAGAATTGTCACTGAAGAATTTCCCGACAATAATTTTGGAACATTAAAAAGTGAACAATTCAAATATTATATCCGACGTTTGCAAGCAGTTGCAATAACATGGAGTCAATTGTATGAAGAATCATATTCTTATTTTGTCGTCGCTTACAGAAGTTCCGATTTACTTGTATGGAAAATTCCAGCTGTAATTGATCATAGTCGAGAAGTAATTCCAACTGTTGCATTGAGAACAAATTTGAATCTTAATACAAAAATAGATCTCATGGAATGGATAAAAATTGATCGAAATAAATGTTTAATTGTAATGACACTTTTTAATGGTACAATTATTGGTTTAATTGTTGATGATATACAGGGAAATGTAACGTCAAAACAAATTGAAATCTATTCTGAAGAAGATCTTGTGAGAATTTCCAGTATTAAATGTATTTTATTCGCTGAAGGCGAGATACGATTGGTTATTTGTAAAAGTACATTTTTATTCATTATCACAATTGACAGTACAGGAAAAATATTAAATAATATGTATTTTCAAGTTCCTGCTTTTTCTATAACAGGTAAATTTTTTTTTACATATTTCTTTCTTTTATTAATATAAATTTAAATAAAAAATATTTATGTTCATTATTTTTAGGATTTTCAATGATTGATGAAAATCAATTTTTGATTTACAGTCAAGAGGGAAAATTATTCTTGACAAAAATTGAAAACGAAGAAATACAAGGAAGATTAATTAAAACCGATTTACCAAAATCATATTCGCAATATTTGGGCCTCTCACATTCGTACAATAAAGTTTTATTTGCGACTGTCACGAGTCCAAATACAATGTACGATCATCTTGTTGTTCGAGAACCAAGTACTTTTCATATTTTCAGCATTGATGGGGAAAAATTTAATCCTCTTGAAATATTAAAACAAAATAAAACTAATTCATTATTAAATTATTGGGATTGTTTTATGGTTATTGGATTGAAACTTATTAAAAATTTAATAACTGTCAATTCAATTGATAAGATTCCGAAACATTTTGAATCAATTTCTGTCTATGAACTTCGAGTATTAATGTGGCTTTTAGTGTTTGCCGATGTTTATAGAAGAAAAAAATCTCTCATTGATTTTTCAAATGTTTCTGATGAATTATTAGAGATACGTTCATTGATAACGATTTATACGTCATCGTCATATTTAATGGCAATTGGTGGTAAAACACAAAATAGTCATGAACAAAGGCTTTGTACTCGATTTTTAAGAACTTATTTAGAAATTTATATTGCCGGCGAAGAAGAAGAATTGGAAATGCCAGTTAGTCAATGTGCCGATCGAGCATTAAAATTTACATGTAAAGTAGAAGTTTCTGGATCGGAAGTTTGTAATTTATGTAAAAATGTAATTGTTGATCTTCCATGGAAAACGGAAAAATGTCCCACTGGACATAAATTGCCAAGATGTGCTATTACATTTTTACAAATCACATCAGTTAGATATCGATCGTGTCCAATTTGTAAACAAATTTTTCATTCTTCTCTTGATGATGAATATCCCGAGGGACCAAAATGTCTATTTTGTGATATACCAGTATTACATGATTCACGAGTTTTTGGTTCAGTTGATCGAGATAGAACCAATTTTTCAAAGCGATTATCAACACGACTTAAAAATGCTGAACAAGATGAAGGTGGTGACGACGAACCCGACGATATTTAAGGAACAAGTGGATATCAATATGCAGACGTGGCGAAATTTTCATTTCTACAGCAGGAATTTTAAAAGGCATTTGAATTTATTAAAATTTTTATAAATAAATTTTCAAAATATTAAATATATATATTTATTAAATTTTTCAAAGGATAGGAAATTTAAATTTTATTATATAATTCAAATAGTTGAAAAAAATTTAATTTTTTAACATCCATCATTTAAAAATATAATTATTATAAAATACAATTATTTTAACTATTTGTAAATTCTTTGTTTTCAAAAAGAAAAACAAAAAAATCTAAAATTTATTAAAATTAATTTAATTTTAATTTTAAATTCTCAAACATTTGACACTTGAATATATTTTAAAATGAAAGATAAACATAAACGTCAAATAATTAATAATTAAGTTATTAATTTATTTATATAGTTATTTAAATTAAAATTTATTAAATTAGAAATTTTTTTTTTATTAAATCATGAGGTCGGGTCTCTGTGACAATAATTTTATTGAAGTTTCTTTCACATTATTGAACAAACGTTAATAACTGTTGCCTAGAAACAAAAGCAACATGGAATAATATCAAAATGAAATTCAATAAATATTCGCAGTGTGACATTTGAGAAGTATTTTTTACAAAAAGAGAATACTTTTTCCTTTTTTATCATTCTTATAAAATATTTTTCAAAAAAAAAAAAAAAAAAAAGTGAAAAAGAAAATTGTTTTCGCGTTTAATAAAGGAAAAAATGAGATTGTAATTAAAAAAAATTAAATTATGTCCAACTCTGAAGATATAAGGGGGTTAATTTCCAAACCCAAGGAAATTGTTTTAAAAAATGAAAGGTTCAATATTAAATATTTTGAAAAAATAAATAACAATTAGTCTTAAAATATAATTTTTATCAATTTTTTATATTTGAAATAAACTAAAATTATTTAATTTAATTGTTAATTTTTTTTTCACAGATATAAATCGAAACACGGTAAGAGAATTCGAACTGAAGTGAAAAGCGCTAAACACGCTCATCGAACATTTGGTTTACCAAGTGTTCATTTGAATTCTCCTTCGGAATTTTTGAAAAAAAAGAGTCGTCTTTTGCCAGAAAAACATGTGGCTCACGTTCATTATCATCGACCAGAATATCAACACAAACTTCCAGAATGGAAACCACTTAAATTATCAAGAAAATCTGATCTTGACGATCTTCCCAAGGATTCAACAATTGTGGGACGAATCAATTTTAGAAAAGAAAATATTTTAAAAGTGAAAAAATCTCAACCACCAGAACCAGTGCCAAGAACTGTTGATTCGAGATTTGGTGATGCGCAAGATTTAAGGACTTGTGGCTTAATGCCAATATACGTAAAAAAGAAGGTAATTTGTAAAAAAAAATTAAATTTAATACATTATATTTTTCTCTTCTATTTTATAGTTTTTTTATTTCTATTCGTTGAGTAATAAAAAAATAATAAAAAATTCATTAATAATTAATTTTCATTTTTTATAATTCTGATAGTATTTTGGCAAAAAGCCTCCGAAACCAAAGAAGGCTCCAAAAGTGAAACAAGTACGAGAATTAAAACGAAAAACAGATTTAAAAGAAGCCGAAAATATTGGTTCGGAAAATGAGAGAAACATTTCGAAACTAAATCAACCTCCAGGTCGTTATGTTACTGAAGAAGAAAGAGCAGAATTGCTTCATGTAAGTAAATATTAGAATTTAAAAATTTAAATAATTGAATACTGCAAAAAAATTTTTTTTTTAATTTTAACAAATAATTTCAATGAAAAGCTGTTAAATAATTAAATTCTGAAAAAAAATTGAAATAATCATCAATGTCTTAATGAATAGGGCATGAAAAAAAATTGGGAAGAAATGATGAATCAATTTCAGCGTTTACCATTTTTAATTGACACTCCACCAAAGGTGAAAAGGAAACTAAAATTGGAAAATAATTTAAAACAACTCGAAAAAGACATTGAATTCATCGAACGTCATCCCTATATTTATGTTTGTGATGATGAAGAATAATTTCTAATGCTTCATTTTAAAATAAGGTAATGAAAAATGGCATTTATGAGTAATTTTTAAATTTATATCGAAAAATAAATTTGGAATTTTAACAAAACAGATTTTAATATATTATTTTAACAATATTGAATATAAAAAATAATATAAATCGTGTTAATTTTATATATATATTACGTATATTTTTCTTTCTTTTTTACAAAAATTTTGTTTTCACGAGTTAAAATTGCAAAAATCAATTATCATAATCTCGATAATCATCGGAAATGCAACTTGAAATAGGTGAACAAGGCGCGCGAAAACATTGTACTTGTTGTAATTGACATGTTTCACCTCCACGACATTGTGGATTGCAATTCAATGCACCATTTCCTGCTCCAATTTTTTCAAAATCAATAAGACAAGATTCATGTTCTGAAACATTATTAAATACAATTCATTGTTTAAATTTACCAAAGTTTCAATGAAATAATTAATTTATAACATTTTATTTTTAATTACTTACTTTCAACACATTTATCATTGTAGCAACATCCGGTACAACATTCTGTGCTTCTAATGCACTGCAATAAAAAATTCACGCCAATTAAATTTAATTAAAAAATATTTAATAGTAATAATAATTACTATTAATAAAAATTTTAATGTGTTAATTCATTCATTAATAATAATTAATTAATTAAAAATTTAGTTGGAAAAAAGTAGGTAGAGAAAAAGTACTAAATTTATAAATATTAAAAACTTACATTTTTACTGGATTTAATACATTTTGTTGTTGCTGCTTTTGAAGGAATAATCATAATTGTTAAAACTAAACATAAAATCAAAGGAATCCAGGATCTCATTCTGAAAATATTATTTAATCAGTGAATGTTGTATTTATTTTTATTATTATTTATTCATTCTTATTAATTTTATTTTTTTTTTCATAACTTCCGATTAACATAAAATAATCTAAAGATATAAAATTTTATACTAGAATAAATAAATTAACATAAAATATTAAATATTAATGAAAAATGATTTCAAGTAAAATTTTTTAATTTTTAAATTATTAATTAATATTTAGTTTTGTGTGTAAATTTTATTCTTTTTTCTTATGAAATATTTTTTCATATAAATCTAAAGTTATTAATAAATAATAAATACCTTTAATTTTCATTTGAAAAAAAAACATTTTATTAAAATAATTTAATTTTATCAATCTTTAAAATTATAGTTATTAAAAATTATTATAAAAATTTTATTACAATTTTTTTTTATAAAATTAAAAGCATAAAAAAAATTAATTATTTTTTAATATAAAATAATAATAAACAATAATAAAAATGATAATAAAAATGTAGCATCAGTTTCTATTATCTAGTCATTTTTGAAGATAAAAATAAAATTATAAAATCAAAAAAAAAAAAATATTAATAATGCATTTTATTTTTGCAATACATACATGATTTTTATTTGTAAACAATGTTAAACTTGAAGCGAATGATCACAAACAGTAACACAAGTTATAAAGTTGTAAACACCTGAATGGGAACTGGCAGCCTTCAGTCTTGTTTCCCACATAATATGCGCAATATATTCTTGTCTTTCGTCACACGGTTCACTTTCATTCGCAAATTACTATGGAACTTTATATCCGATTATGGATAAAATCCTACTAATGATCTACTTGGATTATTCTTAGAAATAAATAATATAAAAATATAATGAAATTTGACTAAAATCAATAAAAATTTAAACAATAAAACCATAATAGAAAATAAGTAAAGAAATAATATTTTTTTTTTTTTTTAAATAAATTTCATAAAACAGAGTTGTATATTCTAATATAGTGTCGATGAAGGACATTTTTTTATAATGTATATAACCATGATGTATTTATTACATAATGTATATTTTTAAATTAGAATTAAAATTTAAAGAAAAAAGGTACAAAAAATAATTTTTATTTTAAACAACAAATAAAGGGTAAATTATTTTTTATTGTTTTCTAATGACAAAAAAAAATTAATGTAAAGTAATATAGTAAAACTAATTTTGAGTGATTCATTTTATATTTATCAAGAATTCTTTTGTACTTCAAACCACGTATATTGTGACCATGACGATTTCCGGATTTTGAAATAATGCAAAAAAATCCATTATACAAAAATTAAGTTAAATTTAAGTTGTGCAAAAAGTTTTTCGAAACGAAAAAAGAAATAAACAAATATAAATCAAAAATATTAATATAAGATTGTACATACATATAAAAATACAATTTTCATATAAAATTGAAAAAAATTTTTCTGATATTATTAATTTTTATAAAAACATTGAAATTTATTTTTGAAAAATATTCTTCAAAAAATTCATGTGAAAAGCTACGGAAAATTAATTAATAATAATAAAAAATGTAGTAATAATTAATATTAATTATTAATAATTAGAAATAATTAGAAATATAATAAAATAACAGAAGCAAAATGTCATATTTAGCACAAAGATCAAGGAACGCATTATAAAGACGTGTGTATTATGAATTGAGCGAGTTAAGCACAATATTGTGGAAAAAAAAAATGCTGCGATGCACTTGTTGCTTTTCTCAAAGAGATTATCGTGTTAAATGGAGAAATATTTCTTTTATGATAAAGCACTGAGAAACAATTCTTACAAATATAATAATACATATATGAATCTTAAATTCGAAAGAACAATTTCAATTAAAGATGAATCATTAAAAGTTATCTTTTAATTAGAATATTCTCATAAATAAAGAAAAAAAAATCGTCTTTTTTTTAGATGAATATTGAAAAATTAAAAATAAAGTGTAAAATTAATTTTTCAATGGAATATTCTTCTCATTCTTTTTCGGTGTATTATTGAATTTTTTTGTGTGTTAAAAACAGTTTAAGTAGGATTATTTTAATTTTAATTAGACAAAAAAAATTTTAATTTTAATGTCAGTAATAAAATTATATGTTTTCGTCAGATTGACGATTTCAAATTGTGGTTTTATTAAATTTCAATAATTTTGCCTTATTAAAATTTAAAACTGACTTTTACTACTAAAAATGTCTTACTACTGATACTAAAATTAATATAATGAAACGCCTTGTCTGACTATAATTCGATTTTTCTACTAACAGATAAAAAATAATTTGTGAATGATATTTTCTACTGTTGTAAAAAAAATTAGAAGAATTTGAAATGATTTGTCGAATTAAAATATTCTTTTACTACTTATACTAAAAGAAAATTAATTTAATAATAAATATAAATAATTTTATTTTATTTAATAATTTAATAAAATATTTGAAGAATTTGAAAATATATTTATCTGATTAATTTTTACTACGATTATACCAAAATTTAATAAACTCAGCATAATTTATATTCTGTCTGACTAAAACTGACTTTTACTACTGTTACTAATGTTATAAGAATTTTAATGTTTCTAATGGAATTAAAGTGATATTTTTAGTAAATAAAATTTATACCGTTTTTTTATTTGACAAATATACTATCTTTTACTATATACTAATTCTACAATTTTTTTATACTATAAATTGTCAAAAAAATCTATAAGTTTTTTTTTTTAATACTGGCATTAAATTTTCAAGAATTTTGGATAAATTTTGTTTGACTGTAACTACTGATATCATAATAGGAAGAATTTTAAAAGTTTCATTACCGCTGATATTAAATGTTTATGTAGTTTTCTACATTATCAATTGTAGTGAATTAGATTTACTGTTTCTATTTAGTTATTACCAAGAGAGCACATTTAAATGTTGTAAAAAAATTTTCTAATTAACATTTTTTTTTTATATTTTTCTCCAATAGAATTAAGCTTATAGCTAATAATTAAAATAATTAATTAATTACAGAAATAATTGGTAGTATTTTTTTTTGTTTTCTTATTAAACAAAAAAAAAAAAATGTTACAGTATTGCGTTGATGTAAATTTGGTTGTCTATACTTAGGCGTTACTACATTTTAATTTTAATTTCTAAGGCATTTTAAATAATTTTAAAATAAAAAATTAATTTTAAATAAAATTAATTTGAATTAATAGTTTCAAACGAAAATGAATTTTACAAATAATTATTTAAAATTTTTATTTGAAAATAGTATTGTTTTAATTATTATTATTTATTATAATTCTCATTAATTTACATATTTCTTATAAAATATTTAAAATAATATTTTTTTAAGAGAGATTTTTTGACTTTGAATAGTAAAAAGAATTTAATAATCAACACTTTGGGAATTTTATATTGAAAGAACTATAAAATTATCTTATAATTATAAAGTTCCAATTTTATACATAAGAGACAGAAAAGAAAAAAAATATAGTCAAGAAAGAATAATAATAATTATAAAGAAAGGAAAAAAAAATTACCACCTTCAAAATATGGCAAAGATGCGTCAAATGCGCCCGGAAACGGAAGCTGCCGGTTGGCAACGCCATATTTTTAAACCATAGTCTCTCACCTCTGAGATTGTATCAAAATATACCAATCCTTGCTGAACTTTCACCGTTCATCCGGGAGTCTTCCCACGATCTCGTCTTCTTGCGCTATAGTTTGTAACAAGTGTGTCTAACTAAAACTATTTATGAATTTTTTTAATTAATAATAGAAATCTATATATAGATATCTTTAAAGATTACATTTTCTCTTAAATAATTCAATTAACATTTTATTTCCATAAATTATTATTATTTTTTTTTTAATTTATAGAACAAACAAAAAATTTAAACAAATATTTAATTGAGTTATAGATATTCACTAAAAAGAAATATATATATATGTATATAGGTATATATATATATTTTTTTTTTTATAAATTTTACTTCTATAAATTTTACTACACTGAAAAAAATTTATTTAATTCAAACAATTGGTTATACTTGACTATTGAATAAATATTTATTTGTGTATTAAAAAATTATTTCTCAATTAAATGGTAATTGTTTCAAATACAAAAATTATTTGTTCAAATATAGTTTGTTTAATTCAAATAAAAATTATTTGGTTCAAGTAAATATTTATTTCATTTAAATAAATTTTTATTTGATTTAAATAAAAAATTTTATTTACGTCAAATAAATATAGTCTAGTTGGCTGTGAGACAAATTTACGTTTATTTAACTCAAATATATTATATTTGGTTCAAATAAAACATTTCTCTGGGTGTAAATTTTTTAATTAGTGAGAAATCATTTACTAAATTTAAAATTAGTGAAAAATTCTACTCATTTTTAGTCATTTTTCTCTAAAACCTTTAGTAAAAAAAATATATTACTGAATATTTTACTAAAAATTAGTTATTTTAGAGAGCATTTATGGTCCATATGAACCTCGGTATCTGGTTTTATAAATAATAAATTACAATAATAAAAAATAAAATTAAACAAACACACTAGTCTGTATGTGTAAAAATGTTCTCTTCTTCTTGAGAAAAAAAAAATACTTGAATTATTTTAAGCTCGTGCAAGCAAAAATACGTTGGAATGAAAAATATGACAATTTTTTACTTAATTTAGAGAAGTGCTTTCACTGATGAGCCAGAGTCTCTAAACATCTTTTCTCTCATATCTTATTTCCTGTTCGATCAAAATAACTGCAACTTTTTATGCGACCTCTTCTTATGCATGTCTATAGCGCGGGATATTTTCTCTCTTGAGATTGTGTTGATCTTGCAGTACCATCATCAGAAAAATGCGTAATCCATACTTTGTATCTATATATATACAAATATGGTATAATAGTTATTATCGCTATGTTCAATAATTTATTTATCATTTATAATAATAATAATTTTATTTTCATTGTATACCTTTTCAGGCCTTTACAATTTCCTTAATCTACATAATTATAAACATTCTTAAAAAGTAAACTTTACAACATATTTATTTATCATTTATATTTATTATATACACATATTAACCTCTTCGATCAGATTCATATATATATATATAAAATCTTTGGAGACAAATTGGTCCATATGATATAATGTTGGGTAAAAATGCAAAATACAGGAATATTTCTCAGTTTCGTCACGTTTTCATATATATGAGGCATTTCATATATGAGAATACGGGGTCATGTGTCGGATTTTTCTCAAAATTCGGTAAATTGTAGTGATTAGCATTATTTTTTGTTTTCGAGATATTAATTAATTAACTAACAAAAGTTAATAAAAAATAAAATATTTTACGAACAAAAAAAATTAGAGTAATTTTAAAAACACCATTAGAATGCTTATCAAAATCCGCATCCAACGAGCCCTATATGAACTATTTTGGATAAATTGGTGTTAAATTAATAATTAATAATAAAAATTATTTAAATAATTAATAACATTTAAGGAAATGAAGATAAACCGTCAATTCAGTCTTTTTCTAAATAACATTTTATAATTAATTTTTGATTCTTGCGGTAATACTTAATATTCTTTTTTTAACACAGAATTAAATGGTCTTCCAAATAAAAAAAGAATTGACGATTTATCTTCATTTCTTCAAATGTTATTAATTATTTAAATAATTTTTATTATTAATTATTAATTTAACACCCGTTTATTAGAAATAGTTAAATAGTTAATAAATTTAGAATACGATCAGTTATCCCAGCTGCAGTTTG